TTAAAATAAACTTAAAAATTTTATAAAATAAATAAATATAAATTACATTAATTATATTTAAAATTATAAGTTTATTTTAAAATATATTTTTAACGTTAATAATAATATTATAAATTAATTTTTTAAACGTTAATTTATAATAATTACGTTTATTTATAAATCGAAATTAAAAAATATAATAAACGTTACGAAAAAAGTTATATAATTATAAACTTTATTAAATAAATTTAATAAAAATAAAAAAAACTTTAAAAGTTATTATAATTTAAAAAAATAATTAAAAAGTTTTAATATTTATAAAAAATTTTTAATTTTATATTTAAATTAAATATATTAAAACCGATATTTATTTCGTACGAAAAAAATAAATTATTAAAAAAGTTAATTTTTAATACGTTAATATATAAAATTATTTCTTAAAAATGTTTTTATACGTTTTAAAAATATTTTAAACTTACGTTTATAAAACGAAATAAAAAAAATTTATTAACTTTAATTTTTTTCGTTTTAAACGATTATTTATTTTAATCGAATTAATTATAAACTTTTTATAAAATATACGTTACGAAATAATAAAAATTTTATAAAATAATAAAAACATTATAAATAATAAAAATTTTAAAAATTTTTTAAAAAAAAATATTATAAAATAAAAAATTATATAATAAAAAAAAAGTTAATAAATATAAATTTTTTCGTATAATTTAAATAAAAATATTAAAATATTAAGTAATTAAAAATTTACGTTTTATATTTAAAAAATATATATATATTATTTACGAATTATTACTTAAAATTAATAACTTAATTAATTAATTAACACATATAATATTTATAACCTGCATTTATTTCAAAATAGCCTCACTTTCGTTTTTATTAAAACCTTTATTATCAAAGTCGCTAGCACTTGATTCGCCTGCAGGCCTTTTGCATCGGGGATGATTTATTCATTTCGAACCTCCGATATGGATTATGAAGCCTTCGCGCTCATATTATATATGTACTTTCATAACTAGAGACAATTAATTTCCATTCAGTCCACTAACTATCCGTGTAATATCGTGTGCTCGGCTTGATGAAGCCAGATAATAATATTAGAAGTCGTCAAAAATCTGGTCTGTCGAAGGACTAGTAGTTAATGGTCTATCGGGACGGAGGTGAGGCCCGTGAGATTCTATGAGAAGTTCTGGGTAGAGGTGTCGCGTGGAGAAGAGTACCCTATATGATTACATAATCATTGCTCCCCTATTCCTGGTTACATAAGCATGCCCCTATTCCAACTCTATCAATTGAGTAAGGACATCAGATTGTGCTACATACATGAATAAAATTGAATAAAATAGAATAATTCGTACAATGGTACTAACCTGCCTTGTGAATAATGATTTAAGATAAACTCTTCCAAAACTGTAAGCTTCCATCTACAACTACGGCCAGAGACATCGCAGCACATCGAGGGATTACCAAGACTTCACGATTACAAACAGAGGGGAAAGGAACATATCCGAAGGTTAAAATTCGGAAATTATACTGCGTTCATTTGAGCCGGAAATTATTTGTTATAGTTTCGGTTAATACGGATTGTTCCGGAAGCTTTCCTATGAACTGGGTAGATATTAAAGTTTAGATTTATTGACTTTCATGACTGACGTCAGAACTCAGTATCAATCGTTCAAGTATGCGCAAGTTAACTAACGGAAAGCTTGAAGATAGACGTAACTGTCGTGGATGGAAATTACGCTCTTACCAATATTGAACTATTTCACTGTGTATGTTAAATGACAATGGGAAGTTTAACGTTCGACACAGGTAACCATGTGTTGAAAGGGCAAAGACGTATCAATATCAGTGACATAAGATGAATCCAGCGATTTGTAGTCGGTGCTGCGAGATATATGGTAAGAGGGAGCAGTCAAAATATTTAGTACCAGGCCAGGGCCCCTTCCCAGGGACACAGAGCTGCTTCCATCCTGTTACAAGAAAAATTAACTCGTGAGTCATTTCCCGTTCAAGATATCTCGCGCGGGTCTTCCTTTGAATCTTTCTCAAAAGTAAAATCTACCATACGTGGATATGTTATTTAAACCCCTTCCAGACCCGTCATTTGCCCTCCATCTTTTGATCAAAAACCTACCTACCTAGCTGCCTAGGTAGGTAGGTGCTTTCACATTTCTTTCATCAAAATAAGCTATATTCTCTCTGAGAATAACTATTTTCTTCCTAAAAATGCTGCGGTAGATATCGAACTACCCTTTATCTCAAATATATACTAGGTACTCTTGCGCTATCACTGCTATATTCCTTTCTTTACACTTCTAACATCACTTGTCACGAGGCGGAACCCAAAGACTAGGAAACGACGACGTTGTTGCGCGAGGAGCTCCTAACCACTCTCGCTATGGAGAACACGGTATACATACAGGTGAAGCTCTTTGTCTGCCCTGCTCCCAGGGCTAGCGGCTAACAAGACCCTCACGGACTCCACGGGCCGAGTCCCGATCCCATAGACCTCTAGCTACCAACCTGGAGGGAGACCAGACGTCTGACAAGTATTTGCCCATATACCTAATGGGATATCCGTTAAATACCGCGTCGATACCGTTAGAGACATCGATTCCTACACAGCAAGGTCTCCTCGAGTCTCGGCTCTACAGGATTACGTCTGTTTCGCTCATTTTATTCCACGCGTACACAACACCAACACTGGTCCTTCCTACTTTCAACCACTGACTTCAATGTTCGTTTCTCCCCGCACCTAAGGAATATATACAAAGGCGGTATATATTGAGGGGACTTAAAAGTATATGGCGGATAGGCTTCCAAGAGCTCTCTTCGTAAGCGAAGACTGCAACGACAAGAATGATCTGTAGGTGTTCGAGTACGCAAGTGCGGGTGAGGCATACGAATGGGAGGATGGCGTCGACGGCTACGAAGCCATGCCGAATGTACTGTCGGATGAGATTAGGCGAGAAGCGATTGTCGGGTGTTTGACGAGTAAGAGGTTATGTCGTCATCTGTGCTGTCAGCATGCATTGGATTTGTACCCCTCCTCCTGGTTTATTGGCAACGCAATCCTGGCTCTTCAACCTAAAGCCTTAGGCGAAGACCGAACAACTATGGATAAAGTAGTCTATCGACATTTCTGAGGAAGTCATCATAACTCATCTTGTTGTCGATGCGCCATAATAGGCCGGCGCGATGGCAATCTAGACTAGCAATGGACATCATACAGGATGTGACGGTTTGCCGAAGGATAATCCAGTCGGAGCAAAAGATAACAATATTCGCGAAGGATCTCCGAGAAAAGATCAACGATATCAAGAATAAGAACAATTTCAGCTTTCGCCATCCATACAATGCCTTATCTTGGTTCTTTTGGGTCCGGGTCGGTAGTTGATACGGGACTTGCCAAACAGTCAGACACGGGAGATCTCACCTAATGTCGCCACTCCAACAGTCTAGTGGAATAGTCTCAAGATCACGAATACAAGACAAGATCCCACCGGTCGGCGCTGACAAATCGCGAGAGTGTTGGGTCTCAAGTGGTGTTGCACAGGTGGCGCCGGTGGCTGGCGGATGTAGGTAATCTGTGCATGGCTTATCTAAGCCAGAGAGCCCGTGCCTATTGGAAAGGATCTGCGATATTTTGAGGTCATCATAGACACGGGAAAGATAGAACAAGACACTCCTAGAAAAGATGCAGAGGAGTGTCTGGCGTTACGTTGATGGCTCCGATGCATACCCGAGTCAGTGCAGAAAGGGAGAAGTTGAAGGAAAACACCAGGAACAATTCGGTCACATTCTAAATTCGGTCAAGGGTAGAATGAATGAAGAAGCTTGGACAATCCATAATGTGAATATACCTAGGTAGTCGCTTGGAGAGCTGGTCGCTGGAGGTCTATTCACGACTCAGAACTTGGCTGCTTGGTCACTTAGGAAAACATGTTGGTGATTGATCTTACATAGGAACAGATGACCAATACCTAATGTATAAAGACTTCATGTTAGCTGAGAACAATATCGAATGTGGTGGATGTTACATATATGTGGATGGAAACAGCAGGCACTATCCCTTGAACCGCCTATCTGGGAAATACATACGCATTCTTACTAGTGAAAGGCACTGATGAAAAATGAGGGGATACGATATCACAGTATTTTACAGTGTTCTTAATACGTGGTCCATTTATGAGGGGTATCGACATCTTTGTCATTATTCTACATGATAATGATCTTGGATTTAGTCTCAGATAAAGTGATATCGAGATCTGACGGCATCTCCGTTTTGTGTATGGCAAAAAGGATTAAATAATGGAGGTTGTGGGCAGCAAGACTCCATCAGCCCGGATAAACGACACGGTATTATCGACCAATGAAGGATCGAGGAGTGACCAATTTGGGAAAGATTTCAGGTAGCACTTCTCCAACTCCACTCACTAACGAAGGCGTTGAGTGCTCCCCGGGTTATAGATCTAATTGGTCAATAATCTGTCTTCCTCTGTTTCGCTCCCCTGTTTCTCTTCATTGAGAACGTGCAAGACAATCAGTATTTGTATGGTCACTCATAGTTGCCACAGGTCTTCCGAAGACGTTTTATGATGGCATCTGACCTATCAAGGCATTCGATAGTATTGTTAGCACTAAAGGCATGGTAAACAAATGCGACGAACTTCAGACCTTAATTCTCAAAATCAAAGAAGAAGGTCTATATTTATCGGCATGGATAATGCCAGAAATAATTGAGAGCCTCAAAGTAGCGTTTTCCTGCCTGAATGGGAAGTAATAGGTTCCTCTTAAGTATGATCTAGACGACGAGGGGTAACGATATTAAGGAGGTGTGGCTTCGCTGTCGCGTCGTTTGGTGGAGAATCCTTGTTGTCGTGGTCCATACGCGACATCCTATTCGACCTGATCATCTAAGGTACCTGCTGCGACACCGTCGGAGGCCATTTAAAGCTCACAAGGGCCGATTCCCTCCAACTTCTCTCAATCACAGATTGAGAAGGTCTCATTCTCCAATTCGGCGCGGCCGCCCACATGCTACAAACACCTGTTAGAAAAGATACCAAGTCTTTTTTATCATGTTTTCTTTAGAATGAAAGAGGGTCTCGAGACCCTGGTCATTTATCCTAGAAACCCCATTGAAATCTCAATAATTAAATCATATTTAAAGATTAAGGCGCAGTTGCGACGACGTGAAATAGTCGCGATGATTTCATCTCTAACCGTGCTCGCTACTCGACGATCTTTTATATCTCTAAGGTACTTACGTTAATAATTATCATAGGTAATTTAGGCCAGCTATCTGCGTCAGATTTGTGATAACTGCAGGATGCGTTTTAGTCTCGCTCTTTCGACTCTTGCTCTCGTAGCAGGGTCTCTGGCAGCCAACTGCAATGGCCACGCCGAACTCTGCAACCGACGATACAGCAACATTACTTTCGCCGGGGCACATAACTCCCCGTTCGTCGGTATCGGACCCTCAGATAACCAATTCACATCTCCGACAGATCAGCTGAAGCAAGGCATACGCTTTCTGCAGGCGCAAACCCAAGAGAAGGATGGAGAACCGGAGATGTGCCATACCTCTTGCATATTAGAGGATGCTGGTACTTTGCAGAGTTATCTGAGCGAGATCAAGAGCTGGGTCGACGCCAACCCGAATGAAGTTATCACCTTGCTCATAACGAACCCCGACGCTATTGATATCAACAAGTACGGCGATGCATTCAAGTCGACTGGTTTGGCTACCTACGTTTTCACGCCGGATGGACAACTCGGGTTGAACGACTGGCCCACATTGGCGGAAATGATCTCGAGTGGCACCAGAGTTGTGGTATTCATGGGTACGGGCAGTCTCCAGAAAACGCGCATCCAGTTGAGAGAGCTAATGAGATGTAGACTACAATATGGATACATCCAAGGTGCCTTACATCCTCGACGAGTTCGGATACTGGTTCGAGACCCCGTTCTCTCCGACGAAGGACAACTTCATCCAGTGCAACATCGACAGGCCAGCGGGAGCTAAGGCAGACGGCCGAATGTTCCTAGCTAACCACAACCTGAATATTGAGATCTTGCCCGACATTCTGATCCCGGACCCGCTCCAAGCGGCCAAGACAAACTCGATCGCATCCATTACTTCGCAGACGAATATCTGTGTTAAGAACTACGGTCGCAACCCTAATGTAGTGCTGGTGAGTAGTACCTAAATGCGACTAGCCATTTTGGCGTGTTTTTTCGGTCGGGAAATGCTGACGATTTGGTGTAGCTTGACTTCGTGAGTCGGGGAGACACGATCAAAGTCCAGAACCAGCTCAACGGACTATAGATATATGAGGAAATCAATGGATATGCAAGATGTCTTTAATGATAATGATGATCTGTTTTTTCTTACGCTACCATTCTTCGTCTTATATTTGATCAGACATCGAATTGTTTGAGATCGTCGTGTACGGAGGATGGGTCACTTTAGAGTAGGAGCTATAGCATTTTATGTATATATTCAATTCTATGATGGGGTTATCTCTGCCATGGTTAGAGATAACTAGCATATTCATGACTTGGTGGGGGGTTGGGAACGTACGAATTGTCTCTTGAAGCAACGCTACATCTATTCCTGTCTAGAGCCACTATCCCTCCAAGCTGGATTACCCCTCCCCTTCCCCCTTTTCAATTATTCTAATGTAGGTCTCAAATCCCCAAGCTCCGCATTCAGGATTATATCTACATAGGCTTTGCTGACATGATATAAGAACAATGCTTAGACCACCACGGAGTAATATCTAGTTCAGTCTAGGATCGTCTAAACGAACAGCGGGCTTTGTCGAGCGATGCTCGGATCGAGATTTATGGAGTTCGAGACACTTTATTGATCAGTTAGGAAATCAAAAGGAACCTTCTATTATCAGTGAGTCAACAAGAAAGACGAGATTCGGACACATCACTTACCGTCATAATTCCCCTATGGGTGTATTTTCATGCGAAAGAATCTCAGCGTAGAGAAGGACATTCCTGCCTATCGAGCATGAGCTTCAGTGTACCTATATATGATACAGTTACATGTTGTGCGAGGAACTACCTTACCCGCTTCCGTAGGTAGATAGGCACTTAGGAAGTGATGTGGCTTTCCCTTTCCGCCAATCGTAATATGTGTCTCGGTTAGGGGCGTTGTGTTACCCTTCGTAAGCATCCATTGGTTCATCCTACGGCCCTATGGAAGATGCAGGTATTCACAAAGGAAAGTGATCGCCACACTGCGGGTACCATCCACCAGCCCAGGATATCGGTACATCTGGTCTAACTGCGCAATTCCCCAACGCGTCTCGGGTCTTACTTGGTGTGTCTGCTCGGAGAAAACTCCGAGTCCTCTCTTTCGTAATGCTCATCCAGCCGCATGCGAATCGGCCTCCCATAATGAATCGGTAACGAAACGGAGTGTGTCTCGAAAGTCTTGAATCAACGCGCGAAGATATTCAAAGTGTACCTGAGCTAGTTGATCTGGCGTAGGCTGATTGAGGAACAGGTTCTCCCCCATGTTACTCATTGAGTCTAGCAGAGAGTTGGCCTGCTTGACGAGGTCCATAACCAACACACTACGGAGTTTGTCCCGGTCCGTGACAGAAATCTCGTATCCGCCGACAATCAGTTTTACGACGCTGGATGAGTCTGGCTTGGTGATCTGCTTGAAACACACACTCGTCTCTTGGAAGATTGTTATGGCGCATATTAGATCGGGACTGCTCAATTGACAATGCCTGCAATCGATCATCGTCTGACAACTCGTGATCGCGTCTCCCGTCACTTTTAGTAACTCGTCGAAACGTTTTGTTTGCAGCGCCCTTCTAATCTTCGGGCCTATGAGTACAGGGCCAGTTCGACAAAGACATTGTTCTGAAGAGTATGGGTTCATAATCGTGGAATATTGCAGATCAGCTGGCGAAGCGGGTAGTGAGTGGGCGTCGGTGGCGTGCATGCTAGCGCGATACGCCGGAGTACTAGTCTGTAAAAGGTTCTGTGGTAAGGAATTTTCTGTTAGGGTTTGAACGAGGTCCAAGTCGTCTCGACTCATGGAAGGTGTCGGGTCGAGATTTGGTCCCTAGTGATCAAACGGTCACATCAGTTTCTCCCTAACAACATTTTGCCAGTATGGCCATTAAGAAAATAATCGTTTCCACATACATCATGGCTTACGACCACACTTTCTGGCGACCAATTGAGAAAGTCTAGCTCTTGAGGGTTCATATCATTGATCCAGCCTATTTCCGTCTGCGTGTCACTCATAGAGCTAGACATGCCCTCGTGGCTGGTCATCTCGATAGCATTCACATTTGACGTGCTCCCTTCCTCGGGTTGCGCTTCGTGCGGCGATCTCCAAGCTTCGGTCGAGGTTCTCCGGGATTGAGACCGTTTGCCTGAGTCTGTAGATGCTGTCTTGATGGTAGTAGGGTATCGGCAAGATATCCCACGTGTTGTGCAGCGTTGGCACGATTTCTTTCCATCACATCTGGCTTTCATGGCCCGGCAAGCTTCACACGCTGTCATAGGCCGACGGACTAGCGTACTCAAGCCTTCTGCGCTAGGACATTGCCAATTTGACATATAGTCCTGAGGAATATCTCCTATCCTAGGGTTACGAGGATTTCTGTTGGACGCCATGAGTACGGTGACCCCTTTTCGATATAATAGTCCATAGATGGCCTTTCTATACCAAAAACTACTTTGGGACATCTAGGTAGGTAGTATCAAGCCATACTTTAAATTCATTCACCATGGTCAACGCATCCACCGCTACTTCATACTACATCGAGTATATGAGGCTGTAAATTGTCTAGCCCTGAAGTTGTGGAACGTAACAGGCATAAATCCGTACTGTTAGGATTAAGCGAGCTTACCTAGTATATCCGCCTTTTCACCAGGAGTATTTCGGCGAGCTTAATGCAACCCAACTACTATGTATCATAGGCTATCGACTTTATTCACAGTGCCAAGGGATTGTCAGCTTATGGAAGCAGAGTTTCTAGATCAGCGGGCAAACCCGCTGCGTGTCCTCACAACGATACCCGAATGGCTAGCGTTAGGTCAGCAATGCATTAAATAATGACCCGACCAACTCAAAGAATATCTATCCAGATTTTATATTAGCTCCATTGCGGGTAATTAGATTCCCCTTTGGCGTAGCTTGGGAATATGTTGTAAGACAGGCTTACCTAGGTAGGTATTTAAACCTGATGCTTGATATCCTTTAGGATTCCTGCGATCACCTGAGCTGTTCATCACGCCAAGGCACGATATCATGGCAAAAGAACCTAACAGCATGACACGACTTATAAATGAAACCGGCCCAACCCTATCGAGGTAAAGAAAGGCTATATCACCACTACGGTGCCTATCTCGGCTTGAATTGCGCACATGTTACCGAGATACCGAGATGGGTCGAGGAGATCACGTTGTAAGAAACTATAAATAAGAAACGCTAGTATATGGTCCAATTATCAAGGGGGTGATGTGGTGGTTGCAAGGGATATCACGTGGCTTCTCCCCGACCGACATCGCCATGAATTTTGAAGTCCTCCATCTTCAATGTTCACAATATGTATTATAAATCACATCATTTATCATGTCAAATGATATAAAGATCCTACTGATCTATTGGTCCTTCAGAATTCGGGGTGGTTGCACCGCGTCGATATATCGGCACGTGATACCCCGCAAGCCAACAGAACCCGGTATTTATCTTTCTTCCTTGATCTTACCTTCCAATTTCGCATGTAAATACCTACCTACTTGCATATGTAAAGCGCTCCCTGTGTAAGAATATATGCATAAGTATAAGCTTAAATGAGAAAACCGCTCCAAGATTAGTAAGCTACTACCTAGAGGTAGGTATGAGCTGAACCAACCTTACTGCATGAATGGGCGTGTAAATAAAAGCTTATAATTTGCAATCTTTTAATTGGCTGTAATAGTTAGAGGATGTCCCCTTAGTATGACGCGCCTTCCACCAGGTGGTGCGGGGTGTTTATGTAAGAGTAAGATTCAATTCCAGCTTTTCTCCCTTTTCCACCTTTCAACATCAATCCAGATCCCGATATCTATTTCATGCAGTCGCCCACAATTCACAACCCACCTTCTACCAATCATTCGGGATTTAGGAAATCAACAATTGAAGCTTCGTCCAGAAATGTTCTGCCACTTCCTTCATTCTATCCTGGTCGAAGACTTGAGCATCGAATTCGAAAGATGGGCGAATCGTGGCATCGTCTGTGATGTGTAACGCTCTAACTAAAACATCGAACTGTTTGTTCAAGCGCGTTAGCGTAACTATTCCAGGTATACCGCAGAAAACCCGAATTGGGACACCTACATGCCATGGATCGACCGATTTTCTCAGCAAATCCTCCACCTTCAGCGTAGCAGTAGATACCGCTGAAGGACGTCGCTGGAAATTTACCGCCGTGTTCCATAGTCTCCCCACCTTCAATTGTTTCTGCACGACATCGCGCACATTGCTGGTGTCATGCATACTATTCTCGTTCCTCTGTTCCTGCATTAGCTGAGCGAGTCTTGCTAGATCTAGCGCGTTACCCCCTGTCGAAACATTACTTAAATGGTAAGGCACAGCGTTGATCAATAGACCGACAATATCGAAAACGTCGGGAACGTCTTCGTTCCGCCCCGATGTGATGTATTCGAACGACACATCCGAAGCGCCCGTGAAGGTGCTGAGCGTCTGCGCCCAAGCTGCGTCGATGAGGCTGGCAGAGGTAATCCCGTGCGCCGTACCGAAAGCGCTGATAGCTTGGGCTTTGATCTCAGGCAAGTAGATGACAGTCTTTCTCGGACTTGGACGTGCTATAGGCTCCCTTGAGCTCACAGGTAAGGATAATATAGAGGGTACTCGGTTGGCGAGGACCGAAGCCCAATATTGGTCGTCATCCTCGATACGACTTGGAGTTCGGGCAGCTATGATAGCTTTATACGGCGGCGGTACGTCCGACTTATAATTTTCATCGTTCTCATATGCTTCTAGAAGGGACAATTTAATCAGCCTTAGCGACCATCCATCAATAACCTGGTGATCCAGTTCGATATGGATGTAATATCGATCTCCGTGTCGGACGAAATGGGCCCGATGAGGAATGAAACACTCGTCTACAGACGGTGTTCCGACTAAGTCGAATGTCGGTTCATCATCCTCGGCTTCTGCTGAAGAGATAACTACGGTAGCTTCTGACGCAGCATCGGCTGATAGAACTACCTGTAGAAGGGGTAATTCCCCCGTGTCATCTCGCAAATAGATGCTTCGGAGGACGGGATACTTCTGAATGACGCGTCTCCACGCCCGAGCCAACCTTTTTAATGAGATAGGCTCAGATGCAAGGGAGAATATCTCCATCTGCCATGAAAGGATGAAGACGTGTGGGTTTATGAGCCGCTGTTTCATGATCTCGCGCGCAAATGGGCTCGTCGGATAGGCATCTTCGACCTGTAAAGAGGGTCTACCTCTTAGACGTGATGCAAGCATCTCCTCGTAAGGTCGGATAATATCACTCGTCCAGTAAGTATCATGTCTCTTGTCCACGTCCATATCGATGCCGGCATCTTGGCTGTTCCTAACGAAGGCTACCAGACCGCCGAGAGTCTTTGCGCTCATGATACCGCGCACTGTAACAACTAAGCCGATTTCCCTAGCCCGGGAAACAATCTGCATAGCGGATATAGAATCACCTCCGCTAGCGAAGAAGAGAGTATTCATCCCTAAGGCTTCTTTCGGAATGTCGAGGGTTTCGCTCCAGAGCTCCCGTAACTTGTCGGCTAATGACCCTGGGCCAATTTCGATATTCTCCTCTATAGGGTCGTTCCCCATTAGATCGTTATAAGTACTATGTGGCATGGATTGAATCCATTGCTTAATTGCTTTACGGTCAATCTTGCCTGAAATCAGTTGCGGCATCTCCTCTAGGCAAATCCAAACAGTGGGTATCATGTAGCTGGGAAGAACGAGGAATAAATGCTGCTTGATCTTTTCTAGTTGAGAATTATTTTTCGATATCGTTATGCTGGAACTGCTATGGTATGACACCTCAGACGACTTGCAGCTCACGATCGCGACGAGCTGTCGAGCGCAAGGGCCAGCTGCTGGGAGCACAGCGACCGATGCCGATACTGCGCCAGTTGCCATAATTTGGTTTTCGATTTCGCCAAGCTCAATTCGGAATCCCCGCAGCTTAACTTGGGTGTCTTTTCGGCCGATTATGTGAAAGGTACCATCTGGGTTGTTCCTGGCTAGGTCGCCAGTCCTATATAACTGTGTGTGGGGAAATGTTTTATCTGCCTTGAGCCAGTCAGGTGCGGGGACGAAGGCTGCTTCGGTGGCGGCTCTGTCGTTGAAGTAACCGCCTCCTATCAAAGGACCGGAGATGGCAATCTCTCCCACGCATCCGATTGCACATAACTCGTTGGGATTGTCGCGACCAACAACCCACATATTGGCTCCGATACTACGGCCGATGTTGGCTGGATGGGCCTCCGTTGAGATACAAAGATTGCCCGAGCTATACACAGCTGTCTCCGAGGGACCATATCCCGCTGTTAAGTCGACATAATCGGCCCATCTAGTTATGGTCTTCTTCGTGATAGGCTCCCCACCCAGGACTATTGTCTTGAGACCTGGCACATCTTGCGGGTAGAGAAGGTTGGCGATCGTAGGTACGCACAGAAGCGTGTTGGCTTTTAACTCCCTAATAGCTCCGGCTAAGTTGTTTAATCTGTCGTGGTCCGTCGGTATGCATATACAGCCTCCGAAAGCAAGTGTTGTGAAGAACTCGGCAACGGATATGTCGAAGGTGTGGGAACAGAATTGAAGCGTCCTCCATTCAGGATTGGCCCCGAATGCCTCGCCGTGGTGCTTGATTGACGTACAGATTGCGGAGTGGGGTATGAGAATTCCTTTTGGCTTGCCAGTGCTACAATATGAGGATTAGTCTGCGGATCTAACGGACGACAAGGATGGTGGCGGATTTACTTACCTCCCAGATGTGAATTGAAGATATGCAATGCTGGATGGCAAAGCTTTTGATGGCGGGGTAACTGGGAACTGAGTACTAGGACAGTGCTCGTCTGAGAGTTTCACGACCTCTGGGCTTAATTCATTCAATACGTCAGCGCCGAGATTAGATGCTACCGAGATCTCTATTCCGGCCATTCTAACCACCTCTTCAATCCGAGCTCGAGGATGATCGGGATCAATGGGTACATAAACCCCACCTGCCTTGAAAACGGCCAAAATAGCGACAACGGTCCAGATGGACTTTTCAAAACATACACCTACGAAGGCGCCAGATCGGACACCACGTTCTAAAAGTTGTGCGGCCAGCGATGACGAGTAATTATCAACATCGAGATACGTCAGAGACCGCTTCTGAGAGTACACAGCAACAGCATTTGGTTGCTTGAAAACTTGTTTTTGAAAAAGGTGGTGGATGTAAGTCTCTTCGGTCGGATGAGTGAAGGGATTCCATTCGCGGATCTGAGCCATGTCTTGCTGGCTAAATGGTGAAATGGAACTTAGCGCTGTATCGCGGGTTGCGTGGTTCAGATGCGCGAGAATTGCCTGCAAATGGAAAACCAGGTTTTGGGCCTGCTGCTTCGTGACAATTCCTTCATCGTGCTCGACACGGAGTGTTGTCGTGTTTCCAGGCGACAATGTGAAGCTCAGGACGAGTGGGTAAGGATGTTCCTCCTTCTTCCCAACCTCTTCAATGTACTGGAGCCCCAGGGTCTGAGTCGAAGAAGAAATAGCATCCGAGAAACTTTGAGGATGGACAACGAGCAGAGTTTGGAAGTCGAATGCAGCAGAGTCTCCTCGGGCCAGATAGGTTCGAATCTTGGCAATACCCGAATGCTCGAACGGCGTCATCTCACCTGCTTGCACTCGAACTCGGGCAAGGAATGAAGCGATGGTCTCTTCGGGGTCGATGCGGAGGTTTATGGGAACAAGATTGATAGTTGGCCCAGTCATGTGGGGTACTCCGGGTATTGATGATGTTCTTCCATTGTTGATGACGCCAAATCCAACGTCTTCAGTACCGGTATAATGAGAAAGCAGAATGGCCCATGCAGCCCGCATAAAGAGGGCTTTTGTTACACCGAAGGCTGAAGGGTCTCCTAAGTCAAGTGGACGCTCTAGTGTAGACCTTTGACTAGCCTTCACATCGGTCGACTGAGGTGGATGCGGATACGGAGCAGGATGACTATCGGCCAAAGCCGCCTTCCAATATTTCTCTTCTTGCTCATATGGTAATGCGTTGATGGCCTGTATGAATGAATCGAAAGATGGACGTTCCGGGGTCGGCTCGGCTCGGAATCGCATAGACACTTCGTCGAGTAATAGGGGAAGCGAGGCTCCGTCGCACACAGCGTGATGGATAGTCCACACGAAATATCGCCCTACTTTTTCGCCATGCCGATCTACGACAATTGCGTATCGGCTATATGGATCGCCTGGGGCCATGACACTACTCGCGTCTTGCTGTAGAAACTCATGTAGGCCGGTGTTGTTGATGTTTAGTCTTGGCTCCTCGTCGAGAATTGCCTGCACATATCCGAGTCTATTCCCCAGATGACAGATGCGCGTACGCAATATCGGATTCTCCTGCACTGTTTCTTCCCAAGCACGCCAAAAAGCATCCAAGGGGGTATCATCGGTCATTTTGAAAACGAATTGTCTGACATACGAGTTCTGGTCGCTTCCCGCGAGGGACTTTTGCATCGGACTGCAAGGGTAGGCATTTTCAATCTTATCTTCAGATACATTGCATATCTCGGCAATTGATGCCTTAATATCTTGTAAGGGTGTTAGGTGGCTCAAGGAAGAGAATGGTGCGGCATTTGTTTCTATTTCTTTGAATGGTATTAGGCTGGCTACCTCCGCCATCTCCTCTATAGAGGCATGGACGAAGAGCTGCTCCATAGTAAGGATGATGCCAAGCCCTTTCGCTGCGGTTATCAGCTTTTGAGCCGATATAGAGTCCCCTCCGACTTCGAAGAAGACATCCTCGTCTGCGAAGCTTGAGGGCTCGTCCTGGAGTATCTCGGCCCATATTTCCCGAAGCTGTTCTTTGGTGGATAATGCGGGCGAATCATGGTCTCCTGCCTCGATCTTGTTTATTATCAGCTACCGATACATATGGTCTTGCTAATATTTGACAAGGATACTCACAGTTTCGATTCTATTCAATGGGTCCAAATGGTCTCCTTCCGGAGAGCGAAGTACAATTGACATTCTGGAGCATAGAGACTCGGACTTACGCGACTCAAACTACTTCGACTTTCTTTTCTCTTTACGTCCTTGAAGACTTAATATACAGGTGGCATAATGTGCCTGTTGGAATTGATATAGTCTCTTTAAGTAAGAGGCCCTAAGTCATTTTGGCAATTGCAGTTACAGATTCGAAGAGTTCATACTACGATGATGGCATAACCTACCTAGGGCAAATTCGGCTGGGTTCAGAAGAGGTATGAAAATCCCGGCGGTTGGATACGGTGATAATATGTCTGGGTTCGAATTGGTTGGAACCGAATCCTTCCGCTCCCGGTAAGGCTGACAATCCATATTTGGCAATGTGTGGGTAGTAGGTAAGAAATGATGTCTTGCTTACCTAGTATGTCCCCGCTAACCTAAAAGGTTGTAGGTAGAGATGTGGTGGTGGTTGCAGGCTACTCATCGTCAATATGGATGGATTCATGAGTAACTACAACACCTCTAAGAACATGTTATCAGTAACCAACTGGGGTTTTGAACGGTACGTATACAAGCACATCATCTCTACGTGATACTGTGACAAGGGTTATAAGGGCTCGGAATACGAATTTAATTTAGCTAATAATTTCTAGGGTCCAAAGATCCGTCCCCTTTATCTCCCTTCTGCCGAAGAGGATCCTGGAAACCTACCTTTGACGACAATCTATCCCTTCGGTGTTAAGGTTGCGTTATATTCTAAGCGCCCGAGAAGATTGCGTTGGCTTCCTTTGCATATGTCCTGCATATATTCAAGGTTGATATCTCCTTCTGATAAGCAGTCTTCCAATGGTAGGGCATACCTTCATCCAGCAGTCTTTGGTTGATACCAGCATAGGCTTGTTGCCAATCCTCGTGCGACGAGTATAAATTCAGAGGTTCAACACCGTTACACACCTTCACACTCAGTTACCTTAGTTCCATCAGTTTCATCAGTTTCATCAGTTTCATCAGTTCCATCAGTTGCACAAACTAAAGATCAAAGTAAAGATAAAAATGTGAGTTCTGTACAATGTGAACTTATCAAGTGCTTCAACTAATTAAACATGCTTCGACAGGCCTGCGAAGACTTTCCAGAAATATGACCCCTTTCCAGCACTGAGTCTATCGAGCCGAAAGTGGCCCGATAACTCTATTACGAAACCACCTCGATGGCTATCAACGGATTTGAGAGATGGAAATCAAGCTCTGGTTCAAGTATGTTGCCTCCCTTTATAATTCGCTTCTTGTAGCTGAACTAATACTTGAAATAGCCCATGGACAGCGAAGCTAAACGCCGCTACTTCCAAGCTCTCGTGAAACTTGGATATAAAGAAATCGAAATTTCGTATCCAGCAGCATCACAAACTGAGTGGGATTTCACAAGAGAACTTATAACCACACCGGGAGCCATTCCGGACGATGTTAGGATTCAAGTCATGGCCCCTTGCCGCGAAGATCTAATTCGTCGGACTATAGAGGCAGCTCGAGGCGCGAGGAGTGCTATCGTTCACATACACTTATCCACGTCCCGCTGCTTCCGCGAGGTCGTGTTTAATATGACTGAGAACGAGATGAAAGATCTGGCAGTCCGCTGCACTCGGCTGATCCGAGAGTTGACTAAGGAGTCAACTGATCCAGAAATCAGGAGTACGGAATGGACTCTACAATTCTGCCCAGAAAACTTTCAGGATACATCCATTGAATATGCTCTCGAGATATGCGAGGCTGTTAAGGCTACTTGGCAGCCTACGCAGGATAACCCGATTATTTTCAACCTAACCGCCACGGTCGAGGTTGCAATGCCTAATGTTTTCGCAGACCAGATAGAGTACTTTTGTACTCATATCACAGAGAGGGAGAAAGTCTGTGTGTCGCTGCATAACCATAACGATCGTGGCAGTGCCGTAGCAGCTGCTGAACTAGGCCTGCTAGCCGGCGCTGATCGGATCGAGGGCTGTCTATTCGGCAACGGAGAAAGGACTGGCAATGTGGACTTGGTTACGCTTGCAATGAATCTCCACACCCAGGGTATCTACTCAGGGATTGACTTTTCGGACGTGAAGTCGGTCGTTGCTATGGTTGAGGAACTCACTAAAGTTCCTGTCCACGTTCGGGCGCCGTATGCGGGCGCGTACACATTTTGCACATTCAGCGGCAGTCATCAAGACGCCATCAGGAAGGGGTACAAGGCGCGTGCCAAGATGGAAAGGAAGCTTGGCAAAGAACCTAAATGGGTGATGCCGTATCTCGCCATGGACCCTGCAGATCTAGGACGTGAGCACGAAGCGATCATCCGCATCAACTCGCAATGTGGGAAGGGCGGTATCGGCTGGTTAGTCGAGGAGCTTTTCGGCATCAAGCCGCCTCGAGAATTAGAGATCGCTTTTACGAAAATTTGTAAAGCGCACGCCGACGATATGGGCATTGAGCTCACTCATGGTATTATTGAGAATCTTTTCCGTTCTAGGTATATGCAGGCCGAAGGCCATGGCGGCGCTACACGGGTCAAGGTTCAGGAGTGCGAGATTGGTAAGCACAATACCAATGGCGCAAATGACACAAATGGTACCCATTTTGACGGCCAAGCCCTTAAGAATGGATATTCAAATGGCCACGGAAAGTCCGGATCTGCATATCTCCGGGCTACTATCGCCGCGGAAGGCGGCACATACGATCTCTGCGGCACGGGTAGCGACGTCTTGGCTAGTGTACTAGACTCTATGCGGAAGGCTGGAAGCACATTCGAACTTCTCGTCCACGAGTCGCAGAACACTGATAATGCATCTGAAGATATCTTCACTTCCAAGACCGCGATCATGGTCAAGCTGGGTACCTCAGACAGAACCACGGCCTGGGGCGTTGGAATTCACGAGAGGCCCGAGTGGTCTACTTTACAAGCGGTGAGTTTAAGATTTTTAACTCTTGCATGCATACTACCTAGTACCTTATCTATCGCCTATAAGATCTACGTCTTACTGACAGAAACCCAGGTTTTGAGTGCGGCTCAGCAGCTTGGAGTGGATGGCTGGCAGAAGTTACAGATGCAGGAAGCTTAAGAGGGGGGCTAAGGGGGTAAATCCGACTAGAAATTTGCTCGTGGCGCAAGACTGTCTAGATTGAAATATCTGCGCACCGTGTGGCTTTTTTTGTTTAGTGGTTGAGTTCTCTAGATAGACTTGAGCTATAGAGGCTATCCCCTAGAATTTAGCGAGTAGATCTCAATAAAGTCTCTGTTTTGACCAAAGTATAATACAGTGTAAATTTATCGTCTATATAAAACCGCACTGGGCAAGGGATAGGGCTGATGTTTCAAATCTTCGACGCGAACCTTCGTATCTACTAGGCAGCTATGTAGGACTTAGGTAGCCTATCGATGCGGTAATTCCAGAAACCTGTTATGGTCCATAATTATCCATAATTATCGTGCTTTGAATTCATGCAGCGGCGTTTGAGCAATTTCACAATGTGACGCTCCTTATCTCTTGGCTATGTAGGTAGGCGTCTAAGTAAACAACCGCAGGTTTCTTGTCAGATACCAAGAGATAGATCCTCACAGCTTTTAACCACATTGTATTACGGTGACATCCACAATACGCCGACGGATGAAGCACCCGGGATGCACGTCGTAAGTCTGACCATTCTCAGCTGCGACATCTTTCACGTCTTCACGTGGTAATGCCGATGAGCCGTCTTCGGACTTCTTCTGGTATCATGAATCCGGTCGAAAGTTCAGGAAACGTCATAATAAAGCTCATGGCGTGAGTGATATCGCCCTTTCGTGGGAAGTGAAACGGTCTCCGAAAATGCGTCGATCCCCGAGGACAAGAGCATATCTCCTCGTCCGCCGAAGACGCTCGAGTCTAGATGCAGTCTGAATGCACTTCGTCTTATGTAATAACTCATCGACACCCATAACCATAAAAGCTAGGCTGTTATTAGCTGAGTGCTTTCAGGTGAGCTCTAGACCAGTTAAAGATCATAGCATAATGATGACTTCATCCACGACATTGCTCACCGTGAGTTCAGACGTTAAATCTTAGTGCTTAATCCTTCATCCTACGACGGGCCGTTCATACGTGAGAAGTATAAGTTGTCATGGAGAAAAGCAGGTGGTTGACGCTCGCGCTTGCTGGAAATGGTAGTAATATGCCGACATAATCATGGTGTAAGTTAGCGTGACCGCATTCCTAGGAGGAAAAGGATAGGGGCTATAACGCATTAAACCAAGTAATTTGGACGCGCTCGTCTCTATGAAGGGATTCTATGTCGTTAGAATTTTCCTATGTTCAATACCTACCTAGACTGTCAACAGCTACCCCTTAGAAACCATGCCTTCTGTTACTCTTGATAACGAAGTTCGAGAGGTGATGTCCAACGACTTTGTCTTTGAGGGCCCAACTTCATCACCTTTACGAGTTATCAACATTGGTCAGTTGCTCGATGAGTCGTGCAGAGAGAACCCCGAGAAAGTTGCGTTGGTGTCCCGATGGCAGGGAGATCGGTTAACGTACCAGGAGCTTAATGACTCCTGTCGGGTGATAGCTCGTCGCTTACTTGACATGGGTGTGCGCCCAAAAGACCACATCGTAGTCCTAGCTGGAAATTCTATCGAGTATGTGCAGCTGTTTCTTGCGACCGGCGCTATAGGTGCCATATTCAGTATCATCAATCCTACCTTCACAGTTGAAGAGGTTGTTCGCGCCGTCGAGTTCCTAGGTAAGTAGATTTCTATGCTCTACGCGAATATAGAGCGAGATTTCTAATTTCAGTTAATCACAGAACCGAAAGCGATTTTCATCGCAGATAGAATCGGTTATCGCAAGAATAAACCCCTCCTATCTATGCTGAGTCAGCTCCAGACATGCACATCATTCATCGTGGAGCTCTCCAGAGAAGGGGAAATTAGCGGGAAGAGATCGGCGTGGAGAGAGTTTCTCCAGAGCGACGCGGAGGCTGACGCCAATCTCCTATACCGGTATTGGGCAAAAGCAGATCAGAACGATACGTTCTGTATACAATTTACGAGTGGGACGACAGGGCCCCGAAAAGCGGCAATGTTATCACACCGGTATGTATATCCGCTGGTCGCACCACTTAACCGAGTCTCTTACTAATTCGTCTGCGTCGAAAGCAACCTCATTAATAACGCTCTGGGTGTGGGACATCGGCTTGGCTACACGAACCGTGATGTCGTATGTTGTTGCGCTCCCTTATTCCACTGCTTCGCTTTGGTATGTGGCGTTATGTCGACTATTGCCTTTGGGGGAACAGTTGTGCTCCCGTCGGATATCTTTCTCGCAAGTGCTAGCCTCGAGGCAATTTCGGAGGATCGGTGTACCGTGATCAATGCCGTGCCCACCATGTTTCAAGGCATACTTGATCATCCGGATTTGAAAAAGCATGCTCTAAAGGCGTGTCTTAGAACCGGCATCGTGGCTGGCTCTAGCTTACCGAACCTATTGGTCCCGCGACTCGAAGCGGAGCTTGGGCTTAGAGGTCTTGCTTACGCCTATGGTATGTACCCCAAGCTTGTGTATTAGGTACGAACCATAGCTAATTTAGCTTCAGGCATGACAGAGCTGTCTTGTATAGTTTTCTCGACCAACCCCTCTGAAGTATCTCTCTTAGATAATCAAATTAGTGTTGGCACAGTTGTTCCTCATGGCGCGGCGAAAATAGTCGGCAGCGACCTAAAAAGCCTCCCGCCAGGATTTAAAGGAGAACTGCTGGTATCCGGATACCTTACTTTCCAGGGATACTATAAGAATCCAGAGAAAACAAATGAGACAATGGTAAAAGACGCCAAAGGACGGCTATGGGTGAGAACTGGTGATACAGCCGCCATTGACGTCAGCGGCCGCTGCACTATCATGGGACGCGTGAAAGACATGATAAAAAGAGGCAAGTCGGTATCAATCCTTCACACCTGAATAATGGAGAGATGACTAAACCTATCATCAGGGGGAGAAAACATATTCCCGCGAGATATCGAAGAAGTGCTAGAGCAGCATCCTGGTATAGTCGCGGCGGCCGTCGTAGGCATTCCGGACGCGTACTGGGGTGAGATTATCGGCGCCTTCATTCAACCTGCTAGCGGGTATGAGACAAAACCATTGACCGGTCGAAGGAACCTCAAGCCGTGGCTGAGGAACCGGATAGCCCCTCATAAATTTCCCGAGCACTTCTTCTGGTTAGGGGACGGCGAGGGCATCCCCGATGAACTGCCATTCAACTTCAGCGGGAAAATCATGAAGGAGAAACTGCGAACTATTGCGTGCGATTTACTTCAAGTGAAGACAAGCAGCTGAGTGGTATTTGTGCGATTTCCGGATGTTCGAATTGAAAGTTAGAAGTAAATGATTGGAGTTGTTTTGCGGAAATTAGACACGGTCGGCCCTCAGGGGTTTATTTCGTTTCCCATTTCTTTTTCTGACGTCATATGTAGCACAACCATTAGATGAATAAATGAAACTCTTTGTTAGGAAATATTTATCAAGACGTAGTTTCACACCTGGTATATGTATTATTTCAATTATATCCCTTTTGATGACATAATATATACTACTGTTTAATGAATAAAATAAATATCTACTATTTGCATACAAATCGCCCTTCCGATGTCAATCGAGCTCCGGTTGTCCCGGGAATTCTGCGATTTCGCTCAAACCCGTGAATTATAAATCAAAGATCCTGATGGGAACTTGGCAATTCTTACAAGTATCTTGGGTGGAAGAAATGGTTAACTCTTTTCTCTTCCCTGCAAAGAGATCTCTAGACTAGTGGTCCTGCGTTCTAAAGACCATGATGCGTTTGTCTCTCTCATCCAGATACATCGCCCATTAAACACCGTACTGAGGAGGCCTGGCAACAACACGGTCTCATCCACTTTCTACCTCGATTTCTCATAGCTTCTTAGCTGAGAAATACATCTGTTTAATATCATTACCTCCTTGCCAAGTCATTCCCTTTTCGACAACCGTGCTAGCGGTCGAGTAAGGGATGAGCTTGGTTTCGACATCCCACTTTCCTTCCGACGAAGACTCCAACAGCTGGTTGATCGTTTCGGGGCTGTGATAATACAGCGACCACCCCGTGGCACTAGTGTTGAAGGCGCCTCCCGCTTGAGCAGTGGCCATATGACGCCCAAAGATCATGGAGCCTTTGCGGTTTTTCAACAGCTTCGTCACGTGAGCCATGATCTTAATCTGCTGCTCATAGGTGAAGAGGTGTAGGAAGGATCCTACGAAGATAATATCGATCTTGCCTCGGAACTCGGACAGGAAGTCGTCCTCGAAAACGTCGCCAGTGACCAGGCGGGCCTTGAGTGTATCGCGGTCCTTGAAGAGCTCGTAGCCCAGATCGTGGAACCTCGACTCAACGTCGACACCTATGAGGTTATCGGCAGGAGCCCCGTCATAGACGTACTTGCGTATGTCTTGGCCAAGACCGCAGCCCATATCGAGCAATGTCTCGCCAGCACGGACGCGCTCGAGGACTTCGGGGTACGCGGGCGAAAGGGATGCTGGAAAGTCGAGAAACCTGAAGCAGCCAACACATACGTATGGCAGACTAAAGTAGCAAGTCAGACAGGAATGGGCGCAACTAGGTATTGTCTCTTGATGTGAGTGGGTAGAGTGGCTCGCTTACATTTCCCAGGCTTCATCTCGTACCCGATAGATGTGTTTGAAGATCTCGTCGTCGCTGATCTTGGAGTAATTCTGAAAGATCTGCTTGGCTGTCTCCGGGATCTGTTTTAGCTCCGGCTGGTACCACGCAACATCTCGTGAAGCCTTATTCTTGCCATTGGTGAAGTTCAAAGTCTCGGCGACCTTTTCCGACGAGTCAACCGATGTCGGGATTTCGTTAACGGCAGCCATGGTGGTGATGGGAACGGATAGAATCGCGATAAGACAGCTTTACAACGATCGAGTACGAATTGTGGTCAGTGTGTTCTATTTGACGCAATTTTCTTGGAGAAAACCAGTGTGGATGAACTTAGGGGAGTACAGCCAATTCTGAAGCGGTGCGGCCATGTTCCTGAGGTCTTGAGGATGCTGAATATATTGCCCCGTCTGACACACTCCGTTGGTTTCGTCCTCAGCTATTTCCGGTGTTGGAATATCTACCGTCGCCGGTTCCGGTGCCTACCACATGAGTATCCCACGCGGTGATGACCCCATTCTTACATTTTGAGCATATCGAACGGTGTCGCTTACTCCTCTGATAAGGTTTCGTTATGGGTGGCGTTGATCACCCCTCGCAACAACATGACCGAATTTGGAAATAATTACCCGCCGCTTTTTCTGGCTACTTTCCTTACGTTGCTGACGCTAGACTGGAAATATGGAAACTTCACTTGAGAAATAGTAAAACCTCTTAAAGCATGTCTCCTGGCACTGCAAGTTGGTTTGGAGAATATGCGGAAAGATCTAACATCATCCAATTGTTGCATGAGTGTTATTTCTCAATATGTCTGCCACGACCCAAACAGAAAACGAGGCGAAAGAGCTAGGATTCTCTGTGCGTCAAGGTGTCGACTGGTCCAATTACGTTCTATATCGGCCTATCTACCAGAATTCTTTTTTCACACACATATTCGATTATCATTCCCAAAAACCAGGGGTATCTTGGTCTATAGCCCACGATATCGGAGCTGGCCACGGGATAGCCTCGTCAACTATTGCCTCTCGATTCGACCACGTAGTAGTTTCCGACCCCAACGACGGCTATACGCAAATCGCTCGAAATCTCCTCGTTGAGCAAAGTGGGATTTCCGAGTCCAAGTTTACATTCCTCCAACAAGGCGCCGAAAAGAGCTCGGTGGAATCAGCGTCAATCGATCTTATCACTGCATGCGAATGCATGCAGTGGACGGACACTGAGGCAGCTGTCGGGGAGTTCGCAAGGCAGCTCAGACCCGGGGGAACACTCGTGATGACCTACTACACTAGGCCTTTGATTGTGGGAAACGAGCGTGCTCAGGACATCTGGAAGGCAATTTTCGAGGCGTACTCGAAGAACGCAACAGGAGACTTACTTGATCGAGCCTTCAGAATCTTAAATAACGGATTCGACGCCATTGCCCTACCCGAGGCCAGCTGGAAGACCGTTAAGCGGGTGTATATCAACGCTAGCCAAGGCATTGCGAGCTTTAAGATTAATGACCGTGTGGGAGAAAACAGGGTAGGGAAGAATGAGGAACGTGTCTGGGTGAACGGTGATCCGGACTGGTCTGATAACCAAGACATCGATTGGCTCAAGAAGTATTTTGCTACATGGGTTCCTGTCTTACCAGAGAATGAGATTCGGGGGCTCTGGGATGAGTTAGAATGCATTTTGGGCGGCGAAAAGGTCCGTTTAGAAACACCCATCGCGATGGTTTTCGCTACAAAGAGAGCATAGAGATTCAATTAGATATAAGACCTTCAATATAACGTTGGCCACCTATGATATTATGTGCCAAGCAAAAATACTGAACAAACTTTGATAACCATGAGATAGTCCTAGGCTTAACTCCAAGATGCTGGTTGAGGACTTGTTCCTCATATCTCATGATGATTCATAAATATTAATTGCTAGAGCCGAGGAGGATTTTGAGGGAAGATGTTCCAAGGGTGATGTTACACTCATACGAGTAACTTTCCGCGAGTGTAGTATGCTATAATAATGTCGTATTAGGCAATCCGCCAGGTGAGTTGCGGGGCATCAAGGTGAACTAATACGGTAACAAATCACCGAAGCACAGCTACTAACTTCTATCACTTGACCCGATCTGATCATTCTATTAAGGTAGCAAATATAATATACCGCATATTATATAAATTGAATGAAGTTAGAAGGTTTATCTTGCGATTATCTAGCATAATGGTAAGAATATTGAATGTCGTACCTAGACGATAGGCCTGTTACTTCATTTTTACAGCCTTAGCACCCTATAACTTCTCTAACCATGGAGGGTCTTAGGCTACTCAACCCCCTATCGAAGGCCGATGACATCAAGCACCTTTCGGGGTTTCCTAGGTTGAAACCTGCTTACATCCTGAAGGTGATTATAAAACAAACCATTTGAATTTAACACTTCGTATTCATTCGCTAACACTGCTTAGATCAATCTTGGCAATATTCTGACGGTCGGTAAGTAAAAACCAGAGCGCCAAAACTCGACAGCGAGACAATGAGGTAACTGATACGTAAACGGTTCAGGAAATATCGCCTCAGGCACGAAACTGCTCCACGTTGTATGTCAATTCTAGAGTCGTTCCTCCCGCACGCAATTAGTACTAATATAAGACATTTATAGGATACGAGCACGGGTACCCTCACGACGGCCGAGGGTTATGAGCACCAGGTCACGGGCGAAGTCATCTACGGCGCCGACTGGATGTTCAACGATCCCGATGAGCTACACGCCCGCCCGAATATAAAGATTCTAATCAAGTAAACCACCCAGAGCGAGTTTCTATTATTACTTCAAAAACCGACTAACGAATGCGACATAGGACGGAGGATGGTTTGGTATGAAGCCAAATAGAGCGCCAACTCATAGTCTTAGAGACCAAGACTAATGTCGCGCAACAAAGATTCTAAGTTCAGAATACACCGGCGTCGCCGTATTCAGCGAACCCATCACGAAGATGTGGGCGGGCGACCCGAGCATTAAGACATTCCCATTTGGCATCTCCAGTACGCCACTTCCCATCCCCCCTCCTACATGAAACCCGACTAATAGTAGTGGTTCCTCAGCGACGACGCACACTTTTTCAGCCGGTCACTCTAAGTACAAGTTCTTAGAGACGAAGACTTTCGTGGGGAATGGACGCTTCGTCATCAACGAGAACCCACGCTCGATCACGGTCGAGTCTCGTATTTCGGAGGTGATAGCGAGTAACGACTTAGAATAAGATCGTGGCAACTTTTGGAGATGCGTTGTCTAGGTCGCACAATCTTAGTACCTAACGCAGCCACTGTATATATTCTCACTCTCCAGAGGCTATCTTCTGTGTTTCCCCTGGTCCTTCTCTAGTCTAGGTACCAAATTGGCCCTAACTGTTGTCATTCAACCCCGAAGGTTGTCCGTTACAGGTATAGAAGTATTTCCGTTGGGCATCGCTAGATATTATAACTTCAATTACGAATTTCATCGTAGTTACTTTCGATACTAACATACCAATACACTATTTACCGACGATAACCATTGCCTTCTTTAAAAAGCTGCATCACCGGGGTTATTGACCAATAATCAATATGAGGCTGCGCATCCTGATCAGATACTTGCCGCGACTACCCTCACTACCACCTAGGATTTTCTTGTATTATTTAGGTCAATCGCACATTCTATAGATGCGGAGAACCTGACCATTCTTAACCATTCTTCAATTTCAAAGAAGAGTTGAAAAACTTGCGCTTCCTAGATAGGTACCTACACAAGGACATTTAGAGTCTACGAGTAAGTCTAACACTCAGAAGAAGTATACTTCGCGCTAATGGTTTCTAGTTAAAGGAGAAATCGAGGCTTCCCTACACATGGATTCCACCAAACCCGACACGAAGCTGCCGTGTACGTCGTGTGCTGGGAGCGGGGAATTGACCTGGAAATTTGTCAAATGCGACTGCAATCCGAATGGCACCACTACAGAAGTGGAAACAAACTGTCCGAAATGTCCATCAACGAGCCCGGGCTGGCAGGTACAGAGCTTGGACAAACCAAGGGAGTGCACGACATGCTACGGTACTGGTAAAGTTTGAATGTCCAGTGGGGGTAGACGGTGCTATAGGGCTATAGGGTAGTTTATTACTGGGATTTAACCTAACTGCGCCTAGTTTCCTTTTTTCTTCTTCAACTTCAGATTCTTACTCTAACTTGGTATATGCTAGCACAATCTGTGCAAATCCTTTCGTTCTTGTCATCATAGTACGTTTGGTTAAACGGTTGGGGTTGGAAAGCAAAGGCTCCAGGGCTGCCTTTCGTTGCTGTCTCGCTAGTGGTTAGCGATGTTGAATGCAGAGATCTTAATGAAGCTATACGGTGCCTCATAATACTGTCATTTAGCACCATGATGCTACTGTAGGCGCTGAACTGTAGCTGTAGGTACAAATCTACAATGGATATTCTGTAGATAGGTACTGTCTGTTTACAGTGGAGGGGTTCACTTTTCAGCACTGGGGGGGAACGTTTTACCCCGCTTTCGTGACCTCCAGGGCTCTGAGAGCGGCGTTTTTTTCTTCTTCCAGCGGCCAAACTCCTTGAGCAAACCTGAAATATAACGATTACTAGTGCTAGCTAAATGGACAGGTCGCTACAACACACACAAGTCGCTTCTATTAGTTTCACATTTTCTGCCTAGTTGCCTAGGTAGGTACCTACCTAGTCTATTCTAACATCGTAATTATGTAAATTTTTACAATACCTCCAGCGTCTCCTAAGTTCAATAATGTCAAAATTCTTCGCTAAGAGAATTGTCAAGCATCATAAGCCTTTGACGATGACCTCGGAGTCCCCCACTTTCTCACTAGACAAACACAGATACCGTATACCCTCTACGAGATCGTCCAACCACTCTTGACTAGCCTTCATGCTCAAGAATCTCCAGAAGCCATGAGGTAATCCCGAATACATATGAATCTTGCTTTTAGTTCCCGAGTGCTTTTCAAGCAATTTCTGCCACACGAAAGCCTCGTCGCGAAGGGGATCCCCGCCACATACCTGGAAATACACTCGTTGTGGTAAATTGGAATGATTCTCGTTTAACAAGAATGACACTCGAGGGTCATTAGGTGGTGCGCCATAAACGCCTACACATTCCATCTATGTTAGCGCTATTTCGATATTTAGATTATAGAGGAAAATGACGCGGACGAACCTTGGATGTCACCGAGTGACTTCGCTGTCAACATAGGATTAATCGCATTCTGCTCCAAGCTGAGAAGCTGGTCCCTTATCTCAGGCCGTACCTGAGGATATGCATCGGGCATGATACAGACGGGGACTGATAAGAATAGGCCGGTGATTGGTGGCGAAAGACCTGCATCGCGAGCCGTATACGCAATGACACCGGCGAAGTTAGCGCCGGAGGATATCCCACCGACAAAAAAGCCCGCGGTGGCAGAGGCGCGTAGGTGGCTTTCCGCGTTAGCGGCAGCCTACGAAGGTCAATGTTTTATATTCCTAGTCCGGATCAAAAACAACATACCCATTTCGTTGCGTCGTAGCTATCATTGAGTCCGTAGGGAAACGGCCATTTGGGTGCTAAGCGGTAACCCACGTTAAGTACGCTAATATTCAGCCTCGATGCAAGAATCTGGCAGTTCAAATGGCCACTGTCGAGGTCGCCGAAGAGAAACCCTCCGGCATGCAGATAGACAAGTAGCGGCCTTGATATTAATGTACCTGAACCCGAAGTGGGGACGTAAGTTCGCACGGGAATATCGTATCCATCACGGGCTTCGATAGTGAATGTTTGCACTGCAACAGGGGCACGTTTCACGTCTTCTGGTATTTGGCGAAGTGGTATGGCAGCTTCGACTTGTTCGAATATTCTACGGCGTTCTACAATATCGACTCGATCCAAGTCGCCGAGCAGAGGGTTTTCGGAGACGAACTGAGAGTAACTTCATCAGCCAAGTATCTCTGGCCTATAACGTGGTTGTGTAATGTGAAATAGATCGATCGATGCGCATCCGTGTATTTGTAATGATATAAGCGTACCTTTTCCCACTGGGGGCTTATTTCTGAATATTTCGCATACTCAGCCATGACCGCAACTTCGCTTAGGGTGAAAATCGGGACGATCTTACGACGAGGATCTCCAAGTATATGTGTACGTCTACCCTCCCATCTTCGAATGGCTGTGAACCCAATCTTGTGATATAGCCCGGAATTCAAGCTTATTTCGTAGCCTGCCGCGGATTCGTTGCCGCCAACGCTCCCGCTGTTTGGGCATATGCTGTGTAACCGGAATATTACTTCCTAATCCGGACAGTAAGTGCCAGATCAGCCAATCAGATGGCAAGACGTAATTTAAACCTTGAATACATCAACAGAATGAAATTTTCATCCAATATGTGTAATTTAATTGAATTTTGCATTTGTAATCAGTAGATTACAAATTCAAAATTTGTATCGAGGTCTAGTTGAGTCAAAAATCAGATGGACGACGTTGAAAGGTTATAGGAAGTCTTAAACGACGACTATCCTGGTCTTCCTTACTATCTTTGAGAACACCTTCAACACATTCAACGCCCTTTCAATAAACATATTTTTGAGCTTCAAGGTGTTCTAGTCGTAAGATTTGACTGAGTCTCCTGGAACGACCATCTCAAAAATGGCTGTTGAAAGCGAAGGCCTCGCCCGCAACAACGGCGATGCCAAGGCTCCAAATGACAATGAGAAATACGGAGATATCTTACCGTCTTCGGGAGAGGATGAGCAACAGGTCAAGGAGACACCTCCTCGCGACGTCACCGGCTGGAAGTGGTACATGGCAATAACAGCCATCCTCTTCTCCATCTTCCTTTACGCGCTAGACAACACAGTCGTGGCCGACATCCAGTCCATCATCATCAAAGATCTCGGAGAAGTCGACAAACTTTCCTGGCTGAGCGTCGCCTTCCTCTTGACGGCTACAGCCACCAACCTAGTTTGGGGTAGGCTCTACGGCCAGTTCAACGCCAAATGGTTCTACATTTTCAATGTCTTCCTTTTCGAGGTGGGCTCGGCCATTTGTGGTGCTGCCCCCAACATCAACGCCTTAATCGTCGGCCGCGCCCTTTGCGGCATTGGCGGTGCTGGTCTCTATGTCGGTTGCATGTCGCTCATCGCGATGACAACGACCATGGCTGAACGTCCCCTTTACATATCTATGACAGGCTTCACCTGGGGGGCTGGCATCGTGCTTGGCCCTGTAATAGGAGGGGCTTTCAGCCAGTCCGCAGTTGGGTGGCGTTGGGCTTTTTACATAAACCTCTTTATTGGCGCGGTATGCGCCCCCGCCTATCTGTTTCTGATACCTAGTATAGACCCACGGCCCGGCGTGTCTTTTAAGGAACGCGCTCAGGAAATGGACTACACTGGTACTGTTCTCCAGATGGGCGCCATGGTGACCTTCGTCTTAGCGATAAACTGGGGGGGTGTTACCTACCCCTGGAAATCGGGTCACATAATCGGTCTCTTCGTTGCTTCGGGTGTGCTCTTCATCCTTTTAGGGATTCAACAGGCTTATGCGATAACCACGACGGCGATTCGTCGAATCATTCCTGTTCAATTTTTCCGGTCGCGCTCCGTACTTATCCTCTTCAGCTGTACAGCTGCCTCGGGAGCATGCGCCTTCGTCCCTATCTATTTCGTTCCCATTTTCTTCCAGTTCAGTCGTGGTGATGGGCCATTAGATGCCGGTGTTCGACTTCTTCCTTTCATCGCAGTCATGGTGGTCGTGGTATTCGCCAATGGGGCCCTTCTTTCAAAGTTGGGTTATTATATGCCCTGGTACACCGCTGGTGGCTTGTTTGCGATGGCTGGTGGCGCCCTTATGTATACCGTGGATTCGGAGACATCGGAATCGCGGATCTATGGGTACACAGTAATTCTAGGCCTCGGAGTCGGCATGTTCCTCCAGGCATCCTTCTCCGTCGTGCAAGCTGTAGTCGATCCGGAAAACATTCCACCCGCGGTCGGTTTCCTCACATTGGCTCAATTCGCTGGTATTACTATCGCTCTAGCCATCGCCAATGCCATTTACCTCAATGAGAGCGAGACTCAAATCTCGAAGATCGCGCCTTTCCTAACGCAAGATCAAATAGAGCTTGCCATGCAAGGTGCAGCGGGCGATGCCTTCAACGACCTTCCGGCCGACACGAGGGCGGCGATCTTAAATGTCATCACGACGGCTATCAGCAAGACGTATATCCTCGTTATCGCGGGTGGATCACTAGTCGCGATTCTCAGTCTTGCCATGAAGAGGGAGAGGTTATTCGCTCCTGTTGCTGTCGGTGCTGCCTAAGTTTTATAACGCTTGAGAGGAGAGAAATTGTGTTCAAGATACGGGCTGCAGACTGCTGAGAGTTTAATGAGACCCTTATCTCGCCGCAGCTACCCCACCCTCCCAACTCGGCCCCCAAATTTATGTTACACAAATTTACCCCTCATTTTCGAGTTGTTCGTATACCAGCGACGAAACGCGTAAAGCGCACCCAGAACTTTGAATCTCCTCAGTGTTATTTCAGTTGAGCGTTGAGATCGAGCTCATAATAAAATGGACTTACGATATTGCATATCATCATAGAGGCATGATATGAAGGAAAGATAGTATAAATACGAATGGGCTGATGGCTTTTGGATAACTAATAGGTGGTGGTGATATGATACCAAAATAGTGGCATGGTTTTTTTTGGCAGATGTTCGAAGCCTTCATAGACAGGTAGTTACCTACATAGTATTACCGTCCGGTTAGGTAAATGGCGTTGTGCGGCGCTTTCCTAAGTTTCCAAGTTGAAGATCTCAATACGACCAGGTTATATAAGCCAACAGATTACGTCAACAGGTCAATAGATGAGGTCTACTTCGGGACCGAAGTCAATATTCCCTCAATATTTTGTTTCCTACAACACATCCTAAAATGATTAATGGTCCAATAGGTACCTATCATTGCTCTCTAAATAGCAATATGCTTCCCTGGTAACACGATTAAATCTACGACATGTTTTGCATGAAGAAGAGCTTAATGCCTTCGTCAGCTTCAGTCAAATCAACTATTGTCACCCAATTGACTTATATCCGCATGAACGAGTCTCTTGCATTTTTGTAACTGTTCAACAATAGCTGCAGATTGGGCTGATGGTAAAAGTTTCGAATAGGTCCCTTGACCCCTGGATCCCTTGAAGTTTAGTGCTAACAAGTCCAAGCGTTCTAGTGTTCTAGTGTACTATCGTAGGTACCTAGCTACCTAGGTATTGTATTGTACAATACCTATCTGCTATTTGCCTGTCTGGTACCGGGCGCGGTGAAGGGAGTACGCTACAGCACCTGACGCTTGGATAGCCCTAAGGCTCTACACTTTGTTTCAAGGTAAGAGACATAAAACAATCTTTAAGCCTCAATATATTTGATACGCCTATCAACTTGGAGAACAAACAAATCAAGTCGGTCAATTCTTAAAAGAACCGGAACTTCCCAATTCGAGTCAAGCCATGTTACAAAGGTCAACTACCTATCTACCTTACTGGTAGCTAAATTGGTGAAGGCGCTGATGCAGGTTCGAATAGCATCTGCGCCACATCAAGGTATCGTTGATCTGCGCTAAAGATCTTCGCATTCTCTTCAATGTCCAAATCAATCAATATCTCAGCTCCCGAATATCTTCGGAAAGCTCGCATTCGGGAATCGGCAGCGTGTAAGTAGTACAAGACAACCAATTGAAAAGAGGGTTAACTAAAAAAGATCGGTCTTCATCAACATCCGCGGGCGGCAGTCCGGCAGTTCAGGTGGGGTCGCACAGGGGTCACAGCGGTTGACAAGCTTTAGACCAAAGCCACCACGTCCAATCAAGACATCAGCATTACAAGGAACTTCCCGAATTGGCCAATCAGCTTTCACCAAGCTGTACGAAAAGGGACACGGTAGGACTCATCCTTTGGCGCCGACATTCTGTATCGATATGTAGGTACACATATCTACACCCAATGACCAGACATGTCACAACGCCTTCAAATCTGGGGGCGCAGTAGACGGAGGTCGGCCGTGGGTAAGAATGTATTCAAATACCTAGACCTCCATCGTCAAACGGTCAAAGAATTCGTGAATATATCTGATACTACACATTGACGCGCGTACTTCCCCTTTTCCCTTTTCCCTTTTGCTTTCTCCCTTCGACTATCCCTTCTCCTACCTCCAGCGTTACATTCCTTTTCATCCCACATTCTCATTCTTGGGTTCGAAAAAGGAACCTTGGGTTGTATTTTTCTCTCCTCTTGATATATAACATCATTAATATCACATTTACCCACTTACTCTCAGCTTGACGCTAGAGGCTATTCAGATACCTAATACATTCATTTCATACCTACGCAAATATGAGGTCTTCTAATATGATCCGCCAGCTGGGCCTGGCTTTATCTTTCTTCTTCGCCTCATCTCAGGCACAGACAAAGCCACAAGCACAAGATGCGAGTAACACTCCGTCAAACAAGACCGCGGGTTCGGTCTTCGTCACACCAGAACAGAATTTGGCATTCGCTCTTAACGTTCCGGACGATTCCACCACAGATTTATACTTCTCCCTCATGATGACTACGTCAACTAGCTGGGGGGCCATAGGCCTCGGTTCTCACATGGCTGGTTCACTGATGCTCGTGGTATATCCATCACAATCAAGGAATAGCCTGACCATATCGCCGCGAATAGCAACCGGCCACACGGAGCCCGTCTACTCGCCCGAGATCGAGATAGAGGTGATGGGAGGAACGGGACATGACAACAGCACAAACACTTTCATTTTTAATGGACGATGCACCAACTGTCGATCATGGTCTGGCGGATCTGGAAAGGTCGACGTCACGAGCAATATCCAGAGCATGATGTATGCCACCGGTGAGGACCTTAGTTATCTCGCTACCGATGCGCGCGATGGCCCCTTGAAAATGCATTACAACTACGGTACTTTCACAATGGACATGGTACATGCTACCGGGCCGGCAGGTATTCCGATAATCGACAGCTCGATGAACAGCACACTCGTTGGAACGTCGCAACGTCTTTCTACGGAAGGCAAGAAGGACATGGTCGCTATGGCACATGGGGTTATCATGATACTAGTGTTCGTCGGGTTGTTCCCCTTCGGTACTTTCGTTCTACGCTTCGGAAATTGGGTCCGTTGGCATGGTGCCACCCAGGGATTCGCCTTCCTCCTTACTTTCATTGCTTCGATCCTTGGGTTTGTCATCAGCAAAACTTATAATAGGGTATGTCAGCCAATGTGTGATTTGACACGGGATAGGAGAGTTCACTAACTCGTTCGTAGTCCAAGAACTTCAACACAGCACATCAGGTCATCGGTTTCTTCGTTTTCTTTTTTCTCTTTGCCCAATTCGCGTTAGGCTTCATGCACCACCGTCAATTCAAGAAGACGAAGGAGCCAACTAAGTTGGCCCCAATTCACAGATGGCTAGGTCGTCTTATCCTCTCCCTAGGGGGCCTTAATGGAGTCCTGTAAGTTTTCCCTTCGATCTCATTCTATGCCCCATCAAATTCGCTAATATTCAACCTTAGTGGCTTTAAACTCGCTGAATCGGAACAATACATCCTCGTTCTCACAGCTCTGACACTCGCCATATTACCTACACTAGTTATTATCCTTGTTGTGAAGAAGTGCCTTGAAAGGCGGTGGGCAAAGCAGAAGCAAGAGACTGGCTATGATATGGAGCCATGGCGACGGCCGGATGTTCAGCAGACCTATGTTGTCCCCGTAACCACGCGACCACCAATGCCACCAGGACAGAATGCAAGTATACCTGGCATGAGCTCATACATGCCACATCAAGCACAGAGCACGAGGAAGAATGACCTTGGGCCGCAACAATACGTCCGGGAATATGTTTAAAAAAGAAATAAATGTTGTGTACGATTGACGAATATAGTGTTCTTGGCGTTATGACTGTTGGTAGTGTAAAATAGTACTAGAGGTGTCATGTGTGATATATCAGCCGTACTAAATCATTTGGGGATAGGAGAAGGGAGGGAGAAGGGAGTAAGACATCCAATCTAGAATAGACACTAGAGAATTCCATCTTTGAAGATCGCTTACAGGCTTATTGCGTGGTATCCTTATCTTACTACGCTTGAAGGCTACTAGGTATTGTCGAGCACTTCAGGGGAGATAAGCTTGGTCAATACATACACAATATGAACCTATCATTGAATCTACCCTCGCAAGGCAAGATGTATGAAACGTAGCTATGGCCGGTATGAGTAACGTTGGTAATAAACGTATTCACGTCCTTCATTAGCACAAGTCTCCTAGCCCCTTCAAATAAAGTCCGATGTATCTCAGCTGATAGTACGCCTGCGATATGCCCATTCAGCATTGAAAACGGTACTTGTTATCTGCCAATCAGTACATATGTAACCATTAATACATAAATAGTTTGAAAATAGTTTGGTGATTTTCAGGGGTACGTAGCTAAGGTCCATAGCTTTTCGAGAAAAGCAAAAAGGGGCGCTGTAGGCAGGAAGTAGCAATACATTACGCGCTTATGTGTCCCCCCCTTCGCCTCTATAGGTAACTTACACGTGTAACAATACCTAGGTAGAGGATGGAGGCTGCATAACACAGGGGATATATAGTACTCATTACCGTGCGTTATGCGTAGATTCTCCCTACAATAAATAGAAGACGTACATACATTGACAAAACTCCCTATCTAATAGAGAAGGGTTAAACAATTAATGAGATACGTCGAATTAAATTTCACTTGAGGGAGACTATTGTGACCTGCAACGTTGCTAAAAACATCGAACCAGTTCGTTCAATCCACCCGTGCGTCTACTTCACCTAGCTTTGATCGCATGAGTGCCCAGGTGCTAACAAACAAACTTTCCATCGTTCGTGTCAATATCTCGTATCCAACATGGGCTTGCAGATATCCCCAAATGGCCGGGTCATACGTCATGCTCTACTGGTATTTATAAATGAAGAATGTAGATCATAGGATTCATCGTGAGACCACAGTGCGGTAGCGTACTGTTTAAACGAGTCCGCACTGTCATGGATGTTTAGCCCTTAATACGAATACCCGCCATTCTAATTCCTTCATTCCTACAAAAGGGGTTTAGCAATATATTGAAACGAAAGTTTCTAGAGAACCATTTAAAGGTACTTATTTCTATAATAGTATATCGCGCAAGTTTGGTGAGATTTTGAAGTCTTCTAAAGGCGAAAAGGTACCTATTTGGTAGGTAGCTTACAGAGACTGACAGCAATCGTGCAATGCGACAGCACTCGAATTTCTTGAGATAACACTTCAAATCTATCATGGACTTCATAGTAACCCAGAATGCAACGTGACATAATTTCGAAGCTCGAGTCAATTGACAATTGACATGTGCTAACTGTGTCGGGCGCGGTATTCCATATTAGCCATGGTCTATCATGGGCAAACGGCAGCCAGGGTTTTGGCAAAATACATGAAGCGAATGGGGGCCAGTCAGCGGCCACCTTAGCTTTGAAGAAGGGCACAAAACCTGTTATAAGTATAATAATTATAAATGTAAGAAAATTCATTGTCCCGGCATAGAGCCAATGAACCAGCCGGTCCCATATGCGGGATCAATATAAACAGACGTAGATATACCGGACGAGCTGCCCAGGGTATCAGCCAAAGCATATGTGCCATTATCGTCCAACATAGAAATGGGCTCACCTCGCCAACTACCAGACTTAAACAGATCCAGACTTCACCATTCACTTTCTAGGTGACGTTGTGTGATCTTGCCTTTGAATCGATCCTCTAGCTTACGACTCCAGCAAGCCTCACCGGGCCTGGACGGTTCTCCGTGGTCTAGAAGCGCCTGTATTACCGGCTGAATTAAGGCTATATCGCTTTACGATACTTCTGAAGGAGTCTTTACCGAATACGTCTATCGACACCTGGTATTTGGTTTTCTTTCTGGTTTATGAACATCTGTTCCACAACAGCTTGCAGCTTTCCAGAAGCCAGTCTCCCTATTATTAGAAACCACGAGATCGTTCATTATTGTATCTTGACAATATCTGGGTTACTTGGTGAGAGAGTTGTCATATCTGATAACATATACAAAAGGATCGGTCCCCGGAATTTAGCTGAGGGTGGGTTTCTTGAAGTCCAGACATTTCCAAGCTCGCAGTGCATTACCAGACATGAAAATGGCATTCCATATACACACCCTCTGGTTTATGATAGGTCTATTCGCCCTAAGAGTGCTCGCTCAATGTAGCAGCTTTGGAGTTGACTATGTCAATGGTGGATCATATGACATCGATTCAACATCGAATAGTAACTTCACTTTCATGACTATATTTCAAGGTACATTGATAGTCCCACGCGTTTCAGTGATATACATATGCTGACTACCACTAGGATGCGATCAAGAATCTGTAACGCCACTCCTCATAGGCCCCAATGGAGCTCAGTACCCTTGCTCTGCTGTAAATACAACACCCGCCGGTGAGCAGGTCACATCTACATGGTCAGACCCCACTAGCTTCATCTAGAGGACATTATCATCTCATCACCTTCTAGTGGTATCACGTTCTCTGCCATGGCTTCGGGTCTGTATAAGATCATTATGCAAGGGCAGAATATTGGTGTCCAAAGAACAATCGCCCTGACAGCCGGTATTCCGACTACGATTACCTTCACTGTAAGACTACAATAAACCAGATATCTACCTAGTACCCATATACAAACCACATTACTTACATTAACTGTGTTGCAGGCCACTCCTACTGTGATAGTTGGTATCACTAGTACCCCCGACGCAACAAGTATGTCCACCACTCTCAATCATTTAGTAAAGAAGGTCTAACATAAATGCAGCCGTATATAAAACCATTTCGCAGACTAAGACTACGACTTTAAAACCTGGAACAATTAAGGCGCCTTGCGATGGAATTACACAGACAGTCACTATCACGCCAGTAGCACCAACCGTAACCACCTTCTACACAATCACTCGAACGGTCACAGATAAGAAAACCACGAAGCAAACGACGACAACTCTCACGAAGACTGCATCCTGCCATTACCTCCCAATTCCGACCTTGGTTCCGGACCCTTTACCCACCATCTGTATCGGACTTGCTTGTATTCCACCTATTCTCCCGCCTGGCCTCATAGGTAATCCTGGATCACCCATAAGCGACACGGTTTTAGAAACAGGCAAACCAGATAAAATTGCAGCACGTTCTCTACCAACGAGTACTATCACGGTTACAGAGACTACGATCACAGTAACTAGTACCAGCATTACCACTATTCCGGCCTCGACTACTACAGAGGATGGTAAGTGAATCAAGCGATAAACTCGGAAAGGCTTAAAGCTTACAGTGGTTACAGTTTACCAAACAATTACGGCTACCATGTAAGTAGAATCTTGTTGCTTGCCTTCAAAAGGGATTTGACACGGTTATACCTAGAAAAAGGAGGATTACTAACAATACCTATAGAACGCCACCACCTACTACAGTATGCGATGGCCAGCGACCACCGGTTACAGCAACTGTCACCAAGCCAGTCGGCGTCGTCACGCAAACAGACGTCGCTTACGATACTACACACATAAAAGCGACAGTTTGGGTTGGGTACGTACCCAGCCTATTATCTACATATCTGATTAGTCATCAACATGCACTTCTTTGCATTCCATCCAATGCCCCCTCATTCCAGAATATGGCATCGCTAATAAAACGCGCAGGGTAACGAAGTATAAAACTTCGACAGACGCTGACGTCGCGACTTCATGCATGGAGCACGGGGGTTGGTACGGTGCCGATGAGTCCAAACCCACGGCAACTGCATCGTGAAGCATTGAGATTCAATTGTTAGTCGGAGTCCACATGAAGAAGTGTGCTGGGTTGCGCATGACTTATATACTAAATTAAACCATCAATCCATCACATACGACCATAGGAGCTAGAGAACTCGGGATCCCGTCCGCTCTCCCATAGATAAGCTGGCTACCGCCGGATCAGTAGTTGGGTCGGTGACGACCAGCGAATCCCCGGTGTTGTATGTTTTTGATCTTTTTGACATTTTTTTCTTCTATCTACTGAAATTCATGTGTTTTACTTAACTTACAAGGCCCTATTGCCCTTTTTTCCCCCATGTTGTAGATGATTGGAAGAATATGATTCTCAGTGAAAAGGGGTTAAAGTGGGGCCACTCAAGGGCTAGGGAACAACATCACTGAAAATTGATGCTATGAAGTAGGTAACAACAGGAGTATTATTAAAACCTAGATGGATACCGATTTAATGATATATCATGTCCATGTCAAGACATATTTCCATTATCTTGAGTGACATCAGTGGGTAGGGAGCAAATGCTTCCCAGCTCAATTGATTTCTGTCAACCTCAGTATTAGGTACTGTGTGGGAAGAAAGACTACGCACCTATAAATTTCGTAAAAAAAGTAGAGAAGTTCTTATCAAATTAATTAACCCCAATCGCTTAAAATAAAGATGTAATCTAAATCATAGATAGTGGTTTCTAGTTGTACTAGACTTATAGCTTCCCCCTTCAACCCCCTATTCTCTACTTTGTAAGTTATCCCGGCCACTACGCAAGGACCACAAGTACATGGATATAATTATAGATTGACTTCCACCGACAATTACACCGCCAGTTTCAGTTGATTGGCATGATCTCACGAGTGATTAATCGTGTCTCGTAGTATAAACACCATTACATGTGTCTGTTCAGTTTTTCTGATATGGATGCCTAAGTACCTACGCAACACACTTCCTCTTATAACAAAGTGCCACAATGTCGGAAACGCAGGGGAAATCGAAGAATAAGTGCGATGGGTGTAAAAAGTCTCAAGGAGAAGATGGTATCAAGATCTTACGTTGTGGTCGATGCAAGTCTGCTATGTACTGTAGTACGTTATCTACATCTTGACGCCCAATGCGATCCACTTCACTAACGTAGACTCAACCCCCTAGGTACGACTTGTCAGAAGGATAACTGGTACTTTCACAAGAACGTCTGCCGCGCGAGGGGCGCCGTGGCGGAGGGTAAAAAATGGTATGACCCGTTCCGAAAGTGTAGGGACGGCACTTCGCATTTCGGTGACCTAGAGCTTATGACCTGGGGGGATACGTGTCCCAGGGATGAGAATGACCACAGATTGGGGTGGGGAAACTGCTTTGTGGATGAGGCGCTGCAGCTGAAGCGCAAGTACGAAGAGGAGTTCGGGTCCGACGATATTGCTATGTATGGGTACTGGTCTCATGGCTTTCGCTGGACATGCTGTGGCATGGCGGCAGGCCAGAACGACGGGGTGAGTGTAGAACTTCGAGGACTGCATAACACTCCTTTTCGCTATATTCCGAATATCGGATTCGGGTTACTTCACTAGCCTTTACGCGGACGATGGCTTCTAGATTATTCTTCAACTCCCGTTTTTCCTATCTCAAAGCGGTACCACTCTGCTAACTCTCGTCGCGATATAATAGTGCGACCACCATGGCACAGGACCAGACCCTTGCCAATGCGACTTCTGCCACATGGGCAAATCGTTACCAGACAGTATCTATAACATGGACACTTTAGAGCGTCGTGGATTAAACCTTCCCCGAGGGCCTGACCCGCGGTCTTTCCACCTCGTGAAAGCATCGTTGGCAGGCTTTGCGCGGCCATTCATGGGAATGCCGGAATAAAGGTGTCGTCGCGTGTTTTTCGTAAGAAATATGAACTAATGGGAAATCAGAGTCCAATCCCAACAGCTTCTTCATTGTTCAGTCGTGACTATTATTCTGTCGGATAAAATAAAGTAATTAGATGGATGATCTTACTACACCTCATTGAGGTGGGAAAGGGTGCATCAATTGGGTTTCAGTGAAGCGGAGTAGGATCATCCATCATACAATGCAACAATAAGAAATAAAGAAAGAATTCTTTAGAGATTCTTTCTTTTTTGAACTCTTCAAGGCCCAGCCCGAGGTATTGTTGATCGTCTCCTGGCTACTGCGCCCCCGCTATTGGGTATTTCTTTGCCTCCCTTTTTCAAGGTCTTAAGATTTTGATCTCTTGGTGAATCGAACCCTGGGCCGCCCATTTCAGAGTGGTCGTTAGAACAGGTTTGATGAGGTGTCTGAGGCACATTACCACTTGACCATTTCAGGTCAGTGATCGAATGCCGCCGATGGAAGTCAGTCACTGTATTATGTTATTTAACCTTCACTTCGGTTGCTGTCTGGCGGACGGACCGTCTGATTGGGAGGTACATGACAATAATCACGGTGACGCGTGACGCTAGACGCGACATGCCTTTGTATGCACTGTCTAGTACAATACCATCGAACTCACAAAGCTCATTGTGAGTCACCAATAAAGCCCTGGCCCTTTTCAAGAACCAGATATTCCCACCCAACTGTACCGACCTTCTCATTTTCTAACCATTGCGATAGACATTCAACTTCCACAGCATACCAAAAACCCCAAGGGGGAAAACACCACACAATATATCCACATCTACTAGGTATGTGCAAATACACGATCCCGGCTTTCACCTGCGGCTGCCGCGCTGTAGGACCCTGCAAGTTAGACGAGCAATGCGATCATCCTCGCGCTGGCTGCGATACTGATCCGTCGATTTTGATCTTGCCTCGTCGGTGCGACGATTCAAGAAACCACGCCGACGAGTAGATTCTCACTTGACGAACGGAATCTGCTTAGGAATTGAGTTGGTGGATAAAAAAGGGGGTATCCGCAGAGCGGCAGGCCAGCATGCAGGATAATTCTCAGCTATCACCAAAATGTCTAGAACAAAATACATTATTCAATCCGATTCACACCCCTGTATGCTATCAAGTCTATGCAATCCCGTCCTGCTGTGTATCATGTATCATGCCTCATCTTCCTCTAAACCCTGTCCACGCATATATCCAAAACCGCCACAAACGCCACCTCATCATCTCCCCCCACCCCCACCGCCATCCCCATCCTCATCATCCCCCTCAAGCCAAATCTCATGCCCATCTCCCTCCCTCAAAAAAACACTAACCGCCAACCCCCCAACCGCAATCCCCGCAAGCCCCCAATACACCCCCCCTATCATCCCCTTGCTCAGCCCAACTCCGTATAACCAGCCACATAGTATCGGGCCAATCGTCCGCGCGAAGCTACTCGCGCTCTGCCCCAACCCATGCACGGTGCCCAGCACACTCGGATGGGGAGTACAGTTATTAACAAGGATCGTCTGGCCAGGAAGCGCGAACGTGCGGCCCGTGACTTGGATGAACAGGACCCCCGCGATAGCGAGCCAGATCGCGGCCCCGGTTTTCTGGCTGGGGGGCGCGGTGGTCGAGGGGACGACGGATAGGAATGGGATGAGGGTGTATGAGATGGGGAATAGGTAGAGGCAAGCGCGGTAAGAGCGCAATGTACCGAAGCGTGAGGAAAGACGCGGGTAGAGGAATAGCTGCATGGATATGCCGATGACGCCGAGGATTGCCATGGCCATGCCTACGGAGCGAGGGGGTAGCCCGAGGCCGCCTGTGAATCGGAAGGGGGGTTTGGGGGAGAAGCCCGGGGGATCGGGGTTTGAGGGGTTGAATACGGGAGTTGAGAGGAAGACGAACCAGAGGGAGTTGAAGGTACCGACGTGGAAGGCTAAGAAGAAGTGTGCTGTAAGTGTAAATATTACGTTTGTGGTGAAGATGCGGCGGAAGGGGAGTCGGGCTGTGTACCGACGTTTGGCAGTTGGTCTCTTAGAGGTCCCACGTTCGTCTTCATCAGAACCACGGGGTGAGACGGGTGACATTTCAAGATCTATGCTTATACTAGTATTTCGTGAGTGTAATGGGGTATACGCAATGGATGTTTTGCGTCTCGTGAATAACCCGGTTAGCTTATTCCCTAGGACAAGTCCGATATCTCGTCTATCTTGGAGAGAATCATGTGTCTTCGGGATAGGTTAATGATTAAGATAGAAGCACATTGGGGGTAGGATGAATAGCATACCTCTTCCAAGAATAGCCAGCACATGATCAAGGCGATAGCCAAAAATCCTGCGCTGACGAGATTCGGCGTAGCATAGGGGAATTTCAGGAGAAACTCTACTTTGCCAAACGTATCAGGGTATGAACCCGCTGGGTCGGATAATAGGCCTCCAAGAACTGGCCCAACGATGACGCCAATATTAAAGGTCATGGGTAAAATCAAAAATGCTCGTGACTGATATCTGTGAATGGTTAGATTCGAGCCATCTCAATTCATTTTGGTCAGGAAACACACTTCTTCTCACGGACAATCTCGCTAATCCTATAGTTCTCATATCAGTGCCAGTTTTTAAGGGATTATGTTGAAGACCTTAGAACTTACATCGTCCTCATCACCCCAACATTGCCATTAGTCGCACCACCTAAACATCTGAAGAACAAGGCTTGGTAAAAGGACGTCGAGAATGAATATCCAATACATGATATGACTTATTCATGTCAACAACTCTCCATCAAAAAGGTAGCCAGGGTGATAACATACGAGTTCCTAGTAATCCTATCAAGACAACCGTCTTACGGCCTGCCCACGTAGAATCGGCGACACGGCCCCACACCATCGCCGTGAAGAACTGAGCTGCGGTGAAGCTAGCATGCAGAATACCCGCCTGGCTCGAAATGACCGAGTCCGGTAGACTCGGATCAAACCATTGCAACTGGTAAAACATATACGACTAGGTACACCGCATCAGGAACCATGAGTCTTGGCAGCATGATGTCCATTGGATGGACTCAATCACGCCGTAGGGGATCGAACGAGACAATTGCTCGGCATACATACCTGCAGAGAGGTCTGAACCAATGGCTCGCTGAGCCGGGCTAGCGTGATGACGACGAGTTGCTTTTTCTTAGGCAAGTCACCCCAAGCCACCACTTTCTTGGAAGCATCGCTTGGCCTCCGGCTACGTTTTTGGAAATCGGAAATACCGGAGTTAGTATCGATATTCAAGGCACCGGCACGAGATGCCACCAACGGCGTGGTGTCTTGGCCGCTCTCATCTCGGACGCCAAGCCCGGGTTCGAGCGCCGTAGATTCCTCATCGGAATCGAAATCTAGATCGCTCAAAGGGCCACGGTCTTCTTCATCGAATTCATCGTGATTACAGTCGTTCATTGACCGTTTCACAGCTTCAATGGAAAGTTTAGTCCGAGATTCGGAGTTGCGTTTGTTGTGGAGATAAGGCTTCGTTAGTATAGATAGATATGTAGTATTCAGAGTTGGGGATCTCCGGGTTCTAAATTCAAGACCTGGTTAGTATAGATGAGGCAATTCGAGACTTGGGATCACAGAATCAAGCAGACTTTCATCGGGAAATAGTTTAGAATATACTAAACAGTCCTATCTGTAAAGCCACCAACAAAGAAAAATATCGTTGTCATGTGCGCCGCAACAGGCCGATGTTCTAGGACCGATCTTACCGGGCACTCTACTCTGACTGGTTAGAGATGGGCGATAAAGCCCCGAAAGTTCCTTCGGACGAGTTAGAAGTCATGATAGACCAATCAATGACCGTCACTGGCGTTGACAGCCGGTTTGGTGCCACCTTCTTGTTTACGACGTTGAATGTTGATTCGCTTATTCCGAGACCTAAATTCCAACGGGGTGGATCTTGAAATCGTCTTAACCAATTAAATAACAGATATAGCAAACCATGATTGCCTTAAGCCAGGTGCACGGTCCGGGGATGTAGGGATAAAACATCAACTTTTCCCACCATCTCGTCCACCCTCATTATCTCCACGAATTGACGACTCTTCTTGGCCTGTGAAACTTTGGGAGCCGCAACATATGTTCCAAACCCTAAACTGGCCGTTCACCCCGGAAAAGGGAATCCCATGTCATCCACTAGTGTTCGCCATTAAGTTGCTATCCAATAGCCATTTCCTCCGATCTAAGATCCGCTGGGGTATCGTTACGATGTCCTGTCATCCCCCAGTAACTGTACTAAACCTAAAAAAAGTATGGAGTCCGACTAAATATATTGAATGGATAACCACGAAATTCGTAAGGCATACTTAGCAAGAAGCTAGATACACGTCCCTCACAATCATCGATTGCCCTAGTTACCACTGTGAGAATGTGAGAGTGTATGGGATGTTGTTAAATGGATCTTGGCTCTTCGTAAGATCGATAGTGATGCGTTCCCTAAAAAAAGAGATTTTGAAAATATGCTAAAATTCGATGTTCCAGTTCGGGTCCCCCAGAAATCCAAATATGAACGGGGTCCAAACCTGATTCTCGGGAGTCCAAGTACTACTAGGATCGCTCGTTTGCGGCTCGCCCGGGGCCTGGATCCCTTTCAGTAGCTGGGCCTGAAACCAGTTCTTTATCCAAGTAAGCTTCGTATTGTAGTGGTGGAAACGGTCGTCTAATTCATCTTCCTCTGTATTTGGCGTCATGCTTACTCCAAACGTGGCCGCGGCCTCTGCGGCCCTCTGATTCCTCAGTTTAGCAACGTCTTTAAAGATCTCTATGAGGTTCTCTAAGGTGGATGGCAGATCAACCATCTGCCGTGCCTTGTTGAGATCCCAGCCATCGATCTCAATCAGCAAGAGTCTCGAAGCTCCGACAAGCACAAACAGAATCTCAGAATATGTGACAAATGTTCGGTATAAGAAAGCTTCCGGGCCTAACGAAAGAATCGTCGCGAAGAATTGCCGGGCTGCTTGAAGAGCAAAGAGCATACACTGCCGTTGATGCTGTGCCGCTACCGCATCTGGTGGCTGAGATAGGTTCGAAGCCGGCAAGTATAAACGGACTAGAATATAATGATGCATAGACCAAAACCTTACTAAAGCAATAGTGAGCCAATGTTTAATAGAGGTGAAATAGAAAATGTTGTGGCTAGGCTAATCGAGACGAGTAGATCTTACCAAACTGTCGATGCTCTCGACCTACATTCGCAAATAACTGGTCCAGTTGATTACGAATCGCCTGCATGTTATTGCTCATGGAAAGAGTGAATACCGCAAGACCATCGCTATAAGAGGTAGGGATAGGAAGTACCTCCGATATCTGCTCAACGATCTGCTGGAACCTAATCATTTTATACAAGATGAAGTCCGCACCCAGATCCGTTGGCCGAACCAGTGAGTTGAGGCAGTGATTTACGTAATCTCCCTTTAATACTGTGTCTCTCCCAAATTGGGAAGAGTTTCTAATTCATCGTGAGCTTATCTCCTAGAGGGGCCTTGGGGTTTGATTGCGCTTTACTCACAATGAAAGGAGGTACTGGCAGCCCAAGAAAGCCCGCTGTTCTTCGGGTGTATGTGACTCGTCAAGCATAGTAGTCAGGTGAACTCCCATCATGGCTTCTTTTGCGTCCTTTGGATTGATGGTTACCATCATCTTCTGCTGCAGCGTTGGAGGTGGTCTCGTAATAGCAAGGTTATGAGCATACCCCATTGCCAAGTACGATAAATAGGTTATCTTCTGGTCGAAGTAGAAATCACGTTCTCCCCTGCGCCCGAAGTCAATAGGTAAGTTAGGAAAAGGTCGTCGTGAGGCACCTACCAGGCTATATAAACCAATAGCCCTTGGAGCAAACCCATATCTCGCTCCTCCATCACTAGCATGTGCTGTCCTATGTAAGCGAGCACACTTCTCCTAATCTCCTTCTGCTTCGCCAGAGTGAGTTGAGCCGCAATAAGCATAATAACTCTAAATAGGAAAGGCTTCTTAGACAGGATCTCATGTACAGAGACCTCAGGCTCAATGACGACGAATGGAAAGATAGGCATGAACTTCAGCTTGAAGTGGGATACCGCCTGCTCGGCCTGTCCCCATGTTAACCCAAACCCAGGCTGCAGTGGTCTTGGGGCAGGAAAACTTGGTCGTAGTTGTTGCGGCCGGAAGGAGGAATTGTGTTGCGCCAGCGGAGCATGATAGCTGTCTCCAATGGTGCTTGTAGATGTTGCATTTTGCGAAGGACTTGTCTGCGACTCTGAAGAAATAGACGGAGATGTGGTGCTCTCATTCGAACCAGCATCTGTTTCTTGTAGTCCATATGGACCGGCTCCTAATAAGACATGCCCATAGTTGGGACCTCGCATAGGAGGATTACCATGACCGCGTTTCGAAGGCACGGTACTGCATATATCATATCATAGTTAGTGGGAGGTACGGATTTTGACGTCTAGGCCAACTCATAAATATGGATAAGATGGATTCCAATAGGGAGCGGTACCTTGCAGGTTTAACTTGTCGCGGTCTCCTAAGACTTTGAGTTGTTTGGGCAGCACAAGTGATGTTCATTCGCCGACATCTGATTTATCATGCAGTTAGACTATGATCCAACTCATCGTATAGTTGTGTAGTCGTATAATAAATCAGGAATATTTTTCTAACCTATCACAGCCGTCCTCGGCTTTGTTGTCTTCAAAGTGACAGCGAGCCTTAGCTTTGGTGCAAGGCGCACAAGCGCGCTGGCGCCTGATAGGACTCGTTGGGCGTTCATTAGTCCTCGGAGAATTCTGCATATTTAGGATTTCGGCATCAAAGATCGTCCCGAAGTAGTACCCAAATCCGGGGTTCAGACGATGAGAACGAAATGCCGTGAGCTTGTTCTCCTAGTATATATTAACCCGTAGCTCCTCAGGATCGTCATGCCAGCTTCCACGCACTGTCCTCGCAGCTGAAAGTGAGGCTAAAAGGAGGCTAGAACTAAAACCTCGCTTGTTAATTAAGAGATTTAGTCCTATGTGTATAAAAGTGTAGTAAGTAATTAGGAGACTGATGCCTAATTGACATTCGAGGTAGTTGAGATTATTCGGCGCTTTACGCCCACCGCGTTAAATCAGTCCGTAAGCCGGCTTAGCGGTAATACTTCGGGTTTAAAATACTAGATATGTCACCAACAAATACGCCAAAATATGCTTAACACTATCCCGTCTTAACCCGACAAAAACCACCTAAACCCGCTTAAGACCGCTCAACACCGCTGAACACCGCTCTGTTCGATACACTGTTCCGTAGGATTCATCATACCGGGTTAATAAACCGACCGCCTCGACTGATCCCTAAAAACATGATCAGGGGATTGGTTCCATAATGAGATTGATACATCCGATAATATATCTGTAGTATAAGATATCATCTTTCTTTTGCGGACAGAGCAGGTATTTATGTTCAGTGCTAAGTATGACATATTAAAGATAGCGAATGTTAAAATCGTGCGCCCAACCATTCAATTGAGGCCACAACATGGTACCCCTTTCGCAACATCGCTCTAAATGAAGTGCAGGTCGAATTGTCTATAAGAGCAGGGGCCTAGTCCTCCTTTACCGCCAGGATATCTCAAAGCAATTTTCCAATTCGAGACTCCATATTCTAAGTTATGGGCTCTGCCTAAGCCTTAAATCAAATGTCTCCAGGAATGCCAAGTCACAACTTAAGAAACTTCGAGGGACTGGATCAGAAAATATTATCTTATACCTATCTTAAATCCAGGTATAATATAGGTAAACAATTGTCGTAGAGCTGTTCTCTGGTTGCATCGCGCCCTCAAACACAGGGGTCTATATGTCAATATGACAAGTAGGAATTCTGGAACTTGGTTTGAGGTCGAATATAATGTAGGAATGCACGTGGAATAAAAGATAGATATAATAGTCGATAATATTTGCAATGCTGTAGTGAACGGACCAACGTCGCCCGTAACTAGAAGAAGTCAGTAACCGAGCCCAAGAACAATTGGTAGTCCATAGTGAACATCAAACATTTTTATTATCGCTTGACCCCTTTTCGTATACCAATACCATTGATCAATTATAAATGATCATTCACCATTTCAAGATGCCCCTTATAAGTGACTCTCAATAGACTCCATAAACTTCGTAGTGAACTCAGCAGACTCAAAATACTTACTTCCGAACCTCCATCATATACCAGTAAGACTTGTTACTAGATGTCTAGTTTGTACCATGCAGAAGACTCAATAGCGGCTATGATGACCTTCTGTTTGGAAAAGGAGGTCCCTTTGATCATCTCTTCTGTCAACATCTCTACCTCTGCTGTTCTTTCATACTCTGTAGTCCCACCCAGCATGGGTAGGCCCACCGGCCACGCCGCTGGGCGATATCGTAAACACTGTCGGCGCCCCTCGCCGAGCGTCAAGGCCCCGTCCTAGTCAACAATGGCTGCACGCCTGATAAACGCAATGCGTGTACCTGGTGGGAAAATTCTTTTCATTGCTCAAAAAGGACATAGGGTTTCTGCCTGTGACTTTTTGATTTATTGTTTCCTCTCCAATTTCCTAACCATCAAACATGTCCCTCTCTTCTTCATCCCACATTTCTACATCATCATTTCTATGATCCCAATATTTGTACACCACCCTTTCTTCATCCACCTTCTATAACCCAACCACTTAATCATCACTCGTTTCGTTTCGTTCTATTTCATCTTATAAATATCTTCCCAGCAAGCTACGTTTGCCTATGATGGCGCGTCGCGTGTCACCCAATTCCATCGAGGCGAAGTTCTACCTCGAAAAATATGAGAATGCGCGTAAGACAGGCAAAGACCAAGAAATGACGCAATTCTTGGAATCAGTCAGTACCCAAGCTGGTTCCCATGAGATCGTAGATGACCCCAACGTCAATGATTCGCTTGGACAGCGGGAAAACGGTGATCCCCAGAAGCGACAAGGTCGATTTAACGACAATTCGCTATCGAAGATGAAGAATATCTTCAACGTCACCACCGCCGCAACTGGTAAAGACAAGGCCGGGCTTGGTTATGCGGAATCGACCGAGCTTGATGATCCTGAGAAGCCCAATCGCAAACTCTCATCCAAGATGACTAAGATAAAGAAGTTTTTCGGCAAAGATGACAATAACACGACTCATTCGATTACGACCAGCGCTGAGAAGGTACTGGCTATGTTGAAGAGCCCGAACGCTCTTCCCTTTAATATTTCCAAGCTTCCTGAGTTAACCAAGATAGTGCAGAACGTGAGCAATGCTGATCTATCGCGCAATAATGCCCCACGGTTTATGATATATCATGGCAATAGTGAGGATAGTGGCAACAACGACTATGTAGATGAATCCGATAACAACGCAATTGAGAGAGGCAGGCCCAGATTTAAAAAGAACACGGCGGCGGCGTACGACTCTACTGAGGATACCAACCGAAAGGGGGTGGCCGCCTCAGACACATCGGGTGGACCAAAAGACTCCGTCAGAGATAACAAAGTCGTCCAGCATGAGACTGGACAAGAAGACCGATGCCCCAGTGTCCCACCACATCGCGATCCCGTCCATCCTCACAGACAAGCCAAGCATGAGGCCAAGGTCCCAGTTAAGAAACCTCTGTATGACGACCAAGGTTTCCTGTGCGGGGATTCCGAAAGCGAGGATTGTCACTTTACCAAACCTCCTGCTGTACCCCGACACGGTGTGGGTGTTTTGGGTGATGAGGATGAGAATGAGGATGAGGTTGGAGAGCGTTCAACTCAGCACCCTAAACGTACATGCTCGGACGAAAATGTTATTAACTCCCTTGCTATAGCCCATTACACGCCGTCGATCCAACAATTCTTGGCCAAACCCAAGCAAGCAGCGAGAGACTATCAAAAGGCTATTCAGTTGGTGAAAGCGCAACAAGAAGCAAAAGCCAGACGGCTTGCAGAGGCCAAGGCGAAGGGGGAAGGCAATTCAGAGGGTAGCCAGGATTATAGTTCCGGTGGAGCAATACCCAGCGTCCCATCTTTCAAGGAGCTAAAGCGCAAGGAAGCCGAGCAAGGCCAGGGACCAGAGCAACTTCACAAGGACAAACAGGTGGGGGTCAAAAACTGGCTGGATGCCCCTCGATTAGATCCCCGTCCCGAGAGCCCAGATGAGCCACGACAATACGGTGTTAAGCCAGCACCTAAGGATAGCAAGAGGAAAACATTGGCTTCGTACATGGGTGAGAAGCCAATAAGTCGTGAGAGTCAGCGCGTGCGCAACTTTTTCGGTCTTTCAGATTCTTCCAACTCGACTGACGGATCCAAGAGAGTTGATGTTATGTCTACTATCGAGGAGGACGAGTCGGAAACCGATTTTAAACCTCATTTCCCTAATCTTTACCATCCGTCTCCTACCCGAGTAGTTCGTATTACGCCATCGATCTATGAGGGACTTTCTTTCCTTCGAAAGGAATCTGAAGCATCTGGTAGCCCTCAGCGTGGCACGGTCGAGCCGCCCAGCTCGCCGTTTGATAGAGACCCTCGAGATCAGGTACAGGACTCTTCACAGCCTGGAGAGAGCTCCTCGCCGCCGATTACCCCCAATGCTCAGATAATTCAAGGAAAGCGCAACATTGCAAGCGAGGTTGAATATATCAAGAAGCATATCGAGGATGCCTACAATGGCAAGTGCGAGTATAACGTCTATGACGCCCCCAGCGATATCACAGTCGGCCTCAGTCCCATCACTCTGTTGGGAATGTACCCTTCCCCGCTTCACATTATCAAAGACCCCAAGAAGCCTCAGGGAAATGCTCACTCGCCCACTCCTGCTTACAAGGGGCCACGAGGATCAAAACCCCTTCAAGGACCACGTCCGCTCCCGGTTGCTTCTCGACACTCGCAACCTCAGCAACCTAAACTACCCGAACAACCTCCACCGCTTCAGCTGCCTCAGCCGCTTCAGCTCAACACAACCGGCGCGAGTACATGGGGTGAACGCTTCCGTGGCGACAGCGATGAGGTCTCACTTGGTCGGAAAGGAGAGATTATCGAAGAAATGGGACACATTATGTTGGTGACGCTAGAGCGCATGGATAGACTGGAAGAGAGAGTGGAAGTGTTGACTAACTCGCTCAACCGCGTTCGACTATTAATAGCCGATATAGTTGGCGTGGATACTGCATGGTACCATAAGGAACAAAATGCTGAAGAGCATGCGCAGGAAGAGGAGGATGAGTAGGAGGAGGGGGAGGGGGAAGAGAAAGACGAAGAGAAGTAAACGACGCTGAATATGCTACTCTGGCTTGCGAGATTATGATGTAATGATGGCTTTTCCTCCCTCGAAGTCCTTTGACATTCTTATACACGTCTCTATTAAGACGACATATAATAAAGTCAACTGGTCAGGTAGAATGAATGGGAGGATTAAGGAATTCGAGCACTTGAAGTACCTAGAAAGCTCGCCCTAGGTAGATTCAATAAGCTAAGGTTTAGCACTAACGCACAGACCAGTTGCGCATGTGCATGTCTTCTGTGATTGGCCATTGCCAGTTGGCAGCTTCCACCCACCAAGATTATCTTTAACTTTGAACCACATAAACCATTAAACCGTTATTACATAACCTATAACTTTAGAGCCTCTACATAGAAACAAACAAACGTGTTAGAGTGCAACTCTTAGGAAATCAGCTAATATGGATCCCTACTCTGCCGAAGGCGAGCTTCTCAACATCCACAACCACTTCCACCAAGGTCAATACCAAGAAGTAATCGACTTTGATACCTCCGCTCTCTCGCCCGAAAATGAGCTTCCCGCCCGAGTGCTCTCACTTCGAGCGCAAATCGCCTTAGGGCAGGCCGAAGAGGTGATCGCAGACGTAGAAGGAGAGTCGGAACCCGAGCTGGCTGCGATAGGTGCTCTAGCGCAATACATTACGGGCGAGAAAGATGAGGCGGTAAAGACGATAGAAGAGTTGGCTTCGTCGGCTGGCGATAACCAGACGGTCCAAGTCATTGGTGGCACAGTCTTGCAGGCTGCTGGCAAGTCCGAAGAGGCGCTCGCACTTTTGTCGCAACATTCCGGTAGTCGTATGTCTAACACTCAACAAGCAATGGTTCTATAGTTTGTGTGGTCGTATACTAATGGGGAGCTAGTCGATGCTGTCGCTCTAATCACCCAAATCCACCTCCAACAAAACCGGACCGATCTAGCTCTAAAAGAAGTCACGGCAGCACGAAGATGGGCACAAGATAGTCTACTTGTTAACTTGGCGGAATCATGGGTTGGCCTACGACTAGTACGTTCTATCCTATACGACGGACCAGCCAATCCGATGACGTGGCTAATAGACAATTTTCAATTTAGGGAGGAGATAAATACCAACAAGCATTCTACGTATTCGAAGAACTCGCGCAAGCCCCCTCGACATCCTCCATCGTCTCCCTCGTCTCTCAGGCGGTATGCGAGCTCCATCTAGGTCGCGTCGAAGAGGCGCAAAGCGCCCTCGAACAAGCCGTACAGAAGCACCCTGATTATGCCGATGCTATCGCCAACCTGATGGTTCTGACAATCATAAACGGCAAGGACCCTAAAGAGCTAATAAGGTATATCGTCTCCGAGCTATTTGACAACTTCCTAAGTACTAATATTCTACTTTGCTTAATAGTTCCCTGAAGAAGGCTGCGCCCCAACATCCTTACCTGGTCGATATCGAAGAAAAGAGCGCGTTGTTCGACAAGGCTGCTGCAAAATACAGTGCCAAGGTGTCGGCTTAGACGGGAGAAGAACAATAAATAGGGGCTTTGATGATAGGTGCTGATATACTCGTACACCTTGGAAAGAGGTGTAAAGAAAAGGCGAATACCTTTGGTTATGATAGTTCATGAATACAACGAACGTCCTGCATTGCAACGCTTTGATATTGGTTATACGTCCGCATTCCGCGGGGTGACGGTGACGAAGCGGCCTTCGGATAAAGCCACGATTTATGATCCACAAACCGCAACCACATTTGCCAAATTAGGTATTCCGGTATCGATTATCACAATCGGTACCCATCTATCATCAAGAATTACTACAGGCCAATTCAACCCAATTGACATCATTGGACTTTGAAGAGTCGTTATGTTGAGAATTCGAGAATCTGTCGGAATGCATAATGATGCCTAGATTTCAGTATGCAGGTGCGACAACGATAAGGTAAGCAGGTGAACAGATCTATCGGATAATTATAATGAAGCATCATCGTCACACGGGATCCTTCAAACTATCAATATTGATGCAATTGATAAGGGTAAAAGGGGATGAGTGGAGACCTATCGACAGCAGAAAACGGAGCATGACCTCCTACACTTATGTTTTGACCGCTTACAAGGTCGTGCAGGTCGTATTATGAGGATTTCCGTAGGCATGTTACGTTGGTCTAAGAGCCTCTGACGATCTCATCGTGCCTCAAACTAGCCATTTTAAGATGTGATAGTTTCTATAGGCTTCCGTTGCGTCTGCGGCGCTAGTCTTACACACACATCATCGTCAGCCAGTCAAACCGACTAGTAGATAGAAGAAATTGTCGTGGGATTCAAACTTGTATCCCGTCTATGACATCACTTCACCCCTCGGTCTTTTTTCAGGCGCGTTTTCAAAACCTACCGTTCTTACACATGTTCCGAACCACAACCAAACATCGTGACTCGTCAAATTGAACTCATTCCAAAAAGGCTGCAAACTCCGCACGCACTTACACTAGCGTCGAGAGCTATACGATTTATCGGAGAAAAGACCCAACAATTATTCGTCAGCCTATCTGGAAGATTCAAGAGCTATCATGAAATAGGTAGAATCTATAGGAAATGATTTGATGAGGCCTCAGTTTTAAAACTGAAGATCTTATACTATTTAATAAGCTCACAGCTATTTTGAGGGAAATCTAGATCTAAGAAATAGGCCTCAGGGTCGATCCGGAATCACAAAGGTTGGGAACACGACCTTAGACCCGATGAATAAAAGTGGATAGGCCGTATCCGGCGTTTGTCCAGGCCGTCTTCGATCTGAAGCGAATTCTCGATCTCCTAGCCTACGACTTGGCCAGAAATTTCGAAAACTGCCCGAGTGGACCGAATGGCGCTAAAATGTGGTGGGATTGGGATTGGTTGATTCCAGGCCATCATGGATGTCAGTGTGCATGCAGATAGGACGATAGCTTCGTTTTCTGCCGAACTGAACCCGCACTCCAAATTGGGGGCTTGCATGAGATCCCTGTACCAATCACACAACCAGGATTGGGCTGTTGCTTGTGATATGGATGACGATGGCTTCGTTTGAATATGCTAATGTCTAGTCTCGTCATCGTGAAGGTCTTCCGGGCTGTGTAGCCTGTTCTAATTTTTTACAAAGAAAATATTTTATATAAGTTTGCTACCTCGCCACCTTCACGATGTTTTTTTATTCTAAAACAATTATCTTCGTCAAGCGACCGAAATCATAAATATCATCATCGATAATATAGACTACGGGTCTTCATCTTACTGAAATACTTATACAACTTAGACTTAAAATCATATACACTCACGAAATCATCCAAGATGCCTATTGCTCTTACACCACCTCCGATTCCTGAGGTCAAGACTCTCGGTCATGTCACAGCCCTGCCTGCAAAGAGAAAGATCATATGTTTCTCAGGTATGATACATCTATTCACATAGAGACCACTTACCTGAGCGACTCATCTCCTAACACAACATCAGACTTTGACGGAACGATTTTTATGCAAGACACCGGACACGTCCTCTTCGACAACCACGGTTGCGGGTCCAAGCGGAGAGAAATGCTAGACGAACAGATCAAGACCGGCGAGCGATCATTCAGAGACGTATCGGAAGAGATGTGGGGATCTCTCAACGTACCTTTTGAAGATGGCTTCGAAGTAATGGAGAACACCCTCGAGATCGACCCTGACTTCCAGAGCTTCCACAAATTCTGCATTGCCAACAACATTCCATTTAACGTAATCTCCGCCGGCCTTAAGCCAATCCTCAGAAGAGTCCTCGATACCTTTTTAGGAGAGGAGGAGGCTTCTCATATCGATATCGTAGCTAACGAAGCACACATCTCACCCGATGGCTCCTCATGGAAGCCTATCTGGCGCCACGACACAGAGCTAGGACACGATAAAGCGCTCTCAATCACAGAAGCCCGGGAGCAGGCACAACTCGCATGCGACGACGGATCTATTCCCCTCATCGTATTCATCGGAGACGGAGTGTCCGACCTTCCCGCCGCCCGCGAAGCCGACGTACTATTTGCGCGCCGCGGGTTGCGACTTGAGGAATACTGTCTCGAGCATAAGATCCCATATATCCCATTCGATACGTTTGCAGATATCCAGCGCGAGATCGAGCGCATCAGGGAAGACGACGACAAGAAGACGGGCGGAAAGGGAGTCCCGGCACGCTTTAACCCGAGGGCGAACATGTGGAGACGCGTTTCTAGTAAGACCGCAGTGCCGAGATACGTGGTCATGTCGCCGACGAAGGAGGAGAAGATGTTTTTGTGGCCCGAGGCCTTTTCCGAGTTGAAGACGCCGACAGTGGAAGTTACGGAAGCGGCGACTTCGGCGGTTTAGGGGTGGGCTTTCCTACACTGAGGGCCCTATTGCATATACCGGCGTTTACCTTGTTTCAACTAGCATTGGGTAGCGATATGGAATTACACGATATCATACGGGATAGCACAAGGAAGAATCCCTAGGGCGTTTAGGTTGGAATATACACGATAGAGTGGTTTGATAATACGAAGATCTCATGAGATATACATACGCCAAGACTACATTCGTGGAAGATGTGTTATTTCTAGAATAGAAACTATCCAAAATTTTATGAGGATTTTAAAGACAGTTGTTCAGCTGTTTAGCACATGATTGTGATGGATAGTGCGCCATAGCTGAACTAGCTGGGCTTCATCCTTCATCCTTCTAAAATAATAATTGGAGGTTCATATGAAGTATTCAGGTACACTCGCGTTGTTTATGTCATCTGTCCTTTTGATTATCGTCTTATGGCCGGCCTCCGTTCGGATTCGGTTCTTACATCGATATTTTATTTTACCACTAGAGCACCGCCAGGTCATACAAGTACCTATCTCGATGTATTACATGTAATGCACAGAGAGCATTGCCCTAATTGCAAGATCGAACCAATGGGAGGCAAAGGAATATCCACTCTGCCCGCAGCATTGTCTAAACAATTAAGGATCAGCTCATTTGACGTCTTCTAAGTCCGATCCCTCCACACCAAGCCACCCAGCTACTACCCTAGCAGCTAGTTGGGCTGAGAAGAGGGACGAGAATCCCACATCGAGGCAGGCAGGCAGGATGGATGAAAGAAAGAGCTGAAACGTTTGGTGAGATGCGTTTCATGGGCTATTATGGCAGTTACGTAGGTAGTATCTTTGCCCATGTGGATATTCGGCTGCCATTTCCTAGATAGTTATCCATTCATTACCTTTCTTTACTAACAAATATTACCTCCATGGAAAGAACTTGGAAGGTAGTGTTCGTATGAACATAAGACTAAGACGGAGGTCTCGGGAACTAGCGACCTAGAAGAGGCCATCCAGCATCCATCGCGGCAGAGACGGCATTTTTAACGAACTAGAATGACATAGCGATAGTGTATTTCGCAATTAAGTTGCTCTCCGAGTAACCGGCCTTTTGGGTTTACCCTTGGCTCCTCATGCAGTATTCCAGCACTTCCTTCGGGTTGCTGCATGAAAGATGGGAAGGATGGGAAGATATCCCTTGTCGGTTCCAGGACTTCGCAGCTTCGTTACATTTACCAAGCGATCATCGATCATCGTTGTCTTGCAACTAACAGCTAACAAGACACAGCCCTATCTACAGCCCGGATGCCAAACCGATGCTCTGCTTCAAACCTCTTAGTTTCTTGGCCTCTTAGTCGGTTTGTTGTTTAATTATCTAATAATAAGTTCTCTCACATGATCTTTATAGCATCTACCTAATGTTAGATAGTCCTGATAGTCGATATAGAAAGAACTATCAAGTAAATTAATGTGTGTTCCTCCAATATCCCCCCATACTCCCCTGGCTCCAATAGAAGCTTTCCCGACGCTTATGTACCGTGCATCAGATCCATTCTAGACCGAGAGACGTTTCAGTAACTTCCTAAACCAGAGTTTAACTTTAAATTTTTGACTTCATTCATCCGTAACTGCCCGTGTAAAGAATCTATTAATATCCAAACTGATGTTCGACGCAACAGTGTCAGTCTCTACATACATACATGTCAATATGCAAACACTGCCATGCTATCTTGTCTATTTGTCAGTTCTAAGAATGACAAGAACATTGAATTTACATATACCTACATATGTACATCCATGGATATGGCCATCTTATTAGTGAAACCCGATTGGAGCCCTGTGGCAGTCGCTGTGGCGGGCAGGGGCGGGGTGGTTATTGGCGTCAGCAGGAGCCCCGGAATCAACTGATGATCGTAGGTATGTACCCCCAAATAACAATGTATCCGGTATTTCTAGCAGCTATTAAATAATTATGGTGCTATGTACCAGGCAATGCATGCACAAATTCAATTGGATTGGTTGTCATTATCAACCCGAACTGCCCCTCCAAAGATAATTTAGTTCAATGTTCCAGCTTCAAAACGGGTCTGAGGTCCATGACAGCATCTTTTCCTTAACTTACATCTCCTTTCATTTCAATTTTTATTGATATCTATATATCTTACCTTGCTGTCGAAACGTACTTTAATATCATTTTTTATCAATTAATTAAACACTTTCAAAGCTTGACTTAGCTTGAATGTGGTTATTGAATTCTTTTATGCTCTCTTCCTTTTCCTAGTCTTATTAGTAACCTACCTGCATGATACCTATTCCACGCCGAGCATATACTATCCTCCTTTGACATCATACCAAACTCCTAGCGCGTTTAATCAGGTCGAGTATCACAAGCACCAAACAAGCACCAAATAGGCACCTACAGCTGAAGAGGGGGAGTTACTTGTACACCTAGGCACCAAAATAACAAGCAACTTCCAAGACGGGACCAAGCAAAACGTCACCCACGTTTGGACTTTCCCGCTCTTGTCCTTGAACTCGCCCTCCCTAATTATAACTTAATCCTCCCTAGTCTACTTACTCCGAAATTCTTCCTTCTCTTCCACCATGGTCCGTATTATACCTCAAAGACTAAAAACCAAAACTACGAACTCTACCGCCAATTCCACCACCAATAGTCGCAGCAGTAGTCCCATGCCGCCGAAACTCGATGCAAATGTCTCGGAGGGTAGAAGAGATACGGGTTTGGTCCTAAAGATAGTTGTGCTTCGAGTAAGGGCAACCAATTGCTTATACTAGCTCTGGATACGGCCGTGAATTCTAACCTACTTGACACAGGCGAGAAACTTAGCAGCAAAGGATCGCGGAGGCACATCTGATCCGGTTGGTTGATTCCTCATTCTTGATTATACTTCGAGCCAAAAGTATACACGAAAAAAAATCTGACATATTTTGCTTTTTTAGTATCTCCAACTAACATGCGGTGAAACTAAATTCGTCACTCATCATGTTCCGAAATCGCTAAACCCCGATTGGAACGTTGTCTGCACCGTCCCTGTTACTGGTACCGACAATTTACTCATAGATTGTATCTGTTGGGATAAGGATAGGTTTGGTAAGGACTACCTCGGCGAGTTCGATTTAGCCCTCGAGGAGATCTTCTCCAACGAGAAGACCGAGCAAGAGCCGAAATGGTATCCTCTCAAGAGCAAGAAACGAGGAAGGAAGTCGAACTATGTGTCCGGGGAGGTTTTACTTCAATGCACGATATTTGATTCGACAAACAAGGATGCGACGGATCCTCAGATCTTAGAAAAGCTTCGTTCGCTTGCCACCGCTCTACCAGAAACCGCATCCCGCAATCCCACCCCCAATAGAACTCCGACACTTGGCCCGACCTCTACACCCAAATTAGAATCAAACCCATCGACCCAGTCGAGCAGGACCTCACCGGAAGGGTCTCAGGATGACGAAGACGACGACGAGATACTGGATGAAGATGAAGAGGGAGATCCGAATAAACCCGAGAATATCGAGAAGAGGAAGAGAAGGCTTAGGATCAAGGGTTTGAAGCGTAAAAAGAGACAAAATCCCTACGAATTCATCAATGGAGGTAGTGATGTGGTTGGCCTCATCTTCCTCGAAATCTGCAACATCAATGATCTTCCTCCCGAATCTAACTTTACGAAAACCAGTTTCGACATGGACCCTTTCGTTGTTGCATCTCTAGGAAAGAAGACGTATCGTACACGGGTTGTTCGCCATAACCTAAACCCTGTTTTCAATGAGAAGATGTTGTTCCATGTCTTGGGTCACGAGCGGTCTTATTCTTTTGCTTTCACCGTCATAGATCGCGACAAGATCTCTGGGAACGACTTCATTGCTTCGACTTCGTTTCCCTTACAGGAACTAATCGAGAAGAGCCCTAAAGCCAATCCGGAAACTGGTCTATACGAGTTAAGAGAGCCAGCCGAGTATGTTCGGGAAAAGAAATCACGGCTCGCGAGGTTAGGCATGTCGAGGTCATCTTCTACCCAGAGTTTATCCAAAGGCCGACCGGTATTGCCAAAGAACTCTAGTGCGGCTTCGGCACTATCTCAGGTTGATGGACAGGCTGATGCGAAGGTTGCTCCCACTTCCGCCCCGAACCCTACGCTATTGACGCCGGATCAAGCGCCTAGTCTAAACAATGGGAACGGGAACGGTAATGGTGAGGGCAACGACTATGCTGACGATCCTGATTTTAATGTCTTCACAATTCCATTGAAGATGAAGAACTTGGAAAAGTGGGAAGCCAAGCATAGCCCGATGTTGACCTTCCGTGCCAAGTATGTGCCATATACCGCCTTGAGGCAACAATTCTGGCGCGCGATGTTGCGACAATATGATGCAGATGAGAGTGGCGAGATCAGCAAGGTTGAGTTAAGCACTATGCTCGATACACTCGGTTCTACTCTGCACGAATCTACCATCGACAGCTTTTTCAAAAGATTCCCGCATGAGGCGTCAAGCGGCGAGCAGGAAATTACTATGGACGAAGCCGTCATCTGCTTAGAGGATCAGTTAGACGCCAAGAATAGGTCGCCTCCAGTAACTGAGAAGCTGAAGAATCTGGTACCCGACACAGAAAAGGTGAAGAACTTCCTCGCCCCGTCAAGTCAAAGCAGCAGCGTCACACCTTCGGAGGAAGGATCCTTCATTCTTAGCTCAGAAGATTCGAGCATTCAAGGGACGCCGTCGGGAACTTCAACTATCGCTGTTCCTGATCTCAGCACGCCTGGAGAGGAAGGTGATGCGTTGGATAGAGATGACCTCAACACCGAACGTGGTGAGGAACATGTCGTTGAAATTCGAGAATGTCCAATCTGCCACCAGCCTCGGCTCAATAAGCGTAAAGATGCGGATATCATCACTCATATTGCTACGTGTGCCAGTCAGGACTGGCGCCAGGTTAATTCACTGATGATGGGCGGGTTCGTCACAGCAAGCCAAGCGCAAAGAAAGTGGTACTCAAAAGTCATGACGAAGATTTCATACGGTGGCTATAAACTTGGCGCCAATTCGGCCAACATTCTCGTCCAGGACCGTCTGACGGGACAGATCAACGAGGAGAAAATGAGTGTTTATGTACGTCTGGGAATTCGATTGCTATACAAGGGCTTGAAGTCGAAAGATATGGAGAACAAGCGAAGTAAGTATCAGGTCTGGCGTACAACTATGGCGGCATGAACTAACAATGTTATAGTCCGCAAGCTATTGAAGAGCTTAAGTATCAAGCAAGGCAAGAAATACGATGACCCCGCATCGAAATCTCAGATCTTACCTTTTATCGAGTTTCATCGACTGGACATGTCCGAGGTTCTTCAGCCAGTGGAGGAGTTCAAGAACTTCAACGAATTCTTCTATCGTGCTCTCAAGCCGAATGCTCGGCCCTGCTCGGCCCCAGATAACCCTCACATTATTGTATCACCGGCGGACTGTCGATCTGTTGTCTTCAATACCATCGATTCAGCAACCAGCATCTGGATAAAGGGTCGCGAATTTTCCGTGAAACGGTTACTTGGCGACGCATATCCCGAAGATGCCAAACGCTACGATAATGGCGGACTAGGTATCTTCCGATTGGCTCCTCAGGATTATCATCGGTTCCATATCCCCGTTGACGGCATACTGCGTGAGCCGAAGCTCATTGCTGGCGAGTACTATACCGTCAATCCTATGGCTATCCGATCGGCGTTAGATGTGTACGGCGAAAATGTTCGTGTTCTTTGCCCTATTGACACCGAACTGTTCGGTAGGGTAATGGTGATCTGTGTTGGCGCCATGATGGTTGGTAGCACAGTGATTACCCGAAAGGAGGGAGAGCAAGTGAAACGAGCTGAGGAGCTTGGATACTTCAAGTTTGGCGGCAGCACCATTGTGACACTGTTTGAACCTGGAAAGATGGTATATGACGCCGACTTGGTCGACAACTCGGCTAGTGCCCTGGAAACACTGGTATGGCCTTTCCCCCAACTAATTCAATGTCTCAAGTCTAGATACTCACATATCTATAGATCCGAGCAGGCATGTCAGTCGGCCATTCCCCGCAGGTGCCGCAATTTGCGCCAGATATGCGCAAGGATGAGAAAGATGTCACAGAGGCGGAAAAGGCGGAAGCTCACCGTCGCATCCGTGGTGGCGTTGAGGCTGCAGATGAGGGGAACTTGCATTAATGCGAAACTGGTGGCGGGGTTAAGAGATACATTCACGAATTGCATTCTGACGGCGTTGTGCCATTGAAGCGATGACTCTTTTAAAAAAAGAGAAATAGGATTGTGGATAAGGTACCTAGTTAAATGAGGTTTAAGCATAAGACCAGGAAGTCGATTGCATTTCTATCAATACGATGGATATAGAATAACTAGAATATGGATCTAGGTGAGCGGGCGGCATTAGTGTTTCTCGTTACCTGACTTCCTTAACTTGCCCTGACATGCGAGAGAGAGGGGTTAAATAGGCTTTCGAGATAGATTGTCACGGTGATCCTACATCGGACTCCTTCCCCGTCTCCTGCGTAATTTTCTTCTCGAACGTAGGTACATTCATAGTCTGGCTCTGCGACAATGAGACCAACAGTGACGTACAGATCAATTACAGATCAGTGCTAACGTACGTAAGGATCTAATCTTCGACCGGACACCGTACGATGTCTTACGGGTGTCTCTAGGACGACAATATCGGTGTGGATATGAAGGACGCTCGTAACTACATTAGTGACAGAACCAACAGAAAGGCAAGTCACACCGACACGACAACTTCCAATTATATATATGCGGTCAAGAAGTGGTGTTCAATAAGAAGCTTCCACGTGAGTTGGAAACGGGGGGAGACGCAGGTAGGCGCAGTAAGGTGCAGAAAGAACGCAGATTGTGGGGTAGGGATTGAATTGGAACGTTTTCTTATTGGTCGCCAATTTGACTGATACTACCCTAGATCCCTGTCGACCCGGGTAAGTTAACCTTAAAGTTTTTGTTTACTTTGCAACCCCGCGTAGCAACGGTCCAAACGTTGACATTTCAAAGAAAAACATTCCAGCAAAAACTGGAACGTCGCCGTAATACTAATAAATCTACAGGGAATTGATTTCGAGAAGCATCATCCTATTGCTTTCATAGGCTCTCACCGCGCGTAGCTAGGATTCAATTGCAATTTGAAGATATAGCTACAGCTGCGGAGAGGCCATCACCGGATTCAACGGAGTGACGAAATTATACATACACGAATATACACGAATATCCACGCATACACACGCACGCATACATACATACAGATACAGTGTATACATAAACATATACACACATATCTGCAGCAACCCGCACCTCCAATGCGGACAGTACAGATAGCAATTGGTGAATTCCTCATTGCTTACTGCCTTCTTGGTCGACTGTGAACGAGGGGTTTCGATATTGAAAACGGCCGAGTCGAGAAAGGGGGAAAATAATCATAATAATATCGGCACGAAGAAAACACGAAACGACACAACAAAAAATGGCCGACCCCGACAATCTTCGTACAGCATCGCTGTACATCAATAACCAATTGATGTCACGCGGATTGCTACGTGATGGCCACAATATCAACTTCGCGCACCCGGAATCTGGCGATGGAGGATTACAAGCCACGATGGGAAAGGTCATGAGCGTCATCAATGACCTGATTCTCAGACGCGACGTATGTGTTTGTCCTCGTATTATCACAACCCCTTATCAATCACCACGGCCCGGATTGCGTATATCCCTATTATATATATGAGATAAGGAACCAAGAAACAATTAGCTAACATTCATTTCCACGAAAACAGCGCGACGCAGAAAACCGCGAGTCCCTCTCCACGACCCTACGCACGCTACGCGCAGACTCCCAACGCCAGACCACGGAACTCACTCGACAAGCCGACCGTATCTCCGACCTACAACGCAAGCTCGACGGCGCCGACGCCACCGAACGCGCACTCCGTTCCCAACTCAAAGCCGCCGAGCACACCGCGCATAAGCTCAAAGATGACGCAGCCAAGAGCAAGACGCTCTTGGTACAGGCGCGCGCGTCGTGCGCGACCGAGGTGAGGAAAAGAGACCGCCAGATCGATGGCTTGAAGAAGGCGGTTTCAGATGCGAGTCGTGTACGTGGGGGTGGTAGGAGTAGGGATGTGTTGAGCATTACCGTCACAGGTGAAATTGGAGGTGATGAACGGGGAGGCCTACCAGCTGGTGCGACGGAAGCGGAGGGGTATAGTCTGAGGTTAGAGACGAATTCGTTTCTTACCGAACTAGCACGGGGTTTGAGCGAGGAGAACGAGGGCCTACTGGCGCTGGTCAAGAGGACGGTTGATGGGCTGAGGGATATGAGTGGCCTTGAGCATACGACGAATGGTGTCGAGGCAAACTCCGAACACCAGTCTGATGCCGGCGGCGCGGATGTGCTGATTTTGGCGCCGCAGAAGAGCGCAGAGGAGCTGGCAGGCGAGTTGGAGGGGATCTTGGAGCATCTTAGGACGATACTTACGAACCCCTCCTTCGTGCCCATCGAGGAGGTTGAGATCCGCGAGGAGGCTATCACCCGCCTGCGCGCCGGGCTCGAGACTATGGAGTCTAGGTGGAAGGACGCCGTGCACATGATCGACAGCTGGCGCAAGCGCATGGTTTCCAGTGGCAAGACGGTCGACATTGATGATCTCCGCATGGGCCTTAGGCTTAGCCCTGTTAAGGTCAGGGACGTGGCGGAGACGGCCGATGTTGTACCGCTGTCCATGAGGCTCTCTTGTGTTCAGGAGGAAGAAGAGGAGGGCGAATACGACTACGACCAATATGAAAATGAAGAGCAGCAAAATAGCCCGAGAGGCCTAAGTATGGTTAAAGAGGAGGACGAACAATCGCCTCGACGACATAGGTCTCCGAGCCCGGCTGAGTCACTACATCTAGTCCCAGCGCCGGGATATGAAGAAGAGAACGATGATTTGGATTTGGACTCAAGTAGCATCTTCCAAGACGATGACGATATCGATATAAACGAACTGGAGCAAGAGGAGCCGAACGTTCAAGTTCTCCAGGAATCCACATATGGCGCATCTCTAGACTCACCTCCGCTCCCGATTCCGCCGCAGCTAAGCCCGCTCAAGGACTCGTACTCGTCGGGAAATAAGGGTCCTACCATGCGAGAGCCCGCGTACCGCAAACGACCCGGTGACTTTACCACTATTATTGAAGAAAACACATGGGACCTAATGGCGGAAGAAGAGGAGAAAGCACCTGTTCCGCCTCCTCATGTGATCAAGCCCCAGTCTCCTCTACAGAAGAAGGGGACATCAGCAAGCAAAGGTTCTCCGCAATGGCAGGACACTCGCCCCGGCTCAACTTCCTCGTATGATAGCCCGCTATTCGGGAAATCAGGCGAGAGACCCTCACAGACGGATCCCTCTCGCAAGCTATTCTCCAAGCCTACCGTGAACTTAGTACAGCAAATGCAATCGAAGTCTCAGCCGGAACCTGGAAGCACGAATGGGCAGGGTCCCTTTAAGTCGTTAAGGAGACCTAATTCGTCAAGGGACTCGCCGGATCCATTAGGAGCCGAGATTAAGAGAACAAACTCGGACCCGGTTAGCCCAGCACCGCGACAGGAACCCTCGTCTTCGTCCATCCGCAAGGCTGCTCCTAGTGCTATTACCCTATCTCCACGACCTACCTCTTCATCTTCCTTAAAATCTATGGCCAATAGCATAAAGGAGCCACAATCACCATCGATACCCCGGCCGCGCTCGCCTCTCCGGAGTAATCAGCCTGTCAATTCCCGCCTACCGCGTCCTAACAGCAATGCCAACCCCCCGCCGCAAAGTCCCCTAACTATGGCCACCATCGCCGCAAAACTCGCCGCCTCGGAGCGTGAAGCGGACGCCGCTCGTGTAAGAGCCAAGCTTAGAGCTGTCCGTAGCGGTGGGACGAGACGCAACGGCGGTCTTTTGCCACCTGCGACTATAACTTCCAACAGCAATGCGAATGGCTCACCTTCGGAAAGGCGAGCCGAGAGATTGGATAGGTCAAGCCCAAAACCTAGGGTTAAGGAAGAAGATAGGGAAAAGGAGTCTATGGACCCGGTAAAACGGGACAGGGAACCTCCTACCCCGAAGTCCGCTACCAGGGAGCGGGTTAGACAACAGAAGGTCGAAGACGATAACGCCGTCGACGAGCTAGCAGGGTCGCTTGGCGCGGCAGAGCAACAACAGGACGTCGAACTAGGCATGAAGGTGACGAAGCGAAGACGCGACCGTGGCGAGCGCCGCACGAGTAAAGTCGCGTCGCGCAGAAGAAGCACGCTAAGTCCCTGGGAGCTCGAGACGCTGATCCAAGGGACGACGAACTGAACCCACAGCACGGAAGCTACCTACCTACCTAGACTATTACCGGAGATTATACTCACTACATTCACTCACTCACTACCTTTACTACTCCTATCTCACAACCTACTATCTTCGGCCGGGAAAGGGAATGAATGACGGGGGAAGGGAAACGTGGAAAGGAGGGCGGGATATTTAACGTTGGGAGAAATGACGAATGGAAATGACACACGAACGAACGCCCTTCTCCCCGGGGGGGCAATATACCTAAAAAGAAACAAAGGGCAGAACACCCCCTTAAGAGAAGCTCGAAAAGCTGCAAGGCGACGGCGACGGCGCCGGGAGTTTAATGAGGAAACCGGGGTACTTTTTTTTTTTGTTTTATTTTATTTTGTCCATCTACGCAAGGGATGGAGTAGTGGATTACTAAGTTACGATACGTTATGACATGACAGAATTACCTTACCTTACCTACCTACACTTTTTACGCCTTTTTGTATAGCTCAGTTTAGTTCTGTTTGGTTCCGTTATTCCTCCAGAGAGGACGGGATTAGCATTAGGCGAACTACGGCACCACGGCACGTCAGACACACCACATACACCTAAGCGAGCAGCGATGCAAGCCGGTTTAGTTTATTTACTTTGTTCTATACCATTTACGCAATGAAGATCTCTCGTTCACATTTAAGAAAAAAAGTAGGATAGAGTTACGAAATCATAAACATTATGCATTATGGCAAGTACTAACTAATTACTGTGACCACACTTTGCGAGATGTGTGTTCCCGGTTTCCTGTATCGAGAGTAGACACAGGGACAAACTTGCTATATGAATTCTAGGTAGAGGCGGTAGTCCGCCCGTGGGCCGTGAACCTTCAACCGATGTAGGTACATAAGCTCGCGAATAGAGCCAAGGGAAAGGGGTATCTCAAAATGGAGAAATGTGCCAACCGAACCCTAGAACGATGACAAAAAAGCACAATAAATCTCTACAATGCCACCCATGCTGTCTCTTAGTAGGTAGAAACGCAAGACATCATAAAAAAGAAAATCATATCCCATACCCACTGTTTCTCTTACCCTAAAAAGAGAGACATATTCTCCTACACCGATATTACATATGGATCCCGATGCGCGGGAGAGAGGCGGAGTTTTGGCACCGGTCCGGATGATATGCAGGTACATGAGGCGATTGACCCAAGATAATCTGCGCCTTGAATTTGCGAGAAGCCCAGTTCCTAAGGTCCACCTTCGGTTGTGCCGGTCGACAGTAGATCGTCTTAACGCCCCTCTGGATGAGCTTCGCGAGTACAGTGTCAGGGAACGGCTCGTTGGAGACATCCACAGCAGACAAATTAGGAAAACGGCTAGCTATTCCAAGCACAACATCCTCCAGTAATCTGTCTCCGTGGAGACCATCTCGTGTGAATCCCGTCAAGTTCAAATAGGTGACACTGTCACTTTTAAACCAGTCAGGAATCGTGGGAACTTGTGGGTCTCCGAAGAAGCTCCCGACAGGCAACGGGTCGAAGTGCACTTCCCGTAGAGTACCGGATTCTAGGCCAGGCCTAACCAATAAGTTGAACAGGTCATATAGGTTAGACGTAAATCCGGTATACGCATTTGAGGCAACTAGTACTGATAGCTTCTCCATCTTTTGAAAAAATGGGAGACATGAGTGAGCTTTGAGCATAATAAGTTGGAGATTGGCAGGCGTAGAGCCTATTTCCAAATGTAACTCACGCAATCGTTCATGGACGGTTACGAATGGGATAGGTCCGCCGGGGGGTAGGGAATCGGCGTTGGAGATCACATGTTGCCCTATGAATATGCTCTGCAGTCGTGGCCAGTCATACATCAATCTTACGAGTTCGTGAGTTTGAAAGTCGAGCCAAGCTTCTTCTACATTAGGAGCTGATTCAACAATTCTACTCTGTATATATAGTTAGAATTATAATACCAGACAATAATTATACAAACTTACCAAACGAGTATCGGCCACAATACCATACGATTGTGCAAGACGAACAACTTTCAATTTCTCTAGCCGTGGCCAGTTGCTGGGCCAATGCGTGAAAGGAGGCGGGAGTGTGAAGATAGAGAGCTCTTCTAGCGATGTAGAAGAGGACACGAGCAATTGCCGTAAAAGCCCAACCGAGGGTTGTACCCCACGACCTAAAAAGAGGTGTTTAAGTTTAGGCATTTTTGGTTGCGTTCGTAATTCTTCCAAACAGAGGACCGCTTGAGGCTCTCTCAGCTTGAGAACCTTAAGGTCGTGGAAGAAACGGAAGAGGCGCTCAAGTTTACCAGTCATTAAAAATTGAGCACAACCATCAACGGACAGCTCTGTAATGCTTTCACCCCCATATCTCCAGTTATTTACGAAGCTTGTGAAGAGGCTTGGCGCACGTAATTGTTTGAGTCGAGTGAATGTGTAGTCTTGGGTCTTCCATAGGGAGCGAAGAGAATCTGATGTCAAAACGGTTTTCCAGGTCTTGGACACACCTAAACAGCAACTAATTCACGAATTAATAAATAATATAAGCTAATTTGTTTTACGAAAAGAACTTACACTTTTGCCCTAATGTTGAAAAACCTGAATATCATCTCCACAAGCTCGATGGGAAGTTCGACTATCGGATCAAACGTGGCCAAGGGAAACACATTATCCTTCTGGGCTTGCAGCTTCTGTGGCCCATAGTTAGCTAAGATCTAGTGATATTTGATACATGGGCCTACAGGTAATAGAGCATGGTTTGGGTTCTTTCGCTTGGTCAGCTCTATGCCTTGCTTGTAATTGTGATACGCCGTTGTTGGTTGGTTCTTTAGTCTAAGAACCTTTCCCAAGCGCAGATAGCTCTAGAGATAGACATTAGTATCCCGGTGCACCATCTAGAAGAAAAGCCGATCAAACCTTGGGATCTCTTGGAGAGAGGTTAACCATTTTCAAAGCGAATTCGAGGGCATCGTCAAGTCTATTTTGCATCTCATAAACAGCAATAAGTGAATCAAGTGCATCGAGATGGAGCCGGCTACCGCATCGTTCTGAGGCTGGTAATTTTGCCAAAACCCCTTTCAAATCCTTCTTCTTAATTCCACTTAAGATATCATGGTCAATGCGTGGCTGCTTCTGGATATTGACGCCACAACTGCACAGACCCATGACCTATAAATGTAAGCGCGTGTTAAGTAGAAGGTAGTTGATGAGTATTTTACCCTTAGGAAAGCCTTCTCGGCATGATCATATTGGGTCGCCTTGTACCACCTTTGGCCTTTTTGATACAAGACAATAGTCTTATCTGTACTGCGATTCGTAACAGTAGCCATATTCCCAGGCTAATCACGAGAACTATCGTCGTTTATACAAAGTACGTGAGATGGTGAATAAGAGACGACAATAGACGAAAAATGGTAAGTCGGGGATGATCATATGTCGAATAATGAATAAGTTAGTCTGTTTCTTAACCGCCGAAGTTTTACAAGATGAAAAAACGATGAAATCCTTCGCCAATTTTGGTGTTAGATGGAAGTTGATGAGTTACAGAATCAACATTGAATTGACGCGATGACAAATTAATTGACGCGTAAAGTGCAACAGTCGGTAGGTACCTAAGTCTTAAGGTTTGGCGGGGTAGTGGGGTACTGCCTGCATTTTTAGGTGCGTGTACCCAACGCACTAAATACCAGTATTTAGTTGCAGGCAGGCAGGCAAGCAAGCACCTAAGCAGGCAGCTACAGTACATTGGTAGTTACAAGCTATGATGTTTATTTATACTTAGTACCTACTAGTAACTATAAAAACGAATAATACTCTTAAGTCTTCGAAACTTAAGCTACATATTTTAATAAATGTATAGTTATATATATTTACAAAAGATAACTTCAGGACATTACATAAATAGGTAGTTTTTGCTAGGTACGTTAACAAATATTGAATTATTTTATAAGAATCACATAAGTACCTCCTTACTTATAAAAGTGTCTTATATAGTCCAGTAGGTGACAACTGTTAAAGAAAAGTACTCTCTTCCCACGCCTCGAGATATACATTCTTTAGTTCTATTCTTGACATTTACTAAGTACCTACCCAAGGTACGAAGGTAGTAGTTCAACATGATCAGATGGCTATATCCATTATACTATGAGATAGACTCATGTCTTACCTAGCAGCTATCATTAGAATATCATGAATCTTTTAGGCATCCATTTAATAGGGATTTCTTTTAAAGCAAAGATGGACTATGCCTGAGCTGAGACGATGTCATGTCTATATACGGGAACGAAACATCCCGCCGAAAAGATCCGTTGTGACACGAGCAATGCGGGGGCGGAAAATGGAAAGGTCACGATCGTGCCTACTAGGTAATGCCTACTAGGTACCTAGGTACTGTGTAGTTAGCACCTAAGCAGCCCTGGAGCCTGTAAATTTCCAAGGTTTTAAGGTCCCAGGCTTGTGGCACGACAACGCCAAGTCCTCCAATTAAGATCTCCCTACATTACCTAGTCTTTTTTTTTATTACTGTAGGACGGGTAATTATTTTAGTATTATTTCAGGTATTTTAGAACGTTGAAGTGATCCATTGGTACTACACGGCACAAGATAATGACTTACATATTCTACGGCCCCGGACGGGAACTCCCTTCTTTTTTCTTCGCCGCGACTGTAGATTAGATACCTAGTGCCTGATACTATTAGGTATCTAGCAGCGTATAACAGGAGGAGGCGCTGTTATACCGAAGGAGCCGTAGAGCAAACTGTCACCGCGAGCTGCACGGGGCTCAGGATGGTCATCCTTACATCTCTTTTCTCAATCTCTCTCTGTCTCCCCCGCTCCAATCTCTCCTGGTGTCTTCCTTGCACCTATCCTCATTGAGTTATCTCCATCGATTCCGCCCAACAGAGAGGCGCAGAACCCCGTATTCTTGATCATCTCACCCCGGCACCAGGCCCGGGGTGGCACGGGTGGGTAGCGTAGGCGGAGAAATAGTAGATATCAATCTATCCCAAACTTGGTCCTCCCTTCCTCTATCCCCCACCTTTTTAAACCCTTTTTGATTCTTATGCCGTAGATAATTTTTATCTCCTTCGTACGACGTCAACGTCCCCCCCCCCCCCTTCTTATTTTTATATACCATCCCATCCCGTCCCACCCCGTCCCGTCCCTACTAGGTAATCTTATCGGGTTGCGCTGCGATTGCGATTGCGAGCCCTACTCTGTCCAGCCCAGCACCGGCCGGACCAGGCAACGTAATGAGGCGTACAGTAAGGGCAGTGGGAGGAGCGACGATGATGTGACTTTAGGTCACCGCGGGCCGAACATGTGTTTATTTCCAACATCCTCGCTCCGCGTTGTCCTTCTGTCGTGAGGGGTTATAGCTTACTCTGATTCCACCCCCCCTTTACCCCCATCAGCAATCGTAATGGCGAGAGCGCTGCCCCTTGCAGGATCGTTAAGCCTCTGAGTATGTACCCACATTCGGTACGGAGATCCTTTACGGCTAATCTGGGTATCTTGGATCTAAAAGCGACGATCCGGTAAGACTTCCTTACGTGATCTGGCCGAATTGGCGTTGGACGGCCATGGGTCAATCGTAAACTAGAGGGGTAACGGGCAGGTAGATAATGCAGATAATGGCAGTTGGGTGATGGATGTAATCAGGCAGCTGAATATATCTAGATCCTTACTACTTAGTAAGTCAGCTTATCTGTTTGTGTGTAGGTAGATATGAGTCGACGGTTTCTATCCTCGGCGTTGTTCATGTTAGATAACATTTCAGCAGAGACCCGAGCTTCGCCTTGCATGCTAAGCGATCGGGGCCACCCACATATGGTGCTCCCAGCTCGCGTCTACAGCGTCTGAGCGTCTGAGGCGTCTAAGGTAGCCCCCAAAAGCCACGTGGAACAGCTGTGGTAGAACCGGACACTGTCAGATGCCCACACCAACTACTTACCTACAGTAAGTCTTGCCGTTGCAGGAAATAAGTCGCACGACGGTGAACACGGTCGGGTGATTGGGCGATGCTGGTGTTACTAGCGTTGGAAATGATTCGTGGTGGTGTATGGCTCGGCACTCGGACTGGTCGGCATCCATCCATCAATGGCATCTGTAGCACTTGTGGTGCATTGCTGCTACATCGTACATCTTGCATCGTACTTAATCCAATTTATGTAAGGTCCTACCCGTGGTGCGTGTGCGGGTTACGTATGCAGTCATTCATACCTACTAGGTAGGTATACATGCCCGCATCCAATATCTACATACCTAGTAGTAAGTAGTAGATAGGAGGAGTTAAGTCTGTTGGAGTCGGATGTCTTGGATGTCGTGGATTCGCAAGGTTGACTTGATTGACTTTTCCAAAGGGATAGACCCCAATTCGACCAAATATGGAAAAGGCATGGAAAGAGTTAAAAGGGAGGGGGGGGATTGACTGACACATGTGTTTTCTGTATTCTAGAAAAGAACGAGGGTTACTAAACTAAGGTACCCGTAAACCTTACCTCCTAAGGTTGCTAGGTACCTGACATGTTATTTTTAGTTCAGCATGTACTGTTCATGTACCTAAAAACTGTAAAAGGTATAATAGGTAACCAATCAGAATAGGCAATTCTTCGCCAGTCCGGCATCACCATTCTATCGGTCCGGGAGCCCCACCAAAGCTGAGAGCGGGGCTCTCTTTTCCTTTTTCTTCCTTTTCTTTTCTCCCGAAGGCTGGGTGAGTGGACCCTTTCACCTTTTTCAAAAATAATTCTCATGTTATCTTACTTACCTAGGTACATACTCAAAATATCTAGATGGGATTGATGTACGGGATATTATCCAATTTTCCAATTTTAACCAAGGTCCAACCTATCTGCCTATCTGCCTATCTATAGGGTTGGTAGGGGTTTAAGGGTTACAACTCGTAATGTGTACTTGCTGTATACAGTAACAAGGTGTCAGTTTGGAGTCTGTGATGCGTCACGCACCCACATGATCCTATCAAGGGACAACCACTAGGCTCGCATCTTCGGCCGGCATGTCGATTGGGTTGCAAGCACGCTGCTTGTTCCTGTTCCCTGGGTCTAACTCGGACCTGTCGTTCGACCAAAGTACGCGAGGTGACTGGTTCGGCAGTGTGGTAGTGCTCACGCAGGCACGTTTAACTTGTCTTACTAGTGGTATACTGATGGGGGGGGCTCTTCTCAACCTATCATCGGAAAAGAAGCTGATTCGTCCTGCATCGTACATGCACGTTCACGGTCCCCCTAAATTCCATAGGGTAATTGCCTATGTGCTCCATAGGGGAGGTTGGGTACGGGGTACCCATACCCACGATAATGGATGGGTGGCCTCACTACCTGCGAGGCTGGCGAGGCTACAATACGCTGTGGCGTTTTGGGGGCGATTTTGCGACTACGTTTCAGCATATAATATTAATAAATGTTTCTATCGCAAGCTAGTTTCATGTATTATCCAACTAGTCAGATCGGTCGTCCGTATAATTCAATCTAGGCATATTCAGGTATCTTTAGAACTGTCTAGATGTGCTGAGCTTATCGGATGAGTGATCGCATTGATCTTATACTTGCGCAAGTGTCGAGTCATATGTCGCGATGGAAGTTAGCTATCTTATAAATCTACTCCGAGATGATTAACACATGTCAAATATGTAGTAGTAATCCGAAAATCCCTGGATCGCCACTAATAGTGAGTAAACGCTTAGAAATCAGAAGTTGATTATTCATCTACATGTAGCCGCCATAATATGCACATTTGACATTCGACCTTAACGCGAACCAGATTCTAGAAGATAGTTAATTCTCAGCTAATCAACGTCAATTGAGCCGCTTTCTATCGAGTTTCCATTGCGTAATCAATGTGTATCCTCCCCAGACTTGCAAGTCGTCCTCCGCTCTATGCTCGCTGAGAGTTCTAATCTAGATAGTCTTTTACGGCGCGTCTCCGTGACCAGACGAAGCGCGAAAAGCTGTTTCCTGTTGGTATTGTAGGAGTGAACGATGAGGATCTAAGTCGACCATCGGGCTGTGCCAGGCAGACCACGAGGTCTGACCAAATCCTACCAACTAGGGTAAATCCAGTTTACCCGTCCCTCCAACATTCCAAAACCTAGCTCAGCTAGTTACAGCTTTTGGGAAAGGAAATATGTTAGAAATACATGACCCGGTTGCTGCCTGAGCGTCATTAGTTTGTGGTTGTTGTTACACCTGACCTGCAGGAATGCGTGAAACCAAGAACAGTGCGATAGGAGAAGAGTGCAGCCCCAAAGAAAACAAACCAGAAGGAAACAACACGCAACTCAAGAAAGCAAGGAAATAAGAGCTGGGGGTTTGAGTGCCGAGATCACATAATCCCTTCGAAAAGGAAATCAGCACCCAAACCCCCCTCCCTCTCTCCAAAATTAGATAATTCCCCCAAAAAGAAAAACGCCTGGTATATTCCCAATCGCCCGTGAATGCGTAACCCAAAACCAGAAAATGGGAAAGAAAAATGGAAATGCTTTCGAGCCGGCCTTTTGATCCAGTTACCTCCGCGTCACTTAACGTTTCTCGTGAGATGTTGGTTCGATCCTTGTCGTGACGTTAAGATAGCATGAGTCGGAAACCACATTAACCTCGTCTGTTTTTGTATATCCTCCTAATCCCAATGCAAGATTTGTTCCCTCGCCGACGCTATGCTAAATCAATGAACAGGAGAGAAAAAAAACTGAAAAGTTGAGATGTGTTGAAGGAGAGTGATGGCGTCCAGCCCGTGAAGTTCGAAAAGCCGCGGTTTTGTCGACGGTATGCTAGCAAATATCAGATAAATCTAACTGCCGAAGATGGAAATAGCCGAAAAACGGGGCCCCGTCGCCAATTGACGGTATTAAGATGACATGTCATATTTTATTCCGTGTCCGAGTCTTCGATAACTTGACGTGTGACGTAGTGGCATCCATAGCGATCCGTTCAGTGCCGAATCGTACGACAGGGCGCTTAAAAAAAAAGACCCAATGGCTTCGTTATAGTGCGGGAGGAGCCGACGTTGACATTATGCGGTCATGACCTATGAACAGCAACGATAGCTGAGAGGGCCGACGGGACGGCGACCACCTTTTCGGTTTAGGTCTGAAAGAGTATAGGTATGAGACCCAGTCCTCGAATTCGAACTTTAATAGCGGCGGAGAATGCCACGCACAGCAACCCATTACCGAAGACAACACTCTTCATCGACGGTGGCGGTAAGAGCTATCTCGAGATTGGTTGCTGTAGTATCCCGAATCCGAATATGACTGACTTCCGGCATATGAGCCGTAGCTGCTTGTTTGCGCGTGCTTTTGGCAAGCATATCCCACTAATATCGTACGGGTTGTGACGGAGTGTCCTGACTGACCGTACGCCGGGCAACGGTCGACGGCATGCTGGTAGTAGAGACAGTGGCAGGCAGAGTATCGCTCGATTAATTGGTAACACATGGTCAATGTTTAGGATCTCGAGATGGCAAGAGTGTGAGTCAATGGCTTCAGAACGAAGGCAGGGGGAAGCAATTGTATATATAGGTTGGCGAGGTAAGCGTGGAATCGTGTGGGTAGGCGGTCTCGTGTGTGATGGTCGTGATAAGGGAGTGATCCAGTGTGAATGATATGAGTGTTCAAGATGTGAAGATGTGAAGATGTGAAGCAATGGAAGTCAAGACGGATCGGGAAGCAGTGGCAAAAGGAAATCTTATAAAATAAAAGGTCGACCTAGAGAACACGAAAGGAAAGGACTGGAAAGTGAATGTGTTCAGGTGACTGATGAGTCGACAGGAGTCCTGCTGCGACTTAGGGCGAGAAGAGGCATCGTAGCCTTATAGGGTTTTGCAGCCTGGCCAGGTTGCGCGTGCCTCTTATTGAGGGACAGGGAAGGTACAAGGAAAGGCACCAAGTGACGACAGAAGCTTACTCGAATACCGGCTTGACTAAGTCCGTATCTTGCATGTAACTTACATGCAGGTCAACGGGAGGTAGTCTGAAAAGAAAGAGAGATCCATGATGGGTACATCACCTAGGAAAAGGCGGCGCAGGGGAGGGGTGAAGGGGGGGGCGGCAGCTGCCTTGCCATGATGAGTAAATGCGCAGCCAGCATGTTTAGGTTTACGGGATGTAGGTATGTAGGTAGTTTATGAGAGGGCGAGGGCGAGGGCGAGGGTTAGGAAAAGGTGAAGGTATCCATATTGGAATAGGAAATAAGAAATAAGAATAGGTAGAAATAGGTATAGGCATGGCGGAAAAGACCCGCCGGCCACACTAGCGTAGGCGGGCGATGGAGAGTACCTGGTCTGCGTTCTCTACCTCTGCTTCGTTTTTCAGGCAGTCAGGTGAAGAAGTGACTGAAAGTGGAGTTAGTTTGACTGCATTCTGCTAGTGTCTAAGCCGGGGTGGACATCGGATTGGTGGCAGAAGAAGTAATTATGGTAGCAATGGTTAGTATACTAGGTACACGAACGTAAGTTGGTAAATTCTGCAGTCATGGATGGTTGTGGCCATAATTGTAGTTGCAGTCGAGGTTCCGGTTGTAGTCGTAGTCGTAGTCGTGGTTGTAGTCGTGGTTGTCGTTGTAGTTGTGGTTATGGTTTTGGCTGTGGTGGTTTGTTTGTGTTTCTGTGCTACGATAAAAACAGAAAAGTAGATCGAATTGATTTTTTTTCCCCTTCGTCATTCGGATTCGGGTCGATTGGAAATGGGAATTTGGCCATGGACCTACCAGACTTCGTAGGTTCCCTGCAGGGCTGATCCCACTCCAAGTACGTACCAGGCCTGTACAATCCATACCCTAGCTGCAGATTGCTACTCCCTACATAATAGGCAAGGATGGATGGGTACCCCCAAGACCTCGTACAGTAGCAGTGAAGCTGACAGGCCATGTATCCGAGAGTACCTGACAGAACTCATGTTTCTATACATACCTTCAGAAAAAGGCAGTGTTGCTACACAGAGGTTGAAAACCGTAGTATACTACCTAGTGCTCTAATTATATTAGAACCTGACACTCCGAAGATCTTGGTGCGATGTAGTCTTTTTTGTTTTTTTAGGTGTTTTTTTTTTTTATAACTTACGGCATGTGAACCCTTAATTTTGCTCAGGTATGTATTTCCATATTGCAACCTGTTAGAAAGAAGCTTGGCGAAGGAAGTGATAAACCCCCTACCGTCTGGCTAACCATCCGGCACTCATAGCACTGCGCCTTTTCACAGCAGCCGGCAATCACGGATTCGAAGACGGGACCTGTATTGCTCATACATACCTATTATGTAGGCAATGACGAGTACTTCAACGAGTACTTCAAGATGTTTCAAAAAATTTGGGGGTCGATCCCGGGGCTTCCTAGGCTTTCTGTGTGCGTTGTTAGCAGTCAATGGCCAGTGCTTACATGGGTATTGTATGTTAGTAGGGTTGGAAACAATGATGTTCTTATCCCATGTGCTTACGACCGTCCAGCGTTTAGAATAGACATCTTCTTTTAGTATGTCATTTCCAAGTTTTCATTCTTATAAAATGATGTGTTAAGTAGTATTAATATATTCTAAGGAGCGCAGTTGCTATTTACTTCCTACGTTGTTTTAAAGTCCTTAAGGTTAGGAATTGAGTTTAAGCTTCTATTTTAGGGGATGTCTATCGATGTGATGTATTGTACGAAGTAAGGTTTGAACATTCGCGGACCGAACCTAGCGAACCTAGAGTCACGTTTCAATAGGTGGTAAAGGTTAAATATTTTATTAGCTAATAGGTACCTACCCACTGATGTCATAATCATAATGTCAAATTGTTTCGTATCGAAGAATTAAAAATACACAAATAAAAGATTCCAATATAAGCCCGGACATCAACTCGAAATTGCGACAAATCGCCACGCCGACCTTCCCCGGGAGCATCGGCGCAAATAATGATAAGTGTGGTCCGGCTTCGATGGAAGCGCGAGTTTATAGTTTAGTCAGTGTCATGATTAAAAACCAAGGCATGACCTCACCTACCGTAGCATTGTCGACGACGCCATCGACCTGTCGGGTGGCTTGGAACGGCTTTTAGGATCGCACTTACATGGTTACATGGGACTGCCTGGACAGGTAAACGGATTTAATCATCGCCGCATGGTCTTAACAACCGGTCCGGGTCGCCATTCCGCCATCGTCTCTCTATTGCCGATTAATCCAACCCTTGGGTGGTCAGCAAGATATCGGAACGCTACGATGTAGTATTTTATCATCGTCACCGTCACCGTCATCCTTATTCATATTCATATCATTATTATCACTATCACTATCATTATTATTACTACCTAGGTAGTTATTGCTATTTTACTCACACATAGAATCTAGAGTAAAGTGCTTAGAAGGAGTTCATTAAAGACACACTTAGCCCCAGTTCGCTGGACAAGAAGGATGGCCGAACGTATGATATTAGACGACACCGCGTAACTTCCCGCTGGACGGCCTGTACCTATCAAAGCTATCGAGCGCTATTGTAGGACAATAGGGGCATTCGTACCTTGCATGGGCCAATTCCCTATTACAAGCAGTGGCTTGTATTCTATTCGTCTCTGGCACCGTATGCAGCGTAACCGAGTGGATAGTCCGGGGCTGCACGCGACAGTCTCATCTCACTTTAAGTACCCCAAAGTATGTGTGGTATGTGTGTAGTATGTATGTGGTATGTATGTGGTATGTGTGACGATTGGTTATCGTACGGATTTGCGCTTTTTGCTAGCTCATGCACGGCTTGTAAGGTACGAACTTGTACATCTACCTGCATATATACATTGAGGAATCAGAACCATCACTAACTTTCCATAGTAGGTATCTATCGTGGGTGAGGTCGCCAGGATGATGACGGAATTACCCAACCCGGAGCCTTGGAGACGGCGCGCTGGTACTGACAGATTGACAGATTGGCAGATACCCGGCTCGACACACCCATGCAGCCTGGTCAGATTGAAGCACACAATGGTATCCCGTCGATAACCTACCGGTAAGAATGAATTTGAGTTATAATTGCCAAGGTCGTGCTAACCTTGGAAGTACTATGTACGTCAGAACTAGGCGCAACACAGTACAGCACAACTAGGTAGGTACACAGCTTCAGATACCCAGTACCATGTATTCCAAAAGGTACAGGTCTGTACAGATGGTTACAATGGAAACGAAAGGAATTTTGCGAGTCATTCATCTTAATAGTTACCGAAACATTCGAGGAGTGAGTAATTCTATAGCGATGAATTATTTCGTCCGGTGAATCTGTTGGATAGCAGTTGCATCAATACGCTGTTAAGAGAGGCGCAGCGGTTAAACTGCACATAACTCGAAGGAAATTCGTAACATTGGCCAATAGGACCACGTCAACTACTAGGTAAGTAAAAAAATCATTATGAGTATTGTTTCATTCTTCTTATTCTCCTGCAGACTACTAGCTACTAAAAGAATGCTGCATCGAAAATGCATGCTGCAGATCTCCTCACATGTAACTATCTAGCCTTACCTGCCTTATATCGCCCGTCCCCTGAAAGTGAAACCGAGGGAACATTCAAGGTTGGATGTCAGCGAGTCCCGAATCTCGATACTTCCCGAGGTCCTGATCGACGTGGCTGCAACCTTTCCAGCGCACTGGGTCAACAGGGAACCTACCTGCCTAGGTACCTGCCTGCCTGCCTGCCTGCCAGGACCTTTTCCACTAGCCCTCAGGCCTGGGGCTACCTGACACCCCCTAGATACGCTCCTAGGACCGTTAGGACTAAGATGGATTCTAGGCCTATTTGGTGTTAAGCATTGTACCTATTTGGGTCTACCTAGGTGTGGGAGGACACTAAAAAGTCATAGCTCTCTCCTCACCGAGTTTGGGTGAACCTTTGAACGCTACTTGGTATTACTGGATGTACCTAAAGCATTAGTTTCGAGCTTGGCAGTAAATCATCCTCGAGGCCATTCCCAAGCCATTCCCAAGCTGCGCAAGGCATTTGTTAAAGTGAGTGTTACGAGACGTTGGCATGACTAGGTATGTGATGTGACTCTTGCTGGTATTACTGGTATCACTGGTATCACTTTGATTACTGCTAATTACCTATTCATCGTTCATTCATTAGGTAGGTAGGTATATATTATTCATTATTTATCATTAGTTGATCTCCGTGTCCGCAGGAGGATCAGCGAAACGGCGCACAACACATCCGCTCATGTGCAACTAACCACTAACCGCCGACGGCTAACCTAATGAGATCTCAATCGGGGGCTTCCGAGGGCTTGTCAACCGATTTGTCTCAGATCGTCATCGAATAATCCGTAGAATGTCAACGATCAATCGCCTATCTCAATCCTTCGAGGTCAAGGCCGATTATAGCAGTCAGCCTGTTCCTGATCATTCAGCCTTGCCGATGGGTCTTCCCATAAGTCTGCAGCAGTAGTGCAAGACTTAGGTGTCGGAGTCATAAATGGGTAATGGGTAGAAAATGAGGCGAGACGGCAGGTCCCACGATTTTTGTGGTGATTTGTGGGGGATTATCGCAAGCCGTTTCGCATGTCACCCAATCGCCTCTTCTCCGTGTCTTATTTACCAGTCTGCCAATTTAGTAGGTACCTACCTACCTACCCAGCTACCTACTCTGCTTCTATGCGTACATGCTCAGTAGATTATTTACTTTTTTCTTCTTTTTTTTCTTCTCTTCCTTCTTTCGTCTTCCAGGTCTTCTCAGGTTTTCTTACCCCTGTCCATGTTCGCACAGAGAACGCATACGTATGGTACCGTACAATACAATACCTACTTACATATACTAGGTATGTATGTACTAGGGTTAGTATCGCGGTGAGTCTTTCTCCTTCTCTCGTCTCTGCAAGTGTGGCATCGCCTGACTCTAACGTTCGTGGCTGCGCCCCCAGAAGTGGTTGTCTGATAGGCCAAAAACGCCGCCCGATTACAATTAGCGGATCTCTCTCAACTACCTGAGGAATCAAGTGATGAATGGCTAACCGGGATAATTCCCCATTACAACAATATGCTACTTCAGACCAAGATAAACCCAGCAAATCCTCCATCATCGCTCCACCGGTTCGACGGCATCGCCGGCGGAGTCATTAACAAATATCAGATTACCCTATCTATCGACACGGCACGGCATGCTCGGGAGCTTTTCTAACGTTCCAAAGACAACTAAAACCCCCAATATTCAGGCAGCAATAGATGTCAGGTCGGTAATCATCTAACATCTGCATCATACTGCAGGTAACTTACCCTGTCGGGCTACATTACGTACACCTCTTTCAACATTACACGTGTATCGTGTGTATCGTATGTATTATGACGGGAATCTTATATCCCATCTCCGACTGCAAGGGAGTTTTTGACCGGGTTATGATATATCCCGCTCTCATTAGTCATTGCGGTATGAGGTAGGTATCGCGGCCGAGAATGAACAACGGATTCAATCCTTAGATGATGGACTTTTCGCTGCGAGGCTATCAGCGCCATAACTATCTGAGCATGTCTAAGAGTTGATTCAACCAGCTTTAACCGTATCTTCGAGGAATGTTCCTACATCTGGTTAGATTGTCAATTCCTACCGGCTCCATCGCGGGGCTCTGCTTGGCCATTATGGGATTCCAAATCGTGTCAGCCTCAGCGGCTTTAACCCAGTAGCCCAGTTCATCATCACAGCGCAGTTCAATGCAATGCGATGCTATACTAAATCGATCATTTATCCACTGCTCATATCGTCATGTCAGATTATATATGCCAAGGGAGTTATATCGATAATATCATGTTTCGGAAGTTAGCGATGTTGAATATCGAATGTCGAGTGTCGACGTCCGGGGTAGATTCGCCAATGCCACGACTCTTCCATGTTTTTCTCACCGTAATCTTACTTACTTACCTAGTATACCTACCCATACTTACCTAGGCAACGACTGGTCGGCGCTGTCCCGAGATAGATGTTCCATGAGCCTCACCGTTGTTCTTTTTTTCTTCAGGGGTTCATCAGCTGGGCCAGGGCATTGTGATTTACGGACTCCACCGTATCTGATCGAAATTCCTGGGTCTTACATACCAAGGTTTGCAATCGACTGGTCTCGATCATCATAATTTAACCTGCTATATCATGTAGTCCTATTCCTACGGCTATTCAATCATGGGCGGCCTTAGAGATAGTAGCCGCAAAGTGGGATAAATCGATTTTCGGCCAATGTCAGAAGAGTCACCTTTCAACGGGAATGGTCAATGGAGCAATGAAGTCACTAGCGCCATAGATCTTGCTAACGAACAGGTAAGCACTTACAGTCCACTGGCAGTCCACGATGTCATATTAGGTACCAATTGATAATTATTACCTAGACAACGGGACCCGTTAACCGGCCACAAGCAATATCGACCTGATTATTTATTCTAAGTATAGAGACAACCTCACTCACCTACCTAGTACATATCTATTCTCCCTACTAGGTGGGTTAACATGTTATGACTTAACACTAACCCTATATCGAACCATTACACCCTCTACATACTGCTGCCGTGTTACTAACTCAGCTCACCGGACCTCAAATTATCTTTTGCCATTTCCATTATAGGTAGCAGTCCTACACATACATACCTACCTACCTGGTCAACTCACCCAAGGAGGCACAGTTAACCTATTTTATGCGTCCTACAATAGCCCGAAAGTCAAAGGGTAACGAATAGAAAGCACGACGCGTACGCTCATGACACTCATTACCTGGGAAGGTGAAGGTGATCTTGATTTGTTTCACGACACCGAAAGCTAGTTAGGTAACAACAGACCGAGAAGTCAGCCTCGACGGTAACCAGGCGCGGCTCTCGCGTCTATACGCATCGTATGCCATTGGAACCTTTGAGGTTTTGTGCCTCTCGGGCGAGCGCATCCGGCACAGGTCACGGATCTGAACGTCTCGGTGTGCCGCATAGATGCCTACCTCTAAACCTCCACGCTGGTACTTACATAGGTATCTATATTAACCCGTGTTCCCCCATCTCTCAGCCCTAAACCCTGTGACACAAGCCCACTGTCTCTTGCCCGACGTATGCGGCAGATTTGACGTGCTGGTGCAACCTAAATCCCAATCTAAAGTTGCATGCAGTAGGCTTGGTCTGATCGGTATCCATTAGCAGGTAGCATAGCATATGCAATGACCTATGCCGAGGAATCTGCAACAAAAAAAACCAATAAAAAAAAGTGACCAGCCACGCCGAGTGGCGGATTTAACGGCGTAACTAGCAGACAAAGGGGGTATCGGCGGGGATAAAACGACGAAGACCGATTCCGAAAGCGCCTTTCTATGCCCGACCGCGGCAAAGTAGAAGACCACCTCTGCCGAAGTAAAACAAGGACGGCCGAACACTTTTTTTCCTTTGCCTACCTACTTACTTACTGCCCATACCTACATACCTACCTGCATACCTACATGCCTCTCTCTTACACAGCCTGTATCCGTGATGCTTCGCAGATTGCCCCGTAGGAGTCACAGCTCGCGAGCCCGGTACAGCCCACGGTCGCCTATTAAGGACCCGCGGCGCCGTCACGAGCGCCTCTATCACGAAATATAAATTGGGATATGTTGCAGTATATGCCGCTTACACGCGTAACGTAGGTCAAAGCTGCCTAGTCAGTATTAATTTTGACATATACGAACGCATATAGATGGTACTTGAAGCTACTTCATATTCACTAGAACGACATACCGAGAGTTCGCCACTCCGTATAGTACCTCCTTCCGAATAGTACCTATCTATACAATAAGATACATCTGTCTACGTCTTCAGCTTATCTGCCTGTCCATTTATCCGGCTAAGGTGGTCGTGTTCATATAACGAGAGGCAAAATTGGAGATAACTATTAGGAAGACGCCCGCCTCCTTTTTCACCACACTAAAGAACCCGAGCCTCGAATACCGGGCATCCGGGTCTTGGTGTGAGTGGGGGGAGGGACAGCTTGTCAAGTGTACAGTTGTCGATGTTACCTAACTGAGTAAGAATAAGAAAAAAGATGGCGACGGCTTCACAGAGAACCCGGCAAAAAGCCGAGTGCAATGTCACGACGGCAATGTCTACTATGATAGGAGAATATGAACAACTTCGGTAAGATATATAGTCGGGGAGGCAAACTAAACCAGGGTTGATGGATAATTTAAGAACCAGTACTGATGGAGCTGAAAGCGTGAAGCTTCCAGGCGCATCTTTCCGTGGCAATCGAGATTAGATCTGCTTACTCCCAGCAGCGCGGTTCATACATACATACATACATACATACATACCAGCTACCAAGTTGGCTGACAGATCTGTCGGTCATAGCGAGAGCGAACGAGAACACGAGCGCCGAGGTATGTCCACCTAGGTGTATGTATACACGGACGATAATAGACAAAAACCTCTACCGAGCTAGACGTGATATCCGGAGATACCACACACCGTATAGACCAATGGCTATCCATATCCTTTCAGCATAGCCATCGTGTACTTTTTTCGATTTGCCTGTCCGTCTCTGCATATTCCCCCGTTCGGAGTCTGGAATATCGTATTGAGCATGTGAAAAATAGCCTACTTACCTACCTTACCTACCTAGAACCTAGAAATGCGAATGGCTCTCACCAGCTTATCCGGTGTGCGGGCGTAGGGCTTGTGTAACGACGGCAACCGGTTTAACTCGTCAGATTTCCTTTCTGATTATCTACATACGTGTCGTACATGCAAAGTTTTTCTATTATCGTATCTTATGCGGTAAGCTACGAAACGGTAGCCGGCGGCATACGAGAGAGCGAGACTCTAGAGTCGTCGATTTGTGTCGCCGCTACTGCGGACAATTCATACGTTCAACTTGCCTCTCATCTGTTCACTTACCGGTTCGTGTCAGCTGGACTAGATGAAACGTCGCTAGGTAGGATTTTTTTACTGCGATGTGCCTAAGCAGGCAAACAGGCCTCCCGATTCACCGAAGGAAAATCACCAAAATATGGTCCTAGAACTAGGGAAGATGGAGTTTGATATGTTTTGATATTGAGCAAGGTCGATGCCTCTCTACGTCGCATACCTCGCTGTCTACCTCTCTCCCTCCCCCTTTCCGCTCTATCGTGATTTTGCTCTTGCTTGAATTCGCCCCATTCACCAACGATTGCACCTGAGGAGGTGCCTTTGTTCCAACAGCAACAGCTCTTTTTGTTTGTTTCCGAACATCCGCCAGAAAAAGTATCGTCGAGGACTCCTCAAAGCCGAGTTATCTTGGTATTTGCATTTGCGGCTTGAGCCTCCGTCATTATAAAGTAATATAGTACATTCATTCGAAGAAAGAAAAATGTTCATGTCCCCAGCTAAAGGCTCCTCTCGATTCCTTTTAACATAACTGGGATAAGTTTAAGTTTGAAGTAACATGTACGTATGTTTAGCCGATGCATTCGGGATGCTGATACAAGCCTAAAGGCTTGTGTGATGTGTACGGAGAAGCGCCACTAAAAAAGGAGTCAAATAGCAAGTGTAGTGTAGCCATTCGTTCTAATCATGCTTGACACGATCGCTCTTTGGAATTGAACCCCCTGGGGCATCCGCGACACCCCGCCATCGTCCGAAAACGGGTCGATGAGCCCGGGGGAAGGTTTGCTCGCGCCGTGGCATGCTACCGGAAATAAATACCCAAAATCATCTCATAAGGCATGCTAGGATGCTCGATGAAGCTCCCATGTGAAAATTAATCATTTAAGCTCGTCGACTCATAGCAACATTAGCCCCTGCAGAAGCCAAATCCTGTTTACCACTAGCACTTCGGCCGGCCACGCGAGGAAGGTTGCTGCCACCTGTCGTTGTAGATGTCCCTGCGCTAGTTCTCTTCGTACCAGCGGTACTTGCGTGACCCGTAAATGCGGATGTCCGTCTTGCACCTCCTCCTTGTTTTAGGGGACTACCGTTACTCTCCCGGGGACGTATGGATGGGCCGCTCTTACCACCTCCTGGAGGTTCTGGCAGAGGTCGTGGAGTTGAGATAGTGTTGTGGCGTTTGACCGGCGAAGACTCGCGTGTTCTCGGGACGGGAACCGAGGTCTTTTGACCCGTAATGAATTCGTGACGAATGGCCTCCTCGGGCTTAAGACGGCGATCCGGATCCCACCGCAAGCATCGCGCGAGGAAGTCGAGGAATGGCTCGTCATCGCATTTGATGGCTTGCTGAAGTGTCTTTGAAGATGGACGACGCCTTCTACCTTTGGAGGATACAGTCAAGCGCGGCTTGCCCATAGAGTCGAAGAAGAGCTTCTTCCTTGTGCTCTTCTCGATGAGATGTTTCTCAGGAGGACCAAACACTTCCATTATACAAGCTAGCTGTTCCTGCTCATTCTCACCAGGGAAAATAGGGACACCTGTGTATAGTTCGGCCAGGATGCAGCCCAAACTCCACATATCGATTGGCAAGCCGTAAGTCATTCCCAGAATGACCTCGGGTGATCGATAAAACCGGGACTGAATATAAGTGTAAACCTTTTCGTTCTCAAAACAACTTGAACCGAAGTCGATGACTTTGATTTCGGAATGCATCGGATGTCGGACTAAAATATTTTCTGGTTTCAGATCACAATGGATCACCTTGTGCTGTTTAAGTAAATTGAGCGAACTAAGCATCTGCTTAGTGAATCTTCGAATAAGTTTAAGAGAAAATCCGCGGAATGCGTTGGATTTGATAAACTCGTAGAGATTCATATCGAGGAGCTCCGTTGATATGCAAAGATGCCCACGGAAATAGAAACTATGCGTAAAATTGACCATGCTGTGTTTGTTGTGAGGGTCCTACAAACCACCGTTAGCAAAAACCATCCACCAGACAAATAATCACCTATGAATGTACTTACCCATTCGCGAAGCTTTTGTAGAATGTTGACTTCGACAAGAGCTTGCTGGTGGAACCTCTTCTTGTTTCGGATGATCTTCACGGCAACAAGCACACCAGTCTTGTGGTCTATACACCTCACCACTTGTCCAAAACTGCCTTTCCCAAGCACGTCGACGATCTCGTAACGATAAGCGAGGTGATCACCTGTGACAATCGTATAATCGCCGCGCTCATCATCGTAACCGAAGTTTGGTAACTTCGAGTTCAAATCTCCCACAACCTTGCTAGCATGTTGAGTTCCACAGAAATAAACGTCGCTATAGTCGACGATCTCGCCTTTCTCGTAGATGTTCAATATGGCTATTCGGATAGCCTCATGAGGTCCTACACGCTCCTTAGGAGTTGCTCTTCTGCGCAGTGCATCTAACGTTCGAGCTGCCATTTCCGTCTCCTTTCTCCTCAATGCTAATTTCTTCATCTCATCCTCGGCAACGAGATCATCCTTATCTAGATCGGCAGTATAAGGATCGTGGCGTTTAATCGAGGCAGCTGATGGCCTTGGGCGTAGCATCTTCTGCATAGACGAAGTCCGAGGCTGTGTTGAAGTCTCAATCATCGAGTTATTGCCAACATCTTCCTTCGAGCTTGTCCAACTCTCATTACGACCCTTTTGTGTAAACATAGTATTCAGGCTAGATGCAGAGCTCTTTCTACGCCTAGTTTCCAGATACGTTCCTGTGGCAGGCTTCGTGGCATGACTTGGGCTGGAAGACTTCGCCGAGTTAATGTTCATTGACGCCGAGACTGGTATCCGCGGAGGTGGCATGCTCTCCTGCCGGGCCTGCTTCTCGGCGACCTTATCAATAGAGCTGTTCGAAGCGTGATGGCTACTTTTCGAGTTACTTCTTTTCCAAGACAAGCTCAATTTTCTCCTCAAATTGCTCATCGAGGATGGCGTTGGTGGTTCTTCGGGGCTCTGCTCAGCTGGTGGGGTCTTATTGGTTGGCTTGGCTAACTTCGGCGCACGAGGACCAGATGGCTTTTGTGGAGGCCTTGCTTCGGTAGCTGTATCGACTGCGGTTGCGCTAACATCGCTCACGGTTTTAGACTTCGTCAATTGACTACCAAAGGCGTTGTTGCCCTTAGGAACAGATGACGATAGGAAAGGCGAGCCAGAGATTTTGTGAGCTTGTTTCTGAGTTATTACCCGGATGGGCGACTCAGACGAACTTGTCCCAATTTCTCCACTGGGACTTTCTACTCGGCTATGGTGAACGGTGCTACTGCTTCGGAGGACCGTCTTCTCAGGATCCCTATCGCCGCGCCCTCTGAAAAAGAACGTACTCTTCGATGCAGTCATGGGCGTTGTAGGCGTTTTGGCAATGGTCCTTGACAGTGGCGGGCTCAATTTACCACTGTCCTCGCTTTGATCTCGTAGAGCCGCGATTTTTGCCTCTGTGGGCATGCTTAACGGACCAACACTCAACGGCGGAAGTCGTAGCGGCTGTAAATTCTTCTTGGATTGGGATCCGTTGATTTTCTGCTCGATGTCAGAGGTAGGGCCAGCGAAAGTTTTTCGCGGAGCACGCCTTCTTTCGGTGGGTTTCCGCGGTGTCTTCTTCGTAGGCTCCTGAGATGGTGTACCCGAAGGTGTGCCCGTAGAATTACTGTGAATACTACTAGAATCAAACGTGTAATTTGATTTCCGTTTTTCGAGGAAAGAAAGTTCTGCTAGCGAATCTTTGGGTGATTCATAAACCTTGGGAATCGCAGGCACGGGTGGAACATCCTCCTCATCTTCACCAGTGGGAGGGTTGTGAATATTTAAGGCTTTGGGTGCGGGGAGCCTGGATGTTGGACCTCCTTGGGTTAGGGTACGCTGTATTGAACCGGTCGAGGTTCGCTGCGTGTTGAAGCTCGTCGTTGAACCAACCGATAATCCTGAGCTATAGGATTTCCTATTAGTGACTTCCGGGGTTGTTCTTAGTGATGAGGGAGTGGATGTTTTTCGAGGTATCATCGATGGCGAGCGTGATTGGGGGCGAACATCAAGGGGCGGGAGCGGTGCATTTGTTATCTGCGGCATGGCCTGGGTCGGATGTATCGACATACGCTTCATCCGTTGCGCGTCAGTGGGTGAGATGGTCCTAGCACCAAGCCCGGTGGCATGAGAGGTATGAGCACCAGGCATTACGGACATTCTTCTCGCAGAATTAGGCGTAGAGCCTTTACCACCCGCTCTCGGTGACCTTGGGAACGCGGTGGATGTACGGTTTTGATCTGGAGCGAGACTGGTGTTACTACTGTTGAGAGTAGAGAAATTGGCCGATATCCTAGGTGCGGGCTGTATTGAACGAGCCTTCGTAGCTCGCGCGCCTTGAAATGACGGCCTACCATCACCGGGTTGCCCGGTAGAAACATCCATAGAGGCTCGAGCAGACTCAGTGCCGCCCTTGTCAGAAAGGTTTGATATCAGACTTGGCCGTCGCTTCTGGACCCTGGTTCCGAAATCAGCATCGATAAGTCCCGGGCCGACCGATTTCCTTGGAGGTTTTCCAATGTTGGTATTAGAAACCGGGGGGTAATGGCTTTGGCGTCGATTCCTCATCGCAGCAGGCGCTGTCGGCGCATCGATTATACTAGAAGACACAGACACAGTAGATCCGTTGCTAACCTGTCGACTTGACGTGCTGGGTCTTCTCAATATGGAACCCGATCTTGACGGCCTGGTACCTGCGTTAGAAGTGGAATTCGGCTGGGCCCCCGAGCGGGCGGCGCCACTATTGCCAGTACCCGAAGGCTGTCCACCCATCATGTCCAATGGCTTCTCGTCAAGAATGCTCCCCTGGCCAGACGGTGAAGGAAACTGGGTCAGTTTAAATTCGGTAGAGGCTGTTTCGAGGCTGCTTTGAAGATCATCGAAGCTAACAGAGGGTAGGAATTCGAAAGAGGTGGTGGTGTTGTCGTCTATGTCACTCGGGGCCCCATTCCGACCAAAGGAAAACAGCGAATGGTTGTTGGACGATGATGCATGAAGCATTGGCTCGTCGTGGATTCGATTTACCGGGTTGATATTCTCCTTGGACCTGAACCAAGACAAATAGTGTTAGTTATTACGGATCAGGTCAATGATGAGATAAGCAGGTCTTGTATTTTCGGTGATTGAGATGATGCGAAACAATCGGAAAAACGCACGATCGAGTCGGGGACTGCGCGGCTGGTCTCGGGCCAGCAGGAGCCTTATGATCCCTAATCATAAGGAGCTGTCCGGCTAGATTGACGTGATTTGAATTGGCAATGGGTAGGAGAATAAGATCGACGAGCTCGAAAAGGGTTTGCGACAGATGATATCCCAAAGGAACCCCAAATTACGAAGGCGAAAGAGAGCGGAAATCCCCCTAGACCTAGACCTAGGCCTGGCTCTGGACCTAAAGGGCTCGCGATCAATTTCTCAGTCCGGCTAAGGAGCTGAGGGCGTCGATTCTGCTACCGCATTCCGGGACGTAACGAAGAAAAAGCAGACTAAGGAAAATAAGCAACAAAGTCGGCCGTAAGAAGAGGAAGGAAAGACGATGGAGCAAAATGTTATTGTTGACCGACAGTGGCTGCTGTCAAATGGGAGGATCACGAAAAAGGGTTGGTGGATTGTTTTCAATAAGGGAAAGAAAATAAGAGGTCGACTAGGGGCCGATCCACTTCGTTTTCCCGTACCGGTCAAGTGAGTTTACCTAAGGTTAGTAGCTCCAAGTAGTCAAACCTCCCACTATTAGACACGTTTAGGCCACCCGCCGTTCATCAAAGCCTGCCCTGGGTGTCCCTAATAAGGTTGGGCTGTCAGGGACTAGGGGGATTAATTGCTGTTGATTGGTACGTACCTACCTGCCTAAGGGTACTTTATTTATTAGTACTCCGTACATACATGTGCAAAATGAAGGTGCATCTGCGGCGGTCACTTTCAATTCAAATGACAGGCAAGAGCGAGTGACAGTGCCCATCTGCCCATGTGGGATCAATAGGTATCCGATAATGGCGTATCGAGGGATAGCGCCATAACACAACCCCTAAAGTCCTTGTCCTAATTATTATCAATCAAAATTACGACTTCAACACGTATGTCAAACAGCATATTCGTATATGCATCATATACACATACACATACATACCTATATGTACGTTCGTGTCATTTAGACGTTTCTCTACACAAGCGCATCCAACATTGAACTTGGAAGTGTTCTGTACCTTCCTGACGTATGTAGGTTACACAAATGATTAAGTATTTATGTATGTCTAGTGGTCCGTGAGAAATACTAGGTAATTTAATCTCGTCCCAGGGAGTCATCATTTATCTTATTTAAGCATCTATAGAACTTCGAAAGTTTCTTTATATAAATATAATGTATTGAGACATTTAATATTCAATATTCATACGCACGAATCTAAAGATTTGATATTATCGAGCGAAAAAAAAAAAAAAAAAAAAAAAGGCAAAAGCAGGCATTGAGAAGTATATCGAAGATACGTGGGACGTCAAGAGTATTAAGTAGTATCACAAATTCGGAGGTTTTATTTTCTCATTTGATGAGAGATCTGCGGTGGACTCGATAAGCGTTCTGCGTACCATTTTTTCTCTCTTTCTTTCTTTCCCGATATTATTTGATTATCTTGATATGTTACCTGCGGATTGGCTGACATTGGTTCTGACGAGTTTCGTCTAATTCCCCTAGACTGGGTATGTTCCCTGATTCCACGCATATCCTAGAGATGGTACATAACTATGCACTATGCAGTACTAAGGTGTAAGTCATTGAAGTGAGATGGGTGAGATGGTTGCCGGGTGAATCATGATTGATGAAGGGACGTTAATCCTACTTTATTTGTCCCCGTCTAACAGAGTTGGATCCAATTCGGTACCGCTGTCTTGTGTGTGTTTGTCTTCGGTAACTGTGCTCTGTAAACAACCAGGCTGCCAGGGTCACCTCAGTCTATCTTGATCCGCGTATTAATACTACCTTAAGGCAACCTAGTATTTCCACAGAGTAAAAGCGTTGATTACCCTCGATTCTCACCTTGTTTCATTCATACTTCATACCATACATACCTATATAGGTACCTACATACATAGTATGCTGGCGTGTCTCAATACCGAATAGGTCTGGTGTTTGTCAACAAGGACTTGGGTAGGAATTAAGTAAGTCGGTGCCACCGTAGTACAAGACGCATGAGCGATTCGCATCACCAACGCGCACACGGAACGGTATGTAAGATTTAGTACATGCTATGCCATCCGTCGGCCATCTTTCGAATTCGGCTTCGATTTTGGCCGCCTTTTGTTGATGCAGCTAGCCTTTAAGTGGGTGGCCAACAACGGCATGGCCTGCATGAACATGTCCGTGGGGCCGGCCCTATCAGCCTATGAACGTCGTAACTAGCTCCTATGCCCCTTTCTGATTTTGGATCAGGAACAAAAAAAATGGGAGCTGCCGCACACCCGATGGGGAATCGACCTATCAAATTGACTGGTCGAAGAAACATCAAGAAAGGGGTTTGAGCGAGTTGAGCGGTTCCAGAATTGTGACAAAGTGGAACATTACCAACCTGACACATCCAGCCCTAGATATATGATTCCTTTTACACCTTACGAATATTATTTAGGTACTCTATTATGTTTATCCTATATTTTCCTAATATTAATTAGTATATTCCTATTAAACCCCTCGTGCCATCAAGTGTCACGTAAAACAGCCATAGCGCGTGTAAATGTTTTCCATTATATTTGCGCAAGTCAGCGATCCCATGTCCGTTATATATTACCAAATTTGTCATGGCTTGCAAAATTATGGGTTATATTTGTTTCTTTACCCGTGCGTATCAACCCAACAGACATTTGTGGTATTTTAGGTTGGAATACTAGTAGGTGATAATTACGCATTCTTCGAATTTTCGGATCAGGTCCTAATATTATGAACCCCTTTCTGGCTGCAGTAGTCAGTTAAACTCGACCGCTCAATTCGATATAGGTGGCCTAAGCTAGCGCCATCTTTTCGACTATAACACCACGCATTCCGTCAAGACTCTAGGTTCGCCTCGAATGCTATCGGCGAACATTTTCTCTATTAGTAGCCCAGTTTGTTCTTGAAATTATGCTAGGGAAACCCGTCTGATTAAAGGACCCGATGAGGAAGGCACGTTAAGATTGACATTGATGATACCGTAATTGTTTATTTCGAGATGTCCTATCAATTTGTGGAGTTAATACTCTAATACCCCGGGTTAGACGCTCTGGACGCTTTGGTATTATCGGAACTACATTGATTCCTAGTATGCGCGAGGCTAGAATCCTTTGGTTGTAAGGGTTTGCGCCAAACCCCACGAACTACCTTTTTGTAGGAGCGGCTGGAATATCATGTATTTCTAGGCCACGCGCCTGAGGTTATTCTGCCAGAGTGCCTGTTAAGCGATCCGTTATTTCTTCCAGCAACCTCGGTTCCCCCGGGTTTGACCACAGGCATAACGCAGTTGTCTTCGAAACGTGTCTTTCCAAGTAAGACATCGAGCTGTCGCAAACCAGGGCGGTGGGCTCTCGTCGTGATGTCGCATCGTAAAAGAGTGGAGTGGTGTTTATCTCTAGTCCAATACAGCAACCTATTATTATAAAAATAATCTCCAGACGCCTAACCAAGCAAGACCCAAGGACGTGGCTGCGATGCCCATTCTACGACTGCGCATACCGAACATAGACTTGCTCGCCAGTATCCGCTTATGATTCTTCTCGAGTTGCTTTTGGCCAGAAAAATAGCTGTAAGCCGCTAAACCGAGAAACGCACCGCCTCCTATATTCGTTGACGTTTATTTGTTAGTTGTTTTGATTCAGATGTGACCGGTTTTCTGCCTATAGCTGCGCTCGCTGACTAACCTACGATCCTGCATGGGGTACAGTCGTCACGATCCTGTCTAAGGACATCATGTATATTCTCTGGCTTGTCAAGGATGCCGACTGACGGAACGTTATTCTTACTCATGGCGAAAACTGGGGTATAATTGCGAGAAGCCAAGCATATACGAAAATACGAAATCGTTGCAAGGTCTTTGGTCTTTGACTTTCCTCAAAATTTGCTAATGCTGTCGAAGTATTTGGTCCGTGCGTCTACTAGCTATCATACCCACATGTATTTCGTCCGATTTGTACGGTACTACGGCCATCTTCGGGGCCGTAAAACTGGGGTCCTATCGGCTGTTGCTTAACTTTTTTCAATAACGGTAGGATCCGTAGGGGAATAAGCTTAAAATTTTGAAATACTATTCACCCGATATCATTAGGATTTTAGTTGAACTGAGTCATGGCTAAACTTAAGTAAGTCTACAACTACATAGGTATGTATAGGTAATTACCTGGGTACCTCCGCTAGAAGAGATCAAGTTGCGAGTCATGTAATAGTAGATTTCACGATATACCTTATCAACTCTATTCACATGTCAACTAGATCGGGGGTACATTCTCCGATATGATCACTCATTATTTGTATTCCATGCGATGATCCTCAATGTACCTACTTACTACTTTAGTACCTACCTAGTACCTACCTACCTAAGTACGTACACGGAGAATCTTAAACGTGGCGTTCGCTATGATGTAATTACAAGATCGAAGCACACACGTGTAACAGGTGCTAAATATCTACTCAAGATTTCAACTGCAACTAATTTTTATTAGTTTTGTTAGTTATGGTATTATCAAAGCTTGAAACTACTACTCGATGCAGCCTTAGTAGCCTTCGCTTTGTTACCCTCCATATCCACAATCTCTCCCTTCTTATTAATGACCTTGACACCACCCATCTTGAGATCGCCGAGGGTCTGTTTCTGAGCCTGAGCCTTCGCACTCTGAGGCTTCTTGTTTTCTGCCCCACCGGCCTTCCGCAGCCTCTCCTTTTCTCTCCTACGCCGTCTAATCTTGTCCTCTCGGCTCATCTCCTGTTTAGCAACAGGCAGTCCGCTCTTAGCAACCACCTCACCCTTTTCAGCTGTGTCCTTGCTAGCTTTGTAGATTTCTTGAGGTGCTAACGTGTGGTCGCCGCCGTTAACGCCTTGCGCAGTTGTAGGTTGAGCATCTTCCATACTGATCGTCGCCACGTCTGAGACAACTGTAAGCGAGGGTGCGGTAGGCTTTGGTTTGTAGTGCCAGCTAGTGAGGGCGTCGAGGCTTGCGCTAACTTCTTTCCACATCTCCTCGATCTCCTTTTCTTCCTTCTGAAGCTTCTCGTCGGCCTTGCTCACGTAGGAGTCCGGGTTTGCGTTCTTGACATGTTCCTCTTCATAGATCTCCGCAAGTGACTGCTTAGCTTTGCTATCATCGAGATCGACAAGCCCTCGTCTAGTATTGGAAGAGAACTCGGTAGCATCAGGACGTCGTTTGATAACTTCGTCAAACTCTTGCGCTAGGATACGGCGCTTGATCATGTCTTCGATGCTCTCGCTTACTTCGGCGGTGATAACCGGTACAGGTTTGCCCACGTGCTCGAAGTCAAGGTCCTCCTCTAGTAGAGAGTTCATTGGCCGGTCGGCAGCCTGAGCTTCGCCAGATAATACCCATTCTCTTTTAGCTACATTTGCGGCCTCGAGTTTTCTTATCTCTTCCGCCAATTTGACTTGTCGTCTTTCATGTGCAGACTTTCTCGATTTGGGATCACCTGCGGACACATCAGAAAGAGCATCTTCAGAATCTTCTCGCTCTGATTCGTCCTCAAACAGATCTCGTCGAACGTCAGCTATGGCTCGCTCGACATCATTGCTATTTACTTCCGTCGGACGAGGCTCCTTGAATTTTCTGGCCTTGCCGTTTCTGGCGCCCTTTTGTTGCGGTGGCGCGAAGAAATCTTTATAATAGATCTCATTAGCATTGAAATCATCGCCCCCATCCATGTTGTTGATCCCTTCTCCTTCATCCTCGCTGTCTCCCTCCGGGGCATCTAGATCCATATCGCCAAAGGTAGGACCACCTTCCTCATCTTCGTCTTCGCCTTCCACATCAGAAGCCATCTCGCCCTCGGTGCTCTTTATAGGCTTCTTGGCACCCTTCCCATTTATAGGTGGCTTGACGGCAAATGGATCGGTATGCCAATCTAATTCATCATCATCACTTGCGTTGTCGACATCTGGGTCGCCTCGGGCATCCGCATCCTCGAACCGCTGAGTCTGTTTGTTGAAATCATCGATAGAGAAAAACCCGTCGTTGAGACCATTCGGGTCTTCAACTAACTCCTGGGAAGCCTCTTCAGCATCGTCCTCGTCCACATCCTCCCCATCGACATCGTCTTCCTCATCAAAGTCGTCAATATCTTCCTTGGCCCCGTTCATAGATAATTCGGCATCATCTTCAATATCTTCCTCGTCTAAATCTTCGTCATCATTGACATCATGCTCAGCCTCTTCCGAGTCCTCGATCTCCGAGGCTGACTCACCATCGGCAGAGTCAACTTCGGAGATGTCCCCATCCGAATTAGGAGCGTCGGTATGTGCATCTCCATTGATGCCGTTTAGTTGGACCTCGTTCTGGTCTTCTAATTCTTGAAGCACACTCTTTGAATCATGCAATGTACTCGCGATTATTCTTCTAGCCTGCTGCCAAACTTGGCCACTTTCAAACCCATCTATATGAAGTTTCCTAATTTTTAGGATTTCGGCTTTGCCTAGACCGTTCTCGGCTCGTTTTCGTTTTTTACCCTCTTCTCTTAGGCGCTGCTGCTGTTCGTCGCATATTTGCCCAGCATATGCATCTAGCGTCGCCTTGGCAAGTTGAAGCGAGGCATTTGGGATCGAGGGCGTAGGCTGTAGGAAATTGTGTCGGTTGCCGGACTTTATGGCTTCGAAGAGTTCGAGCATCTCTACGGCGCTAGATGGTTTCGAAGGATCGGCAAAGGCAGATAAAAACCCTACTGATGGAGCGTGTGTTAATGTATGAGAGGTTGAGGTCATGGAGGACGTCGTGCTAGCGGGTCCTGCCATTGCTCATTACTCGGTTAGAAGGAAGGAAGGTTTGGTGTTTGGTAGACGAAAATAATTTGAAGATCAATTGTTTGGCTGAATCAAGAAAAATTGACTTTTAGAAAATTTCCCAGGTTCAAGGATGAGCAAGAACCCCACAATATCGAACTTTGAGGCTGCATGGTCTTATCGATAGAGTTTTGAGCAAATGGAATTATTGTAGCCCCATACTTTTTGTCTCTGCCCCTCTGACGGCATCGCATTGATTTTATTACCTTTACCTACTTGTTAGGTAGTACCTCCATAATATTATTAACCCCAATACGCCATATATCGACGATGCTCGTCGTAGCCCGTCCGCCATGAACGGTGTAATAGAGGCGCTGCACATCTACGATGAGCATAGGTCAGCCCTCAAGAGTATATTATTGGATTACTTTCAAGCTAATAATAGTTTTTAGTCGCGCGATCCTCTCTCATACCTACGCCTCTCGTCCACTTTCCGCGAATCATCTTCTACCGCTTTATCTCGAGCACCCAACTCCGAGACCCAACCTGATCTACCTATCAAATACTAATCCACCGACACTTGTGTTTAGCCTTACGCATGCGAATCTACTTTACCTAGCTACCTCTTCCTCCGAAATTGAACCTCTCCTTGTTCTTGAATTTCTCCATCGCATCATCGACGCTCTCGAAGAATTCCTTGGCGCTCCGGTCTTAGCACACAAAATCGAAGCAAACTACGATGTCGTTGCTCAACTTCTTACTGAGATGTGCGACGCCGGCACCATCAGCACTACCGAACCAAATGCCCTGAGAGACGTGGTCGAAGTAGAAGGCCTTTTAGGGAAATTATTAGGTAGCATCAACCTACCTAGCAAATCTCCAAGCCTTCCAAGTACAGCATCCCTCGTAGCTCAGAGTGCGCCGGCGTTACCTTGGAGACGAGCGAACGTACGGCATACGTCGAACGAACTCTATGCCGATGTTGTAGAGACCCTCACAGTTACTCTTGCTCCATCCGGCAGGCCTATTGCAGCGTTTGCGAATGGCACTATCGCGTTTACATCTAAAGTATCCGGCGTACCAGACATACTCTTGAATCTTACGGGGCCATCGGGAAAACACAATCTAAAAAGCGTCATGGAACTTCCAGTATTTCATCCATGCGTACGATTAAACAGATGGAAAGATAACCCCGGAGAACTTAGCTTCATACCTCCTGATGGACGTTTTATTCTTGCGGGCTACGAGGTAGATTTACTACCCTTTACTAATGGGAAGAGTGGGAATTTCAACTCGAATAGCCTACGGCTCCCAGTGAATATAGAGGTCAAGACGGGGTTAGGGTTAACGGGTTCCGAATTCGAGGTGCGGCTCAACATCAACAGGAATTTTGGGCCTTCTAATTCCCTGATGTCTGGGTCTTCCGGTAGGGGAGGAGGCCCAGGCGGAAGAGGCTTCGGTGGGACACATTCTGGCTCAGCCGCCGCACCATTATTGCAAGATCTTATAGTCTCGGTACCGTTGCCTTCCGAGGTTAGAAACCTCCTGGATATTCGGCCAAGCAAAGGAGACGCAAGTTTTAACCCGGGAGACAAGGTATTGGAATGGGTTATACCAACCAAGGAGCTTTCATCCGGGACATCATACTATGGTCTTCGATGCACAGTGCAAGGCCCTTTAGCCGATAACCAAGAGGATGCGGATCCTAATGGGTTTGGCTTCGGTAGGGAATACACCTACGATGAACCGTACCAAAGTAGTACAAACAGCAAAGCCAGAAAGACCGAGGGAAGCTCTGAGGATGAGAAGGATGCGAAGAAAATAGCCCAGAATAAGATTCTGATGCCAAGTTCCGCATCCGTCAGTTTTTCGGTTAAGGGGTGGTTGTCAAGTGGAATTAAGGTTGAGAGCATCCAAATCGACGCAAGGAAAAGTCGTGGCCTCGGTGAGGGAGTAAAGCCGTATAAAGGGGTGAAGTATCTTACTATCAGTAAGGGGGGCGTCGAGATTAGGTGTTAAACGCTGTACGTTTACGTTTTACGCGCAGCAGACGTTACATTTGACGTTGGAGTACCTGTTCAGGTACATGTGTGCATCGCATGATTGGCGTTATAGCACACTTAGCTGGAGCTGCTGGAGCTACAGATACCACCACGCATAGATCAGCAAGGCGAGCGCTAGTAATTGGAAGGTCGTATCACTTCTAAGATGTCGATTTGATCCAATTCAAGTATACCTACTCTGTAGTATACCTAGGTAGTAATTACAAGTAGTGAAGAAATGATCAAGATAAAAAGTTCCATATCCCCACCGAAGTCATTTCTAGCGGTTACGCTCGGATATGTATATGGGTACCTTACGTCCTAGTCCGGGGAAAGTTGTGGGGGAAACATCTGCTGACAAGGGAGAGGGCGGGCCGAGGTAGCTACCCATACCTACCAACAGTCATCGATCGAAGCTTCTACCTTTCACCTTTTTAAAAAAGACCCTTAATCCTTTAATCCGAAATCCTTCTTACATCCGACGTATCTTGTCCTATCTATCCAACATTTCAGTAGAGAACATATTCGATGACTGTGGGAATTGATCACCGTAGCGCAAACGTAGCTTGTCTACACATTCTGCAGCGATGAGCTCTCTCTTTACTCCGATGCGCCGGTCTACCCGCACTGTTTGCGCGGTATGTCGCCAGATTGTTTCTACAGACCTTCAAGCCTCCACATCGCTCCCGATATCTAGAATTGGGCGTCGTAATTATGCTTCGGCGAAGGGGAGAAGGCCGCGGACAGCCATCTTCTTTCCAGGTCAGCGGATTCTGATGGACTACCCCGACACTTGAACTGACTTGTCGTTTGTTTCTACAGGCCAAGGAGTTCAGAAAGTTGGGATGCTTACGCCTTGGCTGGAAGCCTTTCCGCGCACAGCCGCGCGTATCATGGATGAGATTGACAGCTACATGGGATATAAGCTATCTGACATAATACAAGATGGACCAAGTCGAGTGTTAACCGCGACACCTAACGCTCAGCCTGCGATCATGGCGACCTCGATCCTTATCCTTCGCATACTCGAGAGCGAATTCGGGTTCGATGTTTCCAAACGAGTAGACGTATCCCTTGGACATTCGCTAGGTGAGTTCGCAGCTCTAGTGGCAGCCGGAGTGCTAGAGTTCGAGGATGCTTTATATATGGTTAACTTGCGCGCGGAGGCTATGGCGGAAGCCACTCGTCGATCCAAGGAAAAATACGGGGGCGAATATGGAATGGTAGCTATCGTCACCGAATCTGAATACCTGAACTCTCTCATCGAGGCCATAGACGAGTTTGTGGGGTACCGCAGTACAGGTGCAAGGGGTGAAAGCGCCGAGTCGATGAAGCCGATCGATCAAGTGCTCATAGCAAATGTGAACAGCAAGAACCAGATCGTGTTAAGCGGGAGCGTGCACCGAATAAAGGAGCTCGTAGCTCATGTCCGGCAGTTTCTTGGCCACGACCCGAGAGCGGTGCGGTTGAATAGTGACAGCCCATTCCACAGCCCAATCATGAGGCCAGCCGTCAACGTAATGCGGAAACTCGTTTCGGGGAAAAGCAGAGTGAAGGGCCGCGAAAACGAAGATATTATCACCTTCCCGGGCCGACTAGAGTGTATTAGTAATGTGACTGCTCGACCGTTCGGAAGTGCGGCAGAAGTCAAAGAGCTCCTGGCACGACAATGCCTAGAGACGGTCAGGTGGTGGGATAGCATTAAATATCTAGATCAAGAGCAGAAGGTTAGAAGATGGATAGGTATTGGCCCCGGAAAAGTGGGAAGGAATCTGGTAGGCAAGGAAGTTGGTATGCGCGGGACGGACTCGGTTAAAGGCGGCGGCGTTTGGGCCATCACAGATCCAATAGAGATCGAGGACGTTTTGAAAGGGTTAGAGAAAACAGAGTTTCTGCAAGAGGATGAGGAATAACTCCTTCACGATGCTATTCCCGGAAACCTGCTGGTTACACAGACTCAGGGACCGATACAGCGGGTTGCAGAGCCCTTGAGGTTCAATAAACCTTCTGAAGCGTTTGGTATCATATATGTGTACATGGTTCTGGCTTTGGATTTATAGACACGGCGTCTTTTGCGATTTTTTGAATATTGTTCAAATAATAGAAAATAATTAGACATGTATCGAATATTCATCACTAAATCACTTCTTGTTACACCTAGAATCTAGATTTTAAGGCTTAGCTGGACCCCTAATTCACCCGACACCCTGGCGCTGAAGAGTGGGGCTCGATAGCCTGGAACTTGAAGCTTATTAGTATTATCGATAGAGCTTCAACCCTCAACTTTCGCCTCGTCTTTCGATTCGTCACTCAAGCTTCTATTGTCTACCAAGTATTTCCACTAAACTCGCAGGCAAATATCATAAAACTCGCAGCACATGTAACAATGGCAGCCGCAATACCATCCATAGCCTGCCTAGGCGTCATAGGACGAAATGTATGATCTTATCCTTCCTTCCCCTTTTTCCTCCCACCTTTCTGTCCGCAAGCCGCGAGTCGCAGTCTTGGTTTCTCTCTCACTCCCACTCTCATCTCCCAACCAAAATCTTGAACAGAACACCAAGCCCAACTAACGCGTCCCATCAAAAAACAGAACAACCCGCTCCACATAACCATCTTCCCCTCCTACGACTTCGCGACGAACAAACGCGCCCCGCTGCGCACGCCCCTACAATTCTCCCTCCTCCTCAGCAGCACGCTCGACGTCTTCGAGGCCCGCCGCCGCGCCAGCAACTCCGCCTCCTCGCAGCCCGGGGCCGGATCCGCCGCGAGCGCGGCTCCCATCGTGACGGGCGACTTCGGCCTTCTGCACGCCGTCGACGAGCGCCTCGCCGCGTACGGCTTCGAGACGAACACGGGCGTGAAGTTCGTCGCCGTCGTGGATATGCGCGGGCGCTTTGCCGCGAGCTCGGCTGCTGGTTTCGGATCGGGCGCTGGAGGCGGGTCGGGCGGTGATCGCACAATGAGTATGGGTGTCGGCGCGGGTGTGCGAGGAGGTGTTGGGTTACGGGAACAGGAGCTGAGGGTTGTGTTTCGTGCGATGCAGACTGCGTATGTGCGGTTGTTACAGAACCCGTTTTATGACCCCGATGAGCATGCGCCGCTGGTGCCGGCGGGTGGTGGTGGTAGTGGAGGAAAGAGGATCACGAGCCGTAAGTTTGCGGAGGAGATGAGGCGGATTGGAGAAGGCTGGGCGCCTGGGGTCGCGAGCCTGTAGAGAGTGAGCGGGAGGAAATAACATGAAGACTGCGTAGAGGTTCATAGCAGCCTCGGAAGAAGGCAGGCTGATCGGAGAGACTAGAGGGACTTGATTTACTATGCATACGTAGATGGCGTCACGGACTAGCATAGAGCACGGAGTCTAGGTATTTATATCCACGGAAATGTTATGTGTAATTTACATTCGTGCGTTTGTACTTGCGTAGTAGTGTACGTGATCTACTTAGCTACCTTGGTACAGAGCCTTCCATCCTTATCGGCCACTCCTTCAATGGTGATCTTCTTTTGAGGAGGCCTTTCTCAGCTGTTCAATCCGCAGGCGCTGCAAGCCAGCCGGCTCATCGATCTCTACTGACTTTCCCATAAAGCCGTCAGTTCCTCGGAAACTTTCCATTCTTGGCGATGGCTGAGGCTTTGAGGGTGGCGAGCGTTCCCAATGTCGTGCTTCTACTGGAAGTGGTTGCCACCAGTCTCCCGCGCGAGCATGCCATCGAGTGCCGCAGAGCTCCCACAGGCGACTTGTTGCTCGCTTGTACGCAAACCGCTCGTCTTCTCCCGTGAATGCGCTTGTGTCGCTAAAGTCTACTTTGGACTTTTGTTCTACGCCAAAATCAGAGTCCTGGTCCGGGTCATAATCCGTGTTATTCGAGTCCGCATATGAAGAAATGTTAGGTCTGAACGGTGACATCGAATCTTGATAGGCTTCAGCAATGGTCTCGGAGTGTATGGCATCGTCATCAACTATCTCGTCTCCTTGGACACCTGGTTTCGCAGGTAACGGGATGACCTTGGTTTCCGGGAAGAAGAGGTCGTCTGGACCGGCTTCGGCCCGCACGACTAGCTTGCAGCGAGCTTCATAGAGGGCATCCAATAGCGTGATGAGTCTTCTAGCCTCATTCTTTTTGAGGATTGACAGGGTTGGGATGCCATCAATGATGAATGTATGAAATGTTGAGGCCATTGTGATATAATCAGCTGGCCCAAATGAGGATACCAGGTCGGTAAAATCCCACCAGACAGTACCGTCATACTGCTGCTGGATTGTGATAGTTCGGCCATAGACGGTTAATGTAGACGGACCCCAGGGAATACCTTCGCCATTAGGAGGTGATACTAGGCTCTTCAATGTCTTCATCCATCGGTTTTGATCTGCCTCACCCACGATGAAATAATTTCTAGGTGTTGTCATCAAAACATCTGATTCATCAATATCTTGGGCATCTATGTCAAAGTTAGAAGTGCCTCTGACCGTGATGCCCATTAAATCACCAGACGCAGCATCTTCAGCAATAGCTTTGGTGTGCTGGTTTAATGATTCGCCGACTTCGCGACGTCTCCAGTCTTTACCCCCTTCAATATTCCAGAACTCGCATCTAGCCTTCAAAACTTCGAGGAATGACGCGAAGTCGCTGGTAGACCCAAACAGTTCTCCTTTATCCCGTGTTTTTCGGAGTCCTAAGGCTCGACTGAGTAGACCACTAGTCGTAGGTGGGACATAGTCGATGCCAGTGGCCTTTTCCAATTCTTCCGGCATACGATTCGATGAAGCAACTAGAACACCTCCCAATTGGAAGAAAGAGATGAATAGGTTGCTGAGAATTTTGCTTGCTGCCTTGTCAGGGAACTGAAATTCATCAAGAAAGAGAATAGGTGATTTCTCGACCATATCCTTGGCCATCCATAACAATGAATACTCCTGATCATCGCTATCTAGCTGTTGATGTGACTTTCGATAACTCTCTAGTTGGGAGAGCGTGTATAGCATGAAGGTATTAAAATGCCACCTCTTCTTTCGACTTGTGGGCAATCCCTCGGCTAGGAGATCGACAAGCATCGACTTGCCGGTACCTACCTCTCCAGACAGGAAGAGACCTCGAGGGGAATTGATTTGGATTGCTTCTTCATGGCTTGTTAGGCTCTTAATCAAGGCTAGTGTGTCTTTTCGTTCGTTGCGCCCAGAAAACCGAGCGAAGAGAGGATTGCGCCAGATTGGATGACTCGCAACTGCGAGAGTGCGTGATTCATCTTCATCCCTCTTGGTGCGGTCTAAGGCATCAGTAATCGCCTTCAGTCTTGTACGATACTCAGACGAAGGTGAATAGTCTTTAAGCCGGTGATAGACTTTCCGGAGGTGAATTGCTAACCTATGCTGAGCAGCATCAGGCGAGCAGGTTCCGGTTGCAAGTAATGATTGATACTTCACCAGAGGATCAGTGATCGTGACCGAGCTCATCCCACGTCTCATTTTAGACCTTTCCTTAATAATTGGCCCTCCGAGCTGTGCGTACGATATAAGGACTTATGTGTGTGAATGTTCATAAGGCAGTTTGACCGGATTACCTAGCCGATAGATGATGAGATAGAAGAACTTGCAAAAGAATTGCAACCCTTAGATTTCTAGCAGAGTGCAAGATCGCCACGAAGTAGGTCGCGGCACAGCGTATTAGAATCGATGATATTTGGTGCGTATTTATAGGGAGACATTTCAATATAGTTAGTTGTCGAAGATAGTCTCCTAAGTAGGGAAAATGATGAGTGTAAAAAGGAATAGAAATCTGATGTAGATAGTAAATATACAACAAAGATTCAGCTAAAACAAAATATACATAACCAAAAATAAAATACTGGAAAGCGAAAATAGGGAACCGGAAAGCGAAAGACAAGACGTCGACACGTTATTCACAATCTGAAAATAGTAAATCGGAAAATAGGTTAGACATTGAAGTCATCGTCGAGTCGAGGCTCAAGGTGTGTAAGAGGCAGAGAGGTTGCCCCAGGTTTGTTAGCTTAAGTTGATTGGATGCAGATGAGCCAACGCACGGGGCAGGTGACAAGCTGCAAAGCACTTGACCCGTTTCTGCCCGTTTTGTCCGTCCACAAGCGGCAAGCACACATCGCAGATCCCACGCGGAAGGGTCCTGTTGTTTCTAAAACGGTATAGTCTCAGCCGCGCTTGCGACGAACCTTAATTTTCCATACAGTACCTACTAGCTACATGGTACTATAGGTACCTATCACAGTAAATTTTTAGGTGTCTTCCTTCCAAATACAGGCGCCCTTGGTGACCCTTGTAAACAATTCCCCGGTCCTGACTACGTAGCTCCAGTGGAAGTTCCAAGGTTTTAACCCAATTCCAATGGGAAACTAGGGCCTTATTGTGTCTGTTGCTGTGTTATTTTTTTTTCTCTTCCTTTCTTTAACAGGTACCCAGTCAAGGTCAACAAGACCCAATCAATTACAGCCAAACATTGACGGCCTCGTCATTCTTTCGCGAGCGAATACCTTCACCATTCAATCCTTCATTTTCTTCACCTTGTCACCATCTTACACCTTCTTCTATTTACCATTTTATCCACGTCAACATCCATCAATTTTTAAATCTCCTCACGATGAGCAGATATTTTCCGTATCAATCGACACATCGATAATAACGATTTCGCATTTCCTTCAAAAGAAAAGAAAACCCCGATTGCATCATTGATTCGATCGTGTACTCCTAAAAACTCTTACCGCATCTCCTCCCATCATGTTTTCGGCTTCGCTCAGGGACGGCGTCGAAAACGCATCTCACGCCCCAACGATTACTCGTGGCAGACGACGTCAACGTCCCTTAAGCTCGGAAAACTCACCGCAGCAACCAAAAGCGAAGCGACAGAGAGTACCATTGAATGAACAGACCTTCGTAAACCCGACTACTCCCCCGGAGACATACGAAGTCAAGTCTACAAGATCTTCCCTAGTCGAGCTGAAGCAAGACGGAATTGAGGAATCACCTGCATCTAAGCATGAGCTTAGTTTTCGATCTAAGAAAGCTCGACCTAGCGAACGGTTTACCAAAGGGGATGGTAGTACACTTCTGGTAAGTGTCCCTGTGCTCTTGGATATGATTTTTTTTTTATTTTTTTTAGTATGTCGAGTCTCGAAAATGCTAACGCGGGTTGTTTATTGTAGTCGACAAATATCGCGTTCGATGTCAGAAAACTTCCAGCCCTTCCTGACCGATTAAAGCTAGATGCTACTAGTACGTTGCCGTTTTATTGTTTACCGTTAGTATATATCTTCCCTATCACTAACATTCGCCTAAATCTACAGGTCTTCAGCATGGCTCGGCCGATAGTTCCACGGGCTATGCGTTAAGCCTCTCTCACACGCATGCCATCGTATGGCCTTACGCGACACCGACCCAGTCTCCCGAATCTTTCACTTTTACGTTACCGTATCCCTCGAAACACTCCACCGACCCCTTACCCCAGGGCGCGCTAGTTCCTCCATCCGCTTCCTCTTCTGAACCAGGTCTGGTGGTTGTTATGCCTACTAGTGGCAAGGTTACCTATTGGGAATCGATATCGAGCGCGACAACTTTAGACTTCATGCAGCAACAGCGAAATGGTATCGAAGGATCTATTCAGGGCATGTTCTCCGGAGAAGCAGTCATTCAGATAACTCATGCTGAATCTGCGGCCGGCTTCATTCTGGCCTTTAGCAGTGGGCGCATGGCTTACTTGAGTGTGCGGGATACTCATGGCCGCCCGAAAGTCTCTACACTGTTCTTGCGCACAAATCTTGGTCCATCTAGCAGCGGATTCTTTGGCAGTATTCGGCATGCGCTTTCACATTCCGCTCTCCAAGGTGATATCGCTGCTGTGCACTCGGAACGATCTTCTAAACAGGGCGAATGTACTGTCGTTGCTGCTACATCAAAGGGTCGGCTTCATTCGTGGAGAGTCCATCGTGGTGGCCACCATGACCTCCTAGCCGAGGTCGATGCTCGCAGTACCATCCTCGAAGCCGTTCAGCGAGTAGACAGAATAAATGCTAGGCTCCCCGCCGAGTCGCTGAGGATACTTGATTTCTGTTTCGTACCTCGAGGCCTAGATCGAAGGTACAGCGATATGAACCAGCTCTTTGAATCCCCCGAGTCCGAAGACCAGCAACATATTCTGCTTCTCGTGTCTTTATCCAGCAAGCAATCATGGCGCTATACGCTTCTTGAAGTTGTGTTATCCACCGGCCTTTCTTCAGAGAACCCGATCAACGTTGGCATGGTTAGACCCTTATCCGCCTATTCCACTCCCCCAGACGCACATGCTCTTGCGAAACCCCGACTCTATCTTCCGCGACCGAACCTCATTGCTTTCCTCGTATTCGACCATGCGGCCGTCGTAGCTTCGATCGCCGTACCTCCCTTCTCACCTGAATCCCAGATCCTCGAAGACAACCATCTTCTACCTGCGTCTTTCGAGGATGTTGTCGACTTACGTACCGACCCTACACTTGAGATTGTCGGCTCTGGAATCGAAGAACCTAGGTCTCATGGCTTCGGGGCTGGCGATGGAAGAACGCCCCGCATTAAGCCTAAGAATCCAGCTGCTGTACTGATGGTCCGAGGTGCAGGTACTCTGCGTATTGCTTTGACAGATGTGGAACGATTCGCGAGCGATAAGCCCCCGGAGGTCACAGCTAAGACGAAGCTCGAGCAAGCGGTGTTCTTTGGAGTGAAGGAGGATAATCCCCTCGTGTTTGATGTACAACACGGCCTTCGCTTTACGGATGCAGAATATGGCGCCGCCGCTCTAGAGTTGAGCCAGGAAATCCTCACTTCCGCTGGCAAGCATTTTTCGTCTTTGGCCGCACGGGTCGATACCAATATTAAAGAACGCGTGCAGTACCTAGAGAAGATTATGTCACAAATAGCGAGCCTGCGAGTTAACCTCGATCGTGTTACGAAATGGCAACTTCTCTGGAATGCCGAGAAGCTACACGTTGCTAATGTCCTTTGGCATAAGCACGAAGACTTCACACACCTCCGACCAACGTCCTCTAAGAAAAGTATCGTAGCCGAGATTGTTGAGTATATCCGATCCGAAGAGAAATCGGAACCGAATATTGCGAAAGGCGAAGTCGATGAATTACGCCACTGGTTCATTCGTGACGTCGACCGCATGGAAATATTCATCGCCTGGGCTTACGAAGTTATAAAACACAACTCCAAGGCAAATCTGGACCAAGCATCTCTAACATGCCTAATATATGAGGCAGCTGAGATTTATAATAGCGCAATCCGAGATGCCTTCACCTTCCGCGTAAAGAACCTTGAGCTTTACGGTCTGGCTAGTGAAAAGCTCGAGCACGGCATTCTCGCCAACAACTACAATGGACTGCCAACCCCTTGGACATGCCATCCCTTCATCGCCAACAATGTGAAGCGGCAGGTAGAGCTCTCTACTGAGTGGGTTAAACAACATTGGACATCAGAGTCCGATGGTGAAATCGCATTAATCCAAAGAACTCGTGAGCTTCTGCCACAAATGACTGAAATATACCTTACCGTCGTTCAAGAACTATCCCGATCATATCTTTCCAGCGACGACCCCAAGAAAGCCGTCGATGGCCAGAAATATGAGGCTATCTATGAGCAAGATCGTCACGACAAGATTGTTCTCCTCGCTCAGACAGAGAACTGGGAAGCCGGAATCAGGATTGCCGAGAGCCATGAGTCTCTCCCCGCCCTTTCAGAGATTTTAACTCGAGAAATTGACGGGTTACGTCATCAGCTTGAGACCGGCCTTTCTCCAGAACGAGTTGAGAAGATAGAGTCGAAGATGACCGCGAAAGAGGAACAGGTTCGAGAGTACTTCAGGACTTACGGTAAAGAGTTCGCCTTTCCCTTTTACGAGTATCTTTTCACTACTTATGGGGTAGACGCTCTTCTCGAATATGATGGAGATAAGAAGTTCAAGACGATGTATCTACGGACGAAGCCAGAATTGGCCAAAGTCTCTTGGATCAACGATATTATCGGTGAAGAGGACATTGACCATGCTGCTGACACCCTTCTCGATCTCGGCCTAGCACGTGAGCAGCAAGTCTGGAACAAAAAGATTGAATTAAGTCTTGGTAAGCTAGCTAGAATGGCCGAATCATCCCGTCCTTCTAGCAAAGCATCTATGAGTATCCAAGAAGCCAGCGTTAGCGGCACTACTGAGGATGCACGAGTAGACGCCATTGACAAGGAACTCACAATTATTGGTGTCCAAGACGACCTTTACAATACCCAAATTCGTCCGGTATTCAGCGTGGCGCTCGAAGGAGAGGAGTTGAGCTTGGTTCAGGAGACATTCGCGCTCAAGATACCTAAGAAGTATAAGATCTTGTCGCAGATCTTTGACGATGCTCTACGACGACTCCTAGATCACGAGGCTCTAGACCCACTCACGCTTATTGACCTCCTCACTCTGATTACTCTATCCCCAGAAACAAGGGAGCATATGCCTGATCAGTTCTTCCAAGCTATCCTCGTGGCGCACAATGGCCTAAACGGCGCAGATCGCGTACAAGCTGAGCGGCTCATATGGCGACGATGTTTCCTAAGAGAAGACTGGATGCAACTTAACAACACAACCCTCAAGAACGACAATGATATCGTGGAGGTCCTCGGTCAGACAGACCTTTTCCAATTCTACTGCACGCTCTATGCGAATCGTAAGTGAAGATAGCCACCATACTTAATCAAGAAACCATCCTAACGAGATACAGAACAAAACGGCATCGACAAGAGTAATTATCGACGATTATCGCCAGCTGAGGTTGCCGGGGTATATACGGAAACCCTCGACCGAAGATTCGAGAAAATGGAGAAGAGTTACCGAGAAAAGGTACTTGAAGTGATGAGATGGGAAGATTCAACCCTCCTCAAGCACGTTGAGAAGCATCGGTTGGAGCAATGGGCGAAGGAAACGCGGAAGTATGCTGAGGAGGCTGTCAACCAGCAGTATGACGAGTCTACGGCAGCCGGAGCGGCACTCAACTCGCCCAGGCTGGGGACGGCGAAGAAACAAAGCAAGGAGTTTGAGGGTACGAATGGACAAAATGGTACACATTGAATACATGGCATCAAAATTTAGGGTCCTCTCAAGGACATAATGCACCGGAGGAGCAATGGAGTTGTGAGGTTCATTTCTTGTACGATACTGCATTTGCTTGCCTGCGTTATATAATCGCCGTAAGGCAATGGGTCAAAGGAAAAGTTGGTGTGAATAGGAGGGATCTCTGCGGAGCAACTCCCGGCGTAGAGACCAGAACAGAATACGATACCTAGGCTTTTCCACGGGGCGGAGGCAAGATTGATTTGCTACTTCTCAAGACTACGATTTTATTATGTAACCTTTACTTGGCTGTGTTACCTTATTTATTGTGATGACCTTGGAACGATGCGATATCTGACACGTGGCTCAGTGGCGTCTGATACACAGGTACACTGTAATTTCCGCGAGCTCTCTATATTTCAGGCGACTCTACAGTGATCAACGAATTCGAGTACGACAAGGACAAGTGTTCCGGTGTGTTTTAATATTGCATTTATTGTATTAATCTGTTTCACAGACTTATTTACTTATACTATAACCTGAGTCTCAGTAACATATTGACCCAACCCAGAATATCTCCAACGGGTAAAATACACGTTCCCGCCTTCTGGACATTCCACACCACTGCCGGCTCCGTTACAAGTCGCGTAAGCCCCTACCAGACTCCCGACGAAAGAGCCGCCACCACCACTTACGAGCCCCGCGGACGCCGTGCCGACGTGTATGCGAGAGTCTGGGTCGCCGGCCGTGCTGGCCGATAGATCATAATGTGTTGCATTCGCCGTCTCAATGTATAACCTTATAGGCCCGTCGAGCCAGTCCTCGGGCACTGCGACTATGTTAGGCGTGGGAATGGTGCCGGTTCCTTCAGCGCGGAAGCGGAACGAGAGTTGCGGCTTTGGTTGAGCCCCTTCTCGCCCTGAGTATGAAGATAGACTTGTGGTTTTTGTGAGCAGCACGATGCCTAGATCGATGTGGTTGACTTGTGTGAGGAAGACGGTGATGCCCGCTTCTTGGCCGACTTGTTGTGGGGTGAAGGATACGTCGACGGTGAAGGCAAAGAGAGTGTCTGTCTGTCGCCGGCCTATGAAGGATAGGCCCTGCTGTCCGCTAAGCTCGGGGGTGGCTGTGGAGAGGGGCGTGCCCGTGAGGTTGTTCCGGCTCGGTATGACTTGAAGACCTTTGGATGTCACCGAGAAGGCGCCCGGACGGGGCACACGCCAGTGCACTAAATTGCGTGGGATAGGGGTGTCTTCGCCGAAGTCATACGAATCGGGGTACGAGTTAAACGGACCGTCTCCGGGGACGTCACGGTTGGGAGGGGGAAGTGCCCAGCCGCTCATGTTGCCGCGGACGGGCTGAAGGATGGGCCATAAACCTGAGTCCCATGTCACGGGGAAGAGAACGGCCTCGCGACCCATCGGGTAGATTGAAAATTCGGGACCGGAGCGAGTTGCTAGACACATTCCCCACCAATTACCTTGGGCATCTTGGAATAAGTCGCCGTGACCAACGGTCTGGAAGTACTCGTCTGTATTGCGGTTCGTTAAAATGGGGTTATTCTCGTATGGCTCGTACGGGCCGTCAAGCCGCCGAGACCGAGCAATGGTGATAGAGTGGTTGGTCTCAGTGCCGCCTTCGGCAATCATCAGGTAGTACCAATCGTCCTTTTTATATAGGTGAGGGCCCTCTGGCCAGACGCCTCCTGTCCCATTCCAGAGACTAACAGGTGGTTGACTAAGCTCACCGGTTTCCAGGTCGAGCTGTTGGAGGATGATACCCTGGGTAGCCACGTAGAGCTTTCCGTCGTCCCAGAACAGGTCCGGATCGATCTTATCTGGGTGGAATATTACCGGATCACTCCACGCCTTATCACTGAAAGGATTTGTCGTCCTGAACACAACCCCTATATTTCCCTCAGGCATGCCGAGGTACTCGCAGATAACGTAGAACTCTCCATCGTGATGGCGCAGCGTTGGTGCGTACATGCCTTGCTGCTGGCCCGTCGTATTCCAGCTGACTCCCGGCAGCTGGCTCTCGCGATTCCAGACATGACTAACCAACTTCCAGTCTATCAAGTCTTTAGATGCGTAGATTGGGAGCCCCGGGAAGGATATGAAAGTCGATGTCGCGCAGAAGAAGGTCCCATCTACGTGCGTGCATGACGGATCAGAGTGCCAGCCTGGTAACACCGGGTTGAAGTAGGTGGAATTGCCAGTACCTGACGTTACCGCCGTAGACGAAACTATAGATGCCATGAACGCCAGTTGGGCATTCACTAGTAAGGGGAACTTCATCGTCTATCGCGGGCTATTCCCCTGACTCAAACGAGATGTGGCTCGGCCGGCTCGCCACTCATGTAACCGGGGCACACACGGTATCCATTATATTTATATTTCAAGGTGTATCCAACTTCAACATTGGTCGGTGATGGTGACACCGAAAAGATCTAGGATTCTCCATCAAATTGTGGAGGTTGCTTCATTTAGCCTAATATTGACCTGGGGTAAGTTGGGGGGTATACCATATTGGAATCCTTTCTTCTTTTGTTCCCTAACCTAGTACCACGGACGTGAGACTCTGATCAGGAAACACGTATGTTTACCTAATGATGTTCTCATAATTAAAATGAGGACTAACTTGCCGTTTCTATAACTAAATAACGAAGAGTATCGAAGAGCATCCAGAATTTGATGCACAATCCAACGACATGATGATAGGGAAACGATTGTTGAATATAGTATATAGTCGTTAGCCACCTACCTATTTAATAAGATAAGGATTAAAATATATCAATATTGGGATATCACTAAACGCTTCCGTTTTCGACATCGTCTTTCCTAAGGACTTGAACCCTCCCAGTTCTCTTGCGTCTTGCGACAACCATTATTGGGCCGTTCTTCAACATCTCTTCCACGATAGTATCATCTTGCAACCTGGGGCTGACTTGCAAAACATCAACCGTTCTCTCTGAAACAAGTTGGGATATTGTATGCCAAAAATGACGATGCCTCGAGAATCTGGTTCGTAATATAAAAACAAACGTGATGGCGACAATGCTTATGGTGTTGGCACACACGACACCCGTGACTATGGCCAGTCCCATCTACCGGGCAGGCACAGCTGCGGAAACGGTCTGAGCTATGCTCACATTCGTAGGTATGTCTAGCGTGGGTAGGTTGGCGTAATGCATCGACATAGCCATAACTGTGAAGGCCGCCTGTATATCCATTATTCCGTATTACTGGAGATACTATTGAATGGGGTGTGATTTGACTATCGCGACTATTGCTGAAAAAGTAAAATTCTCGGTGTCGATCACGTTCAATATATCTGGAAAGCAATTGTATGTCCCTAGCCGACCAGGGATACCAGATGTAGGCATAGTACAGTTAAATTGAGTGAGTAAACATTTTCCATTGGCGCAGAGAGACAGCATATCAAGACCAGAGTCGTTAAACGTAGCTTCATATGAGATATTTCCAGCCATTGTGAGAACAAATGACAACGGTTTTGAGCCCGGGTCGATCGTTTGAAAATCACCGTCCAGAACAGGTGCTACACACGCTACTCTGGAATTAAATGTATAAGCATTGCCGCTGCAGCGGTGAAGTTTAGTTCTATTATCGTGCGCTAAGGGTAGAAATATCCTCTTAACGTTGCCGGTGTCGGTAAAGCCACCAGTCGTCGATCGTACATTGGTTCCCAAAGGAATTTCACCAAAAGCAAAGTAATCAGTCGACTTCAGGTGACACTGGGGCTTGGAAGGCGTACCTTGCCGTATTCCGTCGGATATTGACAGGTTCAGTTGTGTTTGGTTTGGCAGTCTGGGTAGCCTGTTATTGAGGTACCTAACGTCTAAGTCCGTGATGAGTATTGTTGATGCGAACTGCGTCGCTATGGTCCCGATTAGAAGAACTGGCATTAACAGAGGCTGCAAAGTAAGGAACTTGCGGATCGACGATCTGAATATTAGATAGACTAATCGCCACGACCCATCGTTGGCTCCTCTCATTGTCGAGAATTCAGCCACTTGCGAAAGAGGCACGCCGTTCGTTTCCAAAACGGTTCCCGCCGCATATATCAAGGCCTGAGCACTAGTGCACACCTGAATGACCAGAGAGGCTAACGTGACAGCCTCACTTGCCCATTTTCGTAACACAACAGAACGCCATGACGGGGAAGCATTTTCACCACTGCCGGGACCTTGTCCACCCCACAAGATGGCGAGAAGCCAGAGCATAAGGAAATGGATGTCTTTCCCCGTATACCAAATTGGACCACCTTGATCAAGGTAGCAATGCGAACGATACTCGTGGAAATGGACCACTATCTCATCATTGGTGTGATGCGAGCGGCTGCTTGTACTTTCATACCTAGGTCTAGGTATGTGTGTGTTCCTCGCGGCTGTTGATACCGTGGTATACCTTTTAGCCTCTCCAGCCCTATTAGGTCGAGGTAATGGTAATGGAGCCGTCCATGTTACAAAGGCCATGTTTAGGTCTTGTCTTAAAATTTCACCATTCTTAGAAAAAAAATATTAGATGCTATGGAGGTACTAATACACTTCAAATGTTTATTGAAAAATTAAAAAGCTTTCTTTTTTTTAGATTACTTTACCATGGTATCATAATGGACGCAATAGAAAGCACGATCGGTGTCTTTTCACGCCAATCATAGGTACTCTAATAAGTGGATTGTTACCGGTGTATGCTAGCAAAGTTTAACCAGGGAAGGTTACAGTACTCAGTCGCCAGCATATTAGGAGTATTACATAGTGCCTATTCTATTTTTAAAATTAGAAGCGGAATGCAAAATGGCCTTCGCCCATATGGCATTTATCACTAGATATCTAGAAAAAAAGGATATATTTAGGGAATTAAAGCTTAAAATGAGTTACTGATACCGGTTCCATAGACATTCACCCGTATCCCCGTAATTATTAGGTAGTACGGTTGCTTTTGTATTTGGATCCGATGAGGTACGGCTGCCCTGTGACCACCGTACCTATACAAATATACCCATAGAGATGACGTCATCTGTTTGCCAATATTATCCCTCCTCGCATAAAAATATCAATTGTGCTGCACGTGAAACCTTGATTGAGGCTCACAAAGACCCTCTCTAACATCCATGGATGTTGCACAAAGGAAAAATGTTTGCGTTCAACTCATCGCCATTTCTTTCTTTTCCTATCCAAGCCACCAGGTGTATATTGGTAAATTCGTTTTGTAATAGTAAATACTGCAGGCTCCTAGTATCAGCGCAAAGCGAACTCATTACCCAATACTAATTGGTCTAAGATAGTGCCCGCATGTCAGTAACCTATGACAGAACACCGTCGACGGGACTCCGCAGCACAACTGTCTACGACAGCTTATGGCCAGTCTTCATCATCTCTTAGCAGAATGAATTGACAAATCGGGAGTCTTAACCCACGTTATCATCAGCCTTCCTCCGCGTCAGACCCGCTGTCCATGCCAACTACGCATTCTTATTCGGTTCGCCTGATGAATCCAAATAGGTACAGATGAACGTCCGTATCACTGGCATCTGCACATCACCGCCGCGGGGTCGTAAACCATCATATTCGTCTTCTGTAGCATTTTATAGGTACAGTCCTCTAATATAGCCCTCCGGCTTCAACATGTAAGTGAGACGTGGTACCAATCTCAGAGTCTACTACTAGGTACCTACATGAGCATGTTGGACAAGCAATACCAAGTATCAATATGATATACCACTTCAGCAGAAGTATGTTCATCGATTTTGGTTGAAGCTTATCTCCATACCTAAGTAGCTACATATCCAAGTGGAGCCTTTGATACATATTGTAGATCAAGATATGTAAGGTAGAGGAGTCCTGACTCCGTTTTCATCTTGGTTCTCCTACAACTTTTACATGCGAGGCGATCTCATCTACAGCCATACAATATTTAGAATTCTGGCCTATCAGTTTCAAAATGTCGGATTTATCGTCCACGACGTCGACTATGGATACTCCTCCAAGCCCACCCGATGAATCGACGACGCTTCTTCCGAAGACGCCATCAGATGGGGAACAGTATCAATCCCCGCAATATCGGCAATGGTTATTAGAAATTTGGCTCTTGACGAAGGCTTCGATTCCAGTGATACTGGCATATACACTCCAGAACAGTCTCCAGACCATCTCTGTCCTAATCGTCGGTCGTCTCTCTCCTGAAGCTTTGGCCACAGCAGCTTTCTGTTATAGTGAGTACAACATAAGAGCCATCTTATAATGGTTATATACCGAGCCCGGAACCAAAAGATTTCTCATTTCGCTGTATGGGCGAGCGTCGACGATATATATTTCGCCATCTTAAATTACCCTCGAGGCTAAAGGGGAGCGACTGCTAACGGGAGATACTCGTATAGTGTTTGCGATGGCTACAGGCTGGTTGATTGCTATGGGAGGCACAACTGCGCTAGATACCCTCGCCTCAACAAGCTTCACCGGTTCGCAAGACAAACATGATCTCGGGATTCTTTTACAGCGAGGGATCGTGGTGTTAACACTATTTTACGCCGTGGTAGCCGTAATATGGGGGTTTTCCGAGCCCCTTTTCCGGGCGTTGGGACAAGAAGAGTTTATTTGCAAAGAAGGCAGCAAGTTTCTTCGCATTTTGATCCCGGGCGGACTGGGATATGTGTGGTTTGAGTCTATGAAGAAGTATTTGCAAGCACAAGAAATCTACCGACCTGGAACATACGTCCTCCTGATTACCTCGCCACTCAATGCTCTTCTCAACTACCTCTTCATTTATAAGTTTGAATTGGGCCTCTACGGCGCTCCTTTCGCGACGGGCATTTCGTATTGGATTTCCTTCCTTCTTCTTGTCGCATATGCAACTTTTATACGTGGACACGAATGCTGGGGTGGTCTTGCTCCTCGACGTGCTATCTCTAACCTATGGCCATTTGCACGCCTTGCGGTCCTCGGAGTTGTTCACGTAGGAACCGAATGGTGGGCGTTTGAGATCGTCGCCCTGGCTGCTGGTAGATTAGGCACTATCACTCTCGCGGCGCAGTCCGTCATCATGACGGCTGACCAGGTCATCAATACAATTCCCTTCGGCCTGGGTGTCGCCGCCTCGGCCCGCATTGGAAATCTTCTTGGGGCTCAGAAACCTCGCGAGGCAGCGCGTGCCGCTCACTGCGCCGCCATCTTATCGATGATTCTCGGAACTGTTATCCTGACTATCTTGATGAGCACCAAAGACGTATTCGGTAGAATCTTTAACGACGATGACCGCGTCGTCCAACTTGTATCGGAAGTCATGCCGTACGTCGCGCTGTTCCAGATCGCTGACGGACTGAACGGGAGTTGTGGTGGCGTATTGAGAGGGATGGGACGACAATGGGTTGGTGCTCTTGTTAATCTGATTAGTTACTACGGCGGAGCACTTCCGGCGGGTATATACCTAGCCTTTAATGGATGGGGTTTGCAGGGACTGTGGATTGGACAGTGTGTTGCTTTATACCTAGTGGGGATTTTAGAATGGGTGATAGTTGGGCTGAGCAAATGGGACATAGAGGTTCGCAGGGCGCTAGATAGACTTGATGAGGGCGACATAGCGGACAACAATGCCCATGGGATAGAAGAGATTGATGTTCACGCTGAGGTATGAGCCGAACTATGAAAGGGATAAAAGCTAAGTTCCCGGTATCGACCCAAACAACATCTAATCCAGACCCAATTGAAGCCAGTCCTTTGAAATAGGCCTTCGACGTACTAGTGCTTAATCTTTGTCTGTGCAATTATTGAAGAATGCCGAATGTTAGAATTACTTTCAAGCTCTACTGCCTTTTCATCGTCCACACCTACACAATAAGGGGTCAACGGTGAACTCTTAACTTGAAAAGTTTATACTATCAAAACCCTAGTTGATAGTTAAATTAATTAACTAAAACTCGACTAATCCAGACACAAATGCTCGTTTACCAAGCGTAATCCATACAATAATTCCTTATACACTCATCGATGATTCCGTATCCCTAGCCTAATGAACAAAGTCGCCTCGCCGACCACGTTGATGATTCTCCAATACCTATAGGGGAAATGAATTCGGGGCTCGCGCGGGACACGTATTATCGAAATATACGCCAACCCATCTTTCGCTTTTACACTTAAGCGTGTTCACCCTCGTGATCATGCATCGATAATTAGTCCATCCAGCCCCTTGTCTTTCTATTTCTCTTTCATGAGGTCGTAGCCCCCACACTCGTGCGCCGTACCGAGTCATAGCGGTCGTCATTCTGATCAGCAGCCTACACGCCTATCTGGGACATGTTAGGCCCGCGAACGGAACCGCCGGAGCGCCGGAACTCATTTAGCACGAAGAATAGGCTCGCAGCGAATGAGGCGAAGAGGAACCAGAGGAATACGGTACTGGCCTGGATCTCGCGGCAGCGCTTCTCGTCGTTATTGGAGCCGAAGGCAATGTAGTCACTGGGCTTATTCGTCTATGAAAGAGGTCACTGTATTAGAAGGGGAGTCGCTTCTTGCTAATTAGATGATAAGGAGCTAGGAAGGATGACCTACAAGATGAGAGCAGTTTACGGCTTGTAGCTTAGCGGAAAGGACGACAGCGGCGATGAAGGTAAACAAGGTGGCGGCGCTGTCGAGACCGAGCGCGGCAACAGGGATGGAGATGGTGGGGACGAAGTGCGAGGTTAGGCCGTAGAGAACGGCGAGCCACGCCAAAGCGCATACGAACATGGTGAAGTTGACGGCAGACTCGGAACCGCTGATATTGCTTGCGATGACATTGCCGATGAGCGCGGTGGTGAGTAGGACAAGGAGGAACTGCAATATGCGCAGGATCGACTTGATCATAGTCTCCATGGCGATAATGTTTGACTTATATCAAGTACTCTGTCTAATTCGTATATCGGGATCGCGAGTAACAATATGATTATAGAAGTTAGGTGTCAACAGCGCAAAGACCGGGATCGACCAGACGATTGGCGATAGATACGTAGCTAGATAGTCAAGTTGCCGAGTAAAACAAGCAACGGAGATCTAGACAATGACTGGGTTGGGTTAGGCTTTTCTTTGTTTCCTTGAGGAATAATAGGATGGTCGATCCTTTAAGTGATGAATGATGGGATTGGATTCGAGAGCGGAGTGTGTGTAACTTGAAGGGAGAAAGATCCGTACTTTAATCAGATGTAGAGGGTGTATAATTGGTCAAGAGTAGTCTCTTTAAGTGTAAGTTATGGGTATCGGTGTCGATCAAATGATGCGCATCGATGTTTTCGATGTTGTCGCTAGAATGAATTAAGCAAAAGTCGATATGTCGATGATCTGTTGATCGGCAGTTGCGGGATAGATGCGTATGGCGTATGGTACTTTCCCATATATTTGCATATGTTTATCGAACTATGACCTCATTGGACTTTCCCTCTAGTTCTAGAAATAGTGACGTATACAATACTAACGGTAAGCGTAAATGTCTTTGGTCTAAGGAAGTTTGAGTTTAAAACAATTCACTTTTGTGGTTTGCGCAAGTGGGCGTTACTCGGATTTATTACTTGTTACATACTCTATACATGTAGGTCTATTTATTATTTATTTCTCATATTCTATATACTTGGGTGATATAATTCGAATCCGGCTTTTCTCCTGTTATCAACAACATCCCCCGTCCTTCTTTCAGTTCCGAATTCAGGTACCTTGCCTACAATAAAGAAATTCATGCATAATAGTTGTACCATCTGGCGTGGTTGACCCGGCAGTCTGCCCATAGCCAATCACGCCATACCGACGGACTCCACATTATCTGCATCCTCCGAAAAACTTCCAAGATTGCAAAGCTTTTTATTAACGATAAGATCGCGGGTTCCTAATGATTGGCTCATGTAGCTCCCCCACGTTTCGGTGCTTGCCCCAGCAACCGCCAACCTTGGAACCACTCAAAGTCCCTGCAGTCTTCCGCATCCCATTATACGATTGCATATCATCCAGTCGACTGTATGAGCATTTCAAGCGTTGCGACACGGCGCGCTTGTCACACAAAGCTGAGCCTCAGTATATTATCAGACGCTTATTACGCACCATGGTAGCTTAGCATACGAGGTTTATCAGGGGTGCTTTTTCTCTCGTAGGTTTTCTAAGCCTCAAGATCGTTTCATTATGGCGCTTAACTTTCTCAAGCGGTTCATTATATTATTTATCATTAGATGTACGTTTTATCTTTACCACCACTACGAAACATTGTCATGGCTGTAGTGCTAGTTATCATACGCCGAAAGTAGTCGATTCTTTCGAAAAGAGGCGACTCGAATATGATTATAAATAACTACCTAAGCACCTACCTATGCAAAATCGAAAGTTCTTAGCTCACATTATCTCTAGATACCTATCCATAGGTAATATCATGCCTGCCTATGGATGGTAAAACATGCAATTCATATTAATATAGCCATACCTATCTAAAGTTAGGCCTCATCCACTAGATAATTCTTGGAGTGTCTGCCTAACACAGGAACAAACCTGGTTCTAAAGTTTTTATATTAAGTGTTAAGTGGAATGTAATAGGCGTTCTACTCGCCACTGATTTACATCCAACTTCAAGAATACAGGGTTTGAAGTACATACGTTTAAAACTTCACGAATCAATCTAGGTAGCACCTACACAATACGTCTACAAATTCAATGTTAGTAATATATATTCGGTACTATACTTCCAGGATTCTATACAAGGTTTTTTTTAGTAATAGTTATTAAGTAAAATTATCCAGGTAGTAATTCATGATTTTATAACTTAATGGACTTCTAGTAGTCAATTATCAAGAGTACTATATGTAGGTAAACATCATTTAACACAGTTGCAATGAAACAATAACCCACAACCGAGGGACAGCATACAGATTCCTAGGTACATATTGTACCTATGTACTTCGAAGTGCCGGATCGGAAAATAGCCAAGGGTTGTGATTGGGTGTTGGGGAGATCTAGACCCACGCTTGGCCTTCAATTTGTCGTTACGTACCCGGAGATCGGCTCACAGTTGCATCACTGTACATGTACTATGTACCTACACGGAGCTCTTTTTTTATTTTTTTCTGTCGGTGTTTCTGAGCTCATCGTCGTGTCATCACCATCTGTTCTTCAGGACAGTAACATTGTACGCTTTCTGTTTCGCGGCGCAATCGAGGATCAAAGACAATCGGATATAGAGTTCTTTTCCCCCTCATCTTAGGACCCCAAAGATCTAATCGACAGGTTCAGGCTACTTCTTACACCCTGTAGAGGTTCCTGGCGGCGGAGCCGGATATAGGTCTTTCCTGACTCTCCGAAGCTCCTCGACCGAAATCCTCCGCGTCTGTCAGCAGCTTCTACTGAGTTGAACTCGTCAATATTACCCGCCCAGCTACATAGATGCCAACATCGCATTGAATTAATACATTAAAGAGGAGATCATGCCACATATTTATTCTTCTATTATCCACCGCATATTTGGATCGACAGGTCCGGGTATGCTGCGACAAGTTGGACCGAACATGGAAAGAGCAGTATGGAGGCAGACTCTTTTCTCGAGACCGCAGCAATCTAGATTCTTCTCAGCTTCGAGGATAACTACATATGCGAAACCGCGTCCGACAATAAGCAATACTTTATCCAATTTCTATAACGCTTCGTTACGTTCGACCCGACGATCATTTCACAGAACCTCACGATTACGAGATGCGAAGTCCCCCCCTAAAAGCCCTGCTGCCCAAGAACCACAAGGAATTACAGCAAGGTTAAGGAAATTATCTAGGGAATATGGATGGGCGGCGTTGGGCGTCTATCTAGGTTTAACTGTCCTGGACTTTCCTTTCTGCTTCTTACTAGTTCGATCGGTAGGAACAGAAAGGATAGGTCGGTATTGATCGGGAAATTGAATAGATTGAAGTCGCTAACACGCTCAGGTGAGATCGAACACTACATAGTCTCGCATATCTCGAAGTTAATACCGCAGTCCGTCCGGGATTGGTGGAATGAGTACAGGGAAGCTCTAAAAAGTGCCAAGAAGGAGCGACAAGATAGCGGAGGAGTCGATGAGCATGACGACGCGGCTGATTGGGGTGTAGGGGAAGCTGAGAAAAGACATAAAGCCGAGGCCAGTAAGTTTGGACAAAGTAACGCTATCCTCAAGGACACGCTTGGTCTCATATAATCGACAGGTCTTGGAACGCAACTGGCTCTTGCCTACGCTATTCATAAAAGCTTCATCTTTCTCCGAGTCCCTTTGACTGCCGCAATAACGCCGAAGGTAGTCAAAGTCCTTAGATCGTGGGGCTGGAAGATTGGGAAGCGGCCAAATAAACCGTGATAAAGAGTTTTCTAAAAATCACGTGGGATGATTTCGGTCGCGATCTCATGATCCCACCTCTACCCATAAGTTGGCGCTTAAGCAAAGGGTTTGTATAATACCTAGGTCAAGAAGATGTAACGATCGACATGAGACCATTAGACTCACTCCACATAGAACATAACCATCAACAGCGATGATTAATATTTAGAATATATTCTAGACGAGTTGCTCGGCAAGAACTAAGATCTTTACCCTAAGATATAGCGAAAGCCGTAGCTACAACAGCAGTCAAATTGCATTTCGGGGAATGCCGACGTCTGCTAGGTGGACTTTCCTCTCTACATCGCGATGATTATCATGAGCCTTCTAAACTTCCCGTTTATTTCAAGTTCGTTCTAAGGAAAAGGATGGTTTCTTCGGACCGATTATATCTACCTACCTACTTAGGTATATAGGCGCGTATAAAGCCACCTCACTTGCCTAGATACTACTACATCTACTATCCGTATTTTCATACACGGGACTTTGTCTTCCCAAAGAGTCGCACTATCTAGCATAACAAGCCCAACGGCCGGATAGTAGGTCATGATAAAGTTTATGATGTCACCCAGGATTGGAGATTACCCAGAAGTTATCTGTCCTCACCAGTGTAGGTAATGCATATTGAACGGGTATTGATATGATACTCTCAATACCTTAGGTATGTCAGAATACCCTCTAGGCAAGTTGTAATGGACCTTTTTTCCCCTCGGGGATCAGTAGGTGAGCTGAAACGTCCTAGATCCCGTAGCTAAATATCATCGGGCTCTAACGATATCTGGAATGCCTTTCATCCGGTACGCAGGGTATTATGGTCATGACAATCGAGGAAAATAAAATAAAGTTTGACGGATCTCTTTTAGGACGTAGCAAAGCCACATTTGTCGTCCAATTTCTCGCCGCTCCTCCTCGCTAGTCTCCACGGGATACACTACCTACCTAGTACCTACCTAGTAGTATTAAATATGACTTCGCCTAAATGGCACAAAACTTCCCATCTTCGACTTGTCCACTACTATCCACTAGGGTTGAAGGATACTAGCACCATGGCTTTAACCTGGACGGAGCCAAGTTCATCCCAGATAAATACCGTCACCTATCCATTCAGCCGTCCCTGACTACTTACTTAGTAGGTAAGTAAACCGGAGATACGCCAGTTTACTATTCCCTAACATGCTAATGGTTGAAAAACGTATTATGTCGAAATCTAATATCACTAAGATTATTTTTATTGAATTATTGAATTGATCCACCAACTCTACAAAATAACTACACAAAACTCAAGTTGACAATTATAAATTCAAAAATAACGGCATTCTAGTCGTTCGGTTGGTCAAGTGGCTAAATATATTATAGTCGGCATCCCTGTACATACAAACAGGAGTATGGAACTGAGTCGCTTAGTCCAGAATACGCCGGCCACCACGAGTCTGGCCACAGGGTCCAACGCCAAGGACTGACACGTTATAACAAGGATTGTGTTGCTGAGAAAGGGCCACTGAATTGCAGAGACCATCCCTGTGGAGTAAGCATGTCCCAAGGGGATGGAACAGATGGTAGGGGGTGTATTCCTCAATGGATAAAATATCCAGACATTTCTTCCCCTTATCCGCTCTTTTTCTGGGGATGTTTGCTGTTTAATTATCAGGTAGGCACCTACCTATGTAATTCTGCTCTGCACATTGTACATATCTATACCCACTGTGCAGACAATACCAACTCTCAAAACTCGCTACGGAATGACCCTTAGTTGAAAACATTGGATCGGAGATAGAAATGTGGAATATTCAGCGCGGATGGAACTAAAGGCAACATAAAGTTCAACCAAGGATGGCCAGGCGATACTTATTTATATTCGAATTGAGACTAAAAAAAGGGGGTGGTCCTTCCTAACTCGTTCTACGCAAAGGTCTCGATCATAACTGTAACTGACTTGTACAGATCGCCACCCGAGTCGAGCTTAGAGCAGTATGAGAATTATATATACAAAGTTATACTTCGGTTGGAAATTTTGTATAAAGCCTACGACGACCTTTCCAACTTACCTATCTACCTAAGTATACCTAAGTTTATGTCCACTAGGTATATATAAGAGCAGATCGTACCCCCCGCCATTCTCAATCATTTCTTTCCATCGCATAGTCAGCCGATCGACGGACGTTTACACATATCCTCCCAATCACCATCACCAATACATCATCCCCACTGTCATCAACTATTACTTTGCGCGACGTGAAGCACATTACCAAACATCTCACCAACGCAATGACGCGTGTCAACTGCCACCCCAGGGGTAACCACAACCACGTGATTGTTGGCGAGCTTACAATTAAAGATCAACAACTGAGCATATTATCACAAACCATTGGTCAACCGCAGAAAACTCCCCCGTTTACATGCCATCCTAGTGACGCCCTTTCAGCTCTAGAAGTACTGGAGGCGGCAAGAGAAGGCCCCGAAACAATGTCCGACCCGAGACTCGCGCAAGTACTTAACGACGCCTTCCTTGATGTATGGGGAAAGATAATGGATCATCCGAGCGGTTATGTAATGACGAGGGATGAGTTCGCGATATTCAACTTCTTTCAATACTTACGGCTAGATGAGGCGGGCACCGAGATAGCCAGGAAGGCCAGGGCGAATTATTGGAGTAGCTCATGGGGTCCGCCACAAAAGTAATTTTCAATTCCGGCATTAGCATTACAAGACACAGGTCTATGATGTTAGGAAGAGGAATCGCACTTGAGGGATACAGGAATCTAACATTATCTCATTGTTGAAGGTTGTGGAAATGATAGACAGCCACTACCCAGTGATACCCATTTTTTAATTAACTTTAACAATAAAGGATCTAGCGTTGATATTCTATATACAATGTATAAAAATGTTGCGATGAATAATAGAAGAAACAATTCTAAATGTTTATATAACGATTGAATAGCATTGAAGGTTAAAGTTGAGAAAAAGTGTACTAAACTTTTGTATGTACTAGGTATGTAGTAGCTTGTTCTAAACGCCATAATCTACCCCTCCTAGAGGTCCCTCCCCCGCCCTCGTCTTATCCCCATCTCATCCCTCCGCCAACGTTAAACGTTAACTCCAACGTACCTGTATTAACTGAAACCTTAACCTTCCTACTTCTGCCAATACTGAGCAAAAGCTGATGATGCCGATGGGATCTTTTCCACATTACAGATGCTCATCACTCTAAGCAATAATTACCTACCTATTCCCATTCATGAATACGTACTGTGTTACGAACCAAACTCTACCCTTTCACTCACGATTTGACCTACATGCTTATGTAGTAGGTAATACTCATTTTATTATTCATACACTGAAATATGGCTACCGGAGCCTCTGAAAAGGTGACGTCCAATTTCGCGATTCAGCATCAAAATCGAACACTATGGCACAAAAGACTACCGATTATCAATATGAAAAAGGATAATCAATCAAAGTCTGTGCTGTTATTGGCTCTGCTTGGCCTCTTATCGTTCATATGGCTGGCAAGAATATACTTGGGTATTTCCCTCCCGGCTTCTCCAACAATAAATCCAGTCAGCCGATATGGGCTTGATTTGCTTCGGGGTTCACTTAATGCACCCCCCTCGCCTAAAGTGCTAGAGTGTTTTCAGGTCTCTCAACCAGTGTTCAGCCCCAATAGCCCATATTCAAAATCGGCAGTAGATAACGGGCGGGCCGTCGCAAGGGAAGATATCCCTGATGAGCCTTGCTCTGCCTTATTGATGGATCATGTTTTTGGGTTTAGTTATGGCAAGCCTTTCGTTGGTATGTTCAATGAGTTCCCTGCCTACCAGGTATGTATGTACCTAGTAGGTTCAATATCCACTAGACAATGATCTCTGACCATAAACAGGAACTTACACACCACCGAATTGCCCTTTCAATCGAGTCATTATGAACTTTACTGTAGCTTCACAGGGTCGCCAATTCGACCGTCTAGCATTGATGTATTTTGGCGATACCGAAGTATGGCGGACTTCAACTGCGGAACCAACCCAACCTCCCGGGATTCATTGGACTTTCTTAAAAGATATGTCGGAATATTTGTATTTTTGGAAATCACCTCAAAAATTGATATTCGATCTAGGAAACTTGGTGGATGACAAATATACTGGATCGTTCAATGCTACCTTAACCGCGACATTCTTCCTGGCCAGTGTCGAGACTGATAAACCCTCCCCGGCTGACATGATCATACCTGTATCCGCGAGGAGGGGAGCAGAAAATAGAGCAAGCCACTTCACACTACCGGCAGAAAATGCAACCAACACGCTAAGCTTCCCTCAAAATGTCCATAGGGCTGTCGTCTCTATCTCTGCTAATGGTCAAGCCGCAGAAGAGTTCTGGTGGAGTAATGTTCTTCAAAGCGATGTCGACACATTTAGCCATACTACAGGACAATTGCTCGGCCTGTCACCCTTTCGCGAGGTCCAGTTACTTATCGACGGCAACCTCGCGGGGGTCCAATGGCCCTTTCCGGTGGTTTTTACTGGGGGCATAGTCCCTAGTTTACATCGGCCTATCGTAGGTCTTGAAGCTTTCGACCTCAGAGAGCATCAGATCGATATTACCCCATTCCTACCTTTATTATGCGACGGGGCCGAACACACATTTACAATCAAAGTTGCCGGATTGAATGATCGGGAAAATGCTAGAATTATGCTGACGGATACGGTCAATGATAGCTGGTATGCCACAGGCAAAATATTCCTTTGGTTCGACGAGGAAGGTTCAATTACCACCGGTGGGAGCGCTGCAGTAGAGTACGATGAGCCAGCCATTTCAATCTCTCATTACGTCACGCAGAACGCCACCGGCTTCAACGAGACTCTAATTTTTGAAACATTTGTTGAGAGGACGCTGGCCGTCAGATCAACAATCAATTCAAAAAACTACACTGGAGAAAGCACTTGGTCTCAAATACTTTCATATTCCAACCGAGCGGTAATATCAAACTTTGGACTTACCGAGATTAACAATTTCACTATCACTGGAGTCGATTTTTCGACAGGGCCTGCCACCCCGTATAAGAGCATTTACACATACCCGTTATACTGCAACCAAACAATTTCGACATCACCTCAAGGTAATCTCACCATAAGTGCACAATTAATACAAGGACTGGAGCTCCAAGTTGAAGGAAGCTCCGTCTTTCCGACAGGCTTGGAGGCGTTTGAAGACGTCTCTACTGCTGGAAGGGCTCCGTATACCACCTCACACTTGGACACCTACCGTGACGGCACGGCATTCTTCTCTCAGACGGCAGATCGTAAGGGTAGCTTCGGTTATGGTACAACCAAGCAGGTTTTTCGCTTCTGCGGTTCTAGTAGAAGTGCTACTCTCGACATCGAGGGAGATGCAGACGAGCTCTACTTCCGAAATGTAACAGCAGCTAATGGTACCATATTGTCCGATTCTGAGAGGATAAATGGTATAGAAACATACGGTATCAGCCTAACACCACAACTCAACAACCCTCCAGAAACGTCGTTAACATTATTTGCTCATCCTTCTAATATAGCTAGTGGATTCAAATCATCCGCGAGGAAATGTCGGTAACAATAGGATGTACGAATTACCCTCAGTGAAGGTTCAAATTCCCTAAGTCTGGCTGGTCTTCAGTCCGAGCTGTATCATTCTGGTAGGGGCCAGGTCGTAAACAACCTTAGGAACTGTATAGCTTATGTACGTCAAAGCCCAACTAAACTAATTAGAATTCGTTTCCTCGAAAACTACCTAGGTCAGTTTCTTCACTTAGCGAAATACCCGTCGACGACCCAATAATCCAGAACACATCGAAGACAAGGTCAACTATAATACCGAATTTTCCATGAAATGCTCAAAATACTTATAAATTATCCTGACTCCTTCTAATGGGTATCATATGTCCTCTTCTCCATCGTCCCACAACATATTGCCCGTATCTTTCAGGTAGATACATCCCTAGGTACCTACCCGTGTAAAAGTAAAAACAGATGAATATATATACCAAGAAGATAAGTCCCATCCAATTTACCCTGCCACCTAGATGCGAGATGCTGCCCACTCCCAAAATCCAAACGCCTCCCGTATGCACACCCAAGCACCTCAAATGTATATGTCATATGGCACCTGAGAGATTTGGACAGTATGAATTAACCCATCAGGCGCCATCATCTGGGATCCCGGTAACCTTTTCCGCTATTTGTAGGTAGTGCTGTTTATCCGCTTCCTTGATGCCCGCATACCAAATGTTGGCCATCATCTTGTATCCCTCGTTAGTCGGGTGAGTGCCGTCCTTGTTCAGGTCTGTCACCTTAGGACCCGCGCTGCTCTGCATATCGACTAGGACAATTCGGTGCTTAGATGCCTGGAACTCGGCTGCTACTGTCTTGAACTGGGCATTGATCTGCTGAACTCGGTCTTGCACCGCTTTATTGCCATTTACCAAGAGGGTGGATAGAATGACAGTGGCTCTGGGAGACTCCTTGTACAGGTCATTGAGCATGTCCGTCATTCGCTTCCCAGCGTTGGCGATGTCCTTGTTTTGGACTGCATCATTCGTCCCGACGTTGATGAGGATAAGGTTAGGTTTGTATTTGGGCACGGTGCCGTCCGCTTTGGCGTGAACCTGGTCGATTCTGTAGCCTTTCCAGCCCTCGGTGTCGTTATCTTTCATGTCCCCACTAGGATTGTCTCCGACCATGTTGACCTTGTTTCCGTTCGCTTCCAGTTGGCTCCGAAGGTCTTTACGGTATCCGTTCCCGTCTGTGGACCCATAGCCGTACGTGATAGAGGCACCAAGGGGCATGATTCGCAAAGGCATGCCGTTTCCAAATCCCTTCGCTCGGGCGTGATGTGTGTCCCCTAATACCGTGTCGCCTCCATTAGAAGGGCCAGTCCTTGGTAAACAGAGTCCTAAACCTTGTCAGATGCTATGTCGGCGAAGATAGGAAGAGTGGCTAACCATTCGCCACTTGAGAGGCGCATGTCAACATGCACCATAGTAGGTGCTTAGTAGTCAACATTATTAACAATGAAGTAAGTGCGAAGGCTCGAGAGGTCTGGCTTGGTATGATGATTTCAACTCGGGATAGATCGTACTATGGATATCTTTATCAACTATAACTAGTACTTGATCGTATGTTGTTTGCTTGCCGCGTGATACCAAAGATTGATAGTTAATCGCGTAGTTGAATGCCCAGGTATGGAGGCGTCGTGGGGCAGTATTTATCATTCTTGGGAACATTCCTTATTCACATCCTAAGACTACCATTGATGTCTCTCTAGGATCCGGTGGGCCCAGCCCATGATGACTCCAGGGTCAGCCAGTCTTCTGTTTCTTCATCGAGCCTGACTAACAATCCCTGGCTCGGATGATGGCGGTAAGCACTGTGTCACCCTAAGAGAGCTTCGAGGCTGCGCTGAGTCCAAGCGGACCATCAAGGCGTTTACCTCGTGAGTAGACTCTGGCTTTAGCAAGGTAGAAGAGCCATCAACGTCTAGCTAGTTCGCTTGGCTGTCTCACATATGGTATTCCGTGCCTTGCAGATCCCACGCAGGGTTCATCTCATACATAGCCACGGGAGGGCTGATTAGCAGGTATTGGCATTGCAGAAATGGAAATTCTGAATATATCGATAGACTTGGGTTCATACTTCGAGTCCTAGTCAAGAACATTCTTCGCATCCTTACTTCCTTGTTCAGTCTCACCAATATTTGCGTTTTAAGAACCTTGGATATTTGCGATTGACCAATTCGTCATCGGTGCCTGGAAACCCCTCGTTTCTAGCTTAGCTAGGTACCTATTTACCTAGGTACCTACCTATGGTTTATGATAGAGAAAGAAAGTGAGGACTAGCAATTGTAGGATTTCCATCCTTCGAATATCTTTAGCGAGGGATGTTGTAAGAAGTTGAAAATTCAAACGAATCAGATCCGCAAAAGCATCCGAACTTTGCTTCTAATAATAACATTAAACGAGGGAATGTCGAGATGCGGCAAGTTGGGGCGGATTGGCAGGGGCATAGGGACCCTCTATTGTAATATTAAGTTAGTATTTACCCTTTTAGGGTTTGAATCCCTGTTCTCCACGTTATAGTTAGGCTAACTAGAGCTTGGAAAGGAAAGACGCAGGTTGCTTTTTAAAAATATAGCACCTGGCAGTTCCCTAGTAAAGGGCGCCCACTTCCGTTCTCACTTATTCTAAACATCCTCATCACCCTCAACATCTTAGGTACCTATAATACTCACAATACCACCTACTTACTTCGGTAATTAATATGGAGGCTATTGACAAATTCGATATATGGGACGACATCTCACTCAGCCTTAAATTTCAGCTGCATCGCCGAGTCACGTTGTATACTAGTTGTCTACCTACTAGGTAGGTTATACGTTGAAGTTATCACAAGAGTGTAGAATTATCTATTCCTTGACCTCCAACTCACCTATCTTTATCTTTATCTTTATCTTTATCTTCTCTTTTCTTCCTTTTTTTTAAAAAAAAAATAACAAAAACAAAAAAAAAAATCAAAAAATCAAAGGAAGAGCAAACTGCAAACACCTCTCACAGAAAATAGGAATTGAAACTTCTCACCAAGTAATTCTATGATATGGTAGAACTTAAATGTGCTGTTCTATCTCCTTTCAGATTTCTATAGTCGCTAAGTATACGAAATTTGCCTGTTTGATGGCTTGATTCAACATGAGGTTGAACCTCTGACATCAGCTTCGCATCTCGCAGATAACCACTAGGTACCTCAAAAGTCGTGCGTCGGCTTTTAACTAAAGACCTATCTACTGGGCACTCAAGGATCACTCAATGCGTATAATCCATCTCGTGCTATTCTTGGGCATAGGCGGAGGCACAAGCGTCGATCAAGTATTATAATTCACTCTTGTCAAAGACTACACTAGTTGTTAAATTTCTCTTCTTATCATATATATGTGTCTTGACAGAGACATGTTTACCTACCTAGGGAGGTACCTAGTAGCTAGAATGAGAAATCTCGTGTTTTATCAGTCACTCGTGACACAAAACCACAGGATCTTCGCGCTTGTAACCACATCAATTAAGCACTATTGGGTCCTCACGAGTTGCTACGTTTGGCATCAAATTTCGATAGGGCTCTTCTATTTACGAATAGGTACGACTAGATTAAGTCATTAGTCCCTGTATTCGAGCCTGTGTTCGATCCTGCTAGCATAAAAATGTTGGCGACTAGCTCAGCTACCTACCTCATATTCGTTTACACGATAGAAATGTTAGTTTATTAAGTAAAACCTGCGACAGACGTCTTTGGTCTACATGTCACGGGTATGTTCTTAGCGTTACTTTCTCATCACGCCATCGTTGGAAGGAGATCTGATCCGCCGACTGGTCAAATATTGTTGGATCAAGGACACGAGTCCTGGATTTGTAATCGCCGACGCCCTCCTGCCTAAGAAATCAAGTGCCATGGATACGATTGAGGGTATACACCGTGCCGACATCTTCCATCCACATATGCAGCCCTACACCGTGGGGTTATGGTTATCTTTGCCTAGATTGGTCTCGGGCGTAGCTGATATTGCGTCCTAAATTATCGGTCTTGCTAGACTCATCAGCGCTAATGTACCTGAATTGAGATATTGTATCTATTGGCTTAACCTTTGAATATAATCGCAGACAGCCTAGTTAAAATGAGGTTTAAAATGTCTATCAAGGGATATGGATTGGATAGATATACGATCTAATCTAGACCACCCAACTCTGGGCTTTCTATGTATATTCCACCGCAAGGGGTCAAATATCATCCCTTCTCTAGGTAACACCCAGCTTTACAAAATAATTCGCCGATAGCCGTTGAGTCATGACTTCTTAGGACCTGTACCGAATACCGTATCCCGGACGGGGTATTATAAGCGACGTTGAGTACAACGTATTTTACTTGGTGTAGAATCTATGTAGGTAGGTATATTACGATCTTTTCGACGCAGTTAGACTGCGCTGTTCATGAGTAGGTACCTAGGTCCTAGATATGACTTACCTACCTGGTACATTACCTAGGTATCCTACAATTCCCACGAGCTTATATCCAGAGAGAACTGGAATCCTTTCTCTACCTAGGTATGCAGGACCCGATTCTCATGCTGTCATATTGGCTTTGGCTCTCGTACCATAATGGAGATCTTGTATATCCCCTCAAACGTGCCCGTCAACTTCTCAAGGTCGAAATTGAGCTGATCTATTTCTCGGAAGCCTAACTTTTCATATATAGGCTTGCCATCGGGTGTTGCCTCAAGGTATGCCTTTAGACCGCGAGTGTCGGCCAGAGCTAACATAGGCAACATCATTGCCTTCGCAGCACCCCTCCTGTGGTAATTTGGCGACGTACAGAGGAGCGATAAACCTACGTTATGACTTAGCTGACGAAGGGAATATGGCATAGTATCAATTCCTTCACTTACCTAGCATCTCTTTCGCGTTCTGCTTTTCCGACATAACGCTGAGTGCGTTGAAGAACTCTAAGCACAATTCCGGTTGGGCGCCTTCTGGAATATCTATCATAGGAGGCGTAATAGCACTAGGAGTCGCGCTATTCGCAGGTAGATCTTCTTCCCATGCCCCGAAAGCTGTCTCGTGTCCTTCAGGGATGTCCCACCTAGTAAATGCAACCATTTCGCCGCTCTGTACGTCGGTAACCTTGAAGTGTCTGGTACTCCGATCAGCCATCTTCTTACGGATGCGGCGCTTCATCCATGTCATCATGGCCTCCTTATCCTCTGACCACCAGAAAGTGTTCCGGCGGTCCACCTGGAACGCGCAATAATAAATTTCGGCCAAATCATCCACGTCTGCGATAGTACAGCGAGATATAGAGAAAGCCGAGGAGAGGAACGAGGGTATTGGGAAAGGTAACACCATTGCGCCTAATTTTGGCTTATCGTTCTGTGAATGCTATTGAAGAACTAATAACGAATTGAGCTCGTTCTATTCACGTAGATAGTAGGTAGTCATTATAACCATCTACAGTTGGTGCGGGTGGATTAGAATAAATACCTATTACCTATACTCTAAGAGGATATCATTTGGATCCACTGTCCTTATTCCGATAGAGTCGCCGGTTGGCTAGCTGCAGGTCCAGGCTTAGTGCATATTGTCTTATAGGTTCCTCGCCGATGACTCTTAAGCTGCAAGAAATGAATGACTGATGCAGCTTGGATGGATGTTCCGTGAAACTACCAAGTATCTTACTTCGCTCGGTAAGAATCAAATAGGTAAGATATCTTGTGAAGATGAAAATAGGTACTTTTATACTCATGAAAATGTAAAAGCGCATGTTAAAATATTTAGAAATAAGAACTTGCGTAGGGGACGTATTGTACATATTGCACAGAAAGATGCGAAGACTAAATGGGCAAAAGAAAACCTACATCCTATGCCCAAAGATTTTCTTAGGTCCATGCAAAGCCCTGGAGGTGACGATGTCGATGTTGCTCCTCAGAAGGATCGTTCGTTAGGCTCCCGGATTAGGCATGTTCCTACTCACTACGATCGTTTAGCGAAAACAAAAATTTTACGAGATAAACCTAGCTATATCTTGTATTAGTGACATATTTATGCGTGTGGCCTGGTTATACAATGATGAGCATAGATATATATGCCATCTAGGATTACGAGACCAAATTTGCATAAGACTCGTGTAAATCTGGACGCCGGAGCATAACGTGGTAGGTCCTTTGAGAACAGATGAACTCGCGATAAGATATTGTCCTATCGTTGAGCACATAGTGAACTCACTCACCAAATATCGAGGCTGTCGAGATTCACTCTTCAATAAAGTATATTCATACCCTCTCGCTGACCCAAATCGCACCCCTACATCCTAATCGTATGACACCGGTCAATAACCAGTGGGGTTCGGCCTTTTTCGCATCGTTATCGACGGCATGATCTAAGTGTTCTAGCTCTTCGTCTCGTATACGCCGTAAAGTTTTTACAAGATTTTGGAGTTCTTCGCCGACTTCGTAGCCTTCTGCTTCCCACTGGTCGAACATCTCTAGCAGCGTCCGTATTTGGTTGTTGTAATGACCACCGATTTCGGTCTCGACGGCCTCCGTACAAGCCATTGCGGCCTCGCGCCCCATCACAGCGGTCGACCAGCCTAATCCCGTCGCGAGGATGGACCAGACCGGGTAGAGGGCAGTTGGGCGGACGCGGTGCTTGGCTATGAGGGAGTTGAAGGTATCGAAGTGGCCTTCTTCTTGGGCGTACATGTGGGCCATCAAAGGTCGAAGGTGTGGGTGTGCATTTATAAGAGGCGGCGTCTGGGCGGTATAGATCAAGGTAGCGGCTAATTCGCCTGCTTGGTTTACACGGAGCTTTGAGAGGCGACGTCTTAGCGCGAGTTATATAATCTAACGATTGACAAGTGGCCTTACAGCTGAAGAGAGAAATTCGCGTTGCTCCTTTGTTAGAGGTTTGCGTCTTGGGTTCTCAGCTGGAGAAGACAACGAGGCTGTTGAGACTGTCGCATTGGATTTTTGAGTCGTGCTTAGGAATCGTCTTCGGGTCGGCTGGGTAACCGTGCATAGAGGTATAAGAAAGTCACGTAAGGGTGATGACGATGAGTTATTAGGCACTATGTGCATTTGTATTCTTGCTCTTGATAAAGACATGGTTGGTCCGAAATAGATATGCTTCAATATGATATGTATGATACTTTATGAATGAATGAATTAAGCTTTTCTATTATTCTTCGTGTTATACCTAGGTATAGCGTCGTACCAACTCTAGTGGTAGGTACTGGGTAAGATTTAAAGTTATGTAATGAGATACTAACCATATTAAGTAAAAGGCAATTTAGAGTGCCAATGAGGACAATCGAACTTTAGAGTTATCCAATCAATGCTCTTATCCGGGCTACATGCTTTACTTACAGCTGATGAGGCTGTAAAGTCAACTTCTTCAATTCTCCCATAACTTGTCTGATCCCGACCGACCTTGCTTCATCAATAAGTGAAGCCTACCATTTCTCAATTGCTTCATTCTATTTTCTGAATATTATCATTTGGCTTGATTGCTATCGTCTTTTTGAACCGTGTAATTGTACAGATATATAGTGCGTGTTACCTGTATCGCGCATCTCGTCGCGCCTCATCGCAAGCTAATCGCATTCATCGAGCTGCACTTAACGACCTACTATCACCCACGAGAATACGACCTCAAATAAAACCGTGTCACTATGGCTGATCTTGATGAAGAGATCTTAGCCCTTGTTGGCGGTGACGATGAATCATCAGATGAGGAACAAGATGTAGATGTTAGCCGTTCCACATCTAGGACCCCCGATGCCGATGCAAAGAAGCAGGCAAAAGACACAAAGCAGAAGACTAGTAGGAAACATGATGATTCAGACGAAGAGGAAGGAGAGGCGTGAGTTTTGCACCTTCCTTATTACCATCGTTGTTATTGTTATTGTTACCGACACTACCTTCGCTCCTTCCCCGTACCAAGCACGCTTTTTCTATTTTTGCTCAACCATCGCTCTTGACATGTCCTACACACCTTAGAGTCCTTGGAGCGCCTGCCTACCGGTACCTATCCTACTAATTCCTCCCGTCATATAAATATCTACTTCTTTAACGGCAAAACCACCCCCACCTGTTGCCTAATATCTTTACAACTTTTAACACCTTGACTTTAATACCTGGACAAGTCATCCCGAGAATCTATTTGTTTGCCTCTCATAAGCTGGGGGTCGCCATCAATCTTCTTTCCCATCTTTACTCTTGGTTCCACACCAATAATTTGCCTCTGCTAACTCTTCACCATGTTTCTTGACAGCTCTTCGATTGCTTCCCCTGCCTCGCAAGACTCTGCTCCTATGGATGAATCTGACTCCGATGACGACGTGTTCCAGACGAACAACGCCAACGGTAAAGTAGATGATGATGTCGACAATAAGTACCCTGTCGATGGAATCTATGCAAGCGAATTGGAGAAAGAGGAAATTCTAGCCATGCCCGAGCTTGAGCGAGAACAATTGCTTTCTCACCGCCAGGAGCAAGTCGACCGCCAGCGGCAAAACACACTACTACGTCGATTGCTATTGAAGACGAGAGAGGATGATAGCCAGCCAGACAAGAAGCGCAAAGCGGGTTCTGCTGACCTGGATGACCCTCAACGCAAGACCTCACGGCAGAGAACAAGAGTCGGTGGATCAAAGGTGGGCGAGACAAGCGCTGGAATAGAGTCCCTCCGACGTGCCCGAGCCGAAAAGAGCGATCGACTGCGCCGTAGAGAAGAGGATAGGGAACGCAACAAGAAGTCATATTCCGCCTCGCGCGATAGTGTTGACCGTGACATTGATGGTGATAGCGACGGCGGTTGGGCGGGCGCATCTAGGAACAGGCCTTCCAAGTCGCGAACTCCGGAAATTAAAGAAATCCCATTTGCTGACTTGCGCGATATCGAGCGCATCCGACTTGGTCGCACCCGATTTGCCCAAGTCTGCTTCTTCCCTGGGTTTGATGAAGCTATCACCGGTTGTTACGTTCGTGTTTCTCTTGGTCCGGGTCCCGATGGTGTGCCTGTTTATCGGATGGCTATAATCAAAGGTATATATACCTCGGGGAAAAAAAAAATAAAAACTAAACCCAGCACTTCTATACTAACAATAAAATTTTAGGCTTTACGCAAGGCAAAGCATATGCTATGAGCAAGCCGAACGGCCAGACTTTTGTCACCGACCAGTACATTAGGGCCGCTCACGGCAAATCCGAAAGGGATTGGCCGTTCATCATTTGCTCTGATTCTTCATTCACTGACGTATGTCACCGCTCTCCTATTCTACGAACTAGATTTTAATATGTCACAGGCCGAGTTCAACCGTTACAAGAAGGTTTGCCAGGACGAGGGCGTTCTCTTCCCCAGAAGGCCAACACTAGATGCTAAGATTAATGACATCAATAGCCTCATAGATCATACCTGGACCAACACCGAGGTGAATGCCAAGATTGAGCGAGAGCGAGCTCTTCTCAGCAAATTTCAACCCGCGGAACGAAATCGGTTGGTCAAGTCAATCGAGGAAGCCAAAGAACGCGGAGATGACGCGCTAGTTTCGGAGTTGCAAGACCAGCTGGACTCTCTCGAGACTCCGCGCTTGGCATTTAAGACTAGTTTGGCACAGGCCTCCAAGTCTCCAAACTTGGCTCCCTCACAGCAGGAGCGCCTAGCTGCCCTGAATGCCGAGAATCGACGACGCAACGTGGAAGCAGTGCGTAAGGCTCAGATGAATGAGAAAGCGAAAGCGCGCCAGATCGAGTCCCGCCTTGCGCGAGGGGAAGATGGTGGAGACGCCTCGCGCCGTCTTAAAGCCAGACCCAAGTCCGGGCAGGAGATCAACGAAACTGCCGAGCAAAAGTCGGCGCCTATCAATGTCAGCAGCGCGTTAGACACGCCAGCCAACGGAACACCAAAGCAAACTGCCACTACGAGGTTGCCAATGCTACCTCATCTACAGAAGCTCCAGGCACAAAATCATCAAACAGGAAAGGATAAGAAGGGAATCCCACAGATCCATAAGCCAATCGTGGATGATGATATCATCGCATCTCTGGATCTTGATATCGAGGTTGAAATCGACTAAATGGTGAAAGGGACGTTATGGGGCGTGGATTACCGTAGTGATCGTGCAAGTCTTCTTCCAGCCTATTTCTTATCTTGCAGGCTGGGAGATAGCGTATCTGATCTCTGTATTCCGAGGGCTATATTATCACCGGTTTATTCGCGCAGCCTCGAACGATGTCGCACTCTCAACTAAGTGGAAATTAATTAGACACGGTGCTAGTAGCAAATAGGAACATCAATGCAGTAGGTAAATGACCTGAATATACAGACAAGTGTATAGGAACTTAGTCATTGCGTGAGATTATTCGGGGAATGGATTACTCTTTCTACTCTCTCCCCGAAACGCGATTTACCATCTCAGCCATTCTAACAAAGCACTAGGTACCATTAGTGTAACCTAAGGTTACCTAGACGAACTGCGGTGGAACTAGGGGTTCCTCCCTCGCAAAGATCTGTACCTATAGAGAGATAAGCCGTCCGATACTCAACAACTTAACTCTTAATGATCAATACTTTTGCAATGGGTCCTGAAAATATCGGTAATACAGGCTATCAATCGTGAAGTCCGAAATGAACGGCTTAAACTCTTTGACAAACACAAAATTTAGGAGACGGCGTACGTGATATGTATTAATGAAGTTGTTACTCGCTGAAGTTTTGGAGAATCATCATCAAGACATGCCCGCTGCAGGAATAATCAATAAATTCGCATTCAAAAGTCAAGTTGATCTAGATTTCTCTATCCTCAACTTTCCCGATTTAGAATCAGAATGCCTATAAAGCGCTACGAGTCTGTTCCTGCGATATCGCGCTTCCTAGCCAGAGTGGCGAGGAATGATTTTACAAGGCGTCTATGGCCGAGGACCTAGCCACCTACTAGGTAGAGTCGGATACGGCATTTAAAAAAAAAGTTGTAGCTCCGGGACTTCCCTACCCTAAAAGCCCCAGAGATGACTACCTGTTCCCACATGGCGAGGCTTACTAGTACCTAACTATGAAATTTGAAGCGCTGGACTCTTGTGGTGCTAGGTACATCAATTGATATTATCAAACCCGGGATCTTTCGGTGCTAATGGGATATCTTTCTATAAAGGTTCTGATTCATATGTTAGAGTTAGTCTACCTACCTAGGTACCTAAGGGTCCTATCCTACCTAGTAGTCTTTCTTTAATAGGTTTACCCTAGCTTTTAGGTATGTACTGTAACTATATACCTAGGGCAGCTAGCATTTCCATTTGTCGATTTGTCAGCATGCCGCAATTCCAGATCCATTACTGCTATGCACATTTTCCAACCCAATTTCAAGTTTCCTATTTCTTGAAATTAGAATATTATAGTATATGGAACATATCGAGAGGAATAGAGGATTTTTCTAGGTAACAATCTGACTTCTTGCCCCATTTTCTCATGAAAATAAATTTACCTTAAAGGCGGTCCTAGTTCTCAAACGCTTCCGATCACGTCCACGAGAATGGAGACAAATTCTCGTCGTAAAGCCTGTATGTTAGGATCCTAATCTCAACCTCATAGTATTTTGAGCTTACTAATTTCTCTTCGTACGTAAGGTGATACTTGCTTCAAGAAGAAAATCAAGTGCGACATGTTGAAACCAACATGCTCAAACTGTTTACTGTATAAAGTACCTTGTAGCACAACTATACTTCGAAGGAGACCAAACCCGGTTCCTCCGAAAGGGATACAGACAGTAATCCCTGCTGTGAGTGGTGATAGCCTCGAGGCTCGTCTTGCGCGAATCGAGGCGAAGCTGGATAGACTTGGTGGCCCTGGCCCTTCTACAACGGCAGATCAACTACTCGATAGTGAATCGTGTCGAGTTGAGGAGTCTACCGCATCACCAACAGCAGGTCCATCGAGTTCATGTGCTCCAGTCCATCGCGGAGATTATCATATACCACCACTTACGGAGATATTGCCCATCATCGAAGACTATTTTAATAACTTTAATCCCGCCCTTCCACTTTTTCATCAAAGCCATTTCATGCATATGTTATACGATTTTTATTCCAGGCAGGAAGAGACTAAGGATTCAAGAGCCGCCTGGGCCGCTGTGAATGTAGTTCTCGCTATTGGATATCGCATTCGTTCAATTGAGACTGAAAACATAATGGTCGGGTTTGACGATGGAAAGGCTAAGAAGTGTATCGATAATGCCCAGAAGGAACTGGACGAGCTTGTCACTCGTGAAGAAGACACACTCGGGGTTCAGGTCCTCTTAGGCTTAGTGAGTACGTGCCTGGATAGTCCACTAAATCCGCCAACCTCAGACCAACCCCTATCTTCGATGGGAAGCAACCGCTAACCCAAAGCTACCTACACAGTACTCTTCCAAACAAACACCGATCAAAAGCCAGCTTCGGTATTAATCGGCACAGCCGTTCGGTTAGCTCATAGGTTGCAGCTTCATATAAAATCTACTTTATCCGATTATGCTCCAGAAGTGGCACGTCACAGAAGTAACTTATTCTGGCTTTGTTACTGCTTAGATAAGGTAAGTGTTTTCTCGCTACTGTAGGCGCCTCGAAACTGACAGTGGTCAAGGATGTTAGTCTTCGCTCGAAGATTCCATCCATCCAGGACGACGGAGATGTAGACCTGGACCTCCCAGGAACGGAGTCCGGCGATGATGGAAACTATCTTTCGAGTATTGATGGGCATACGCAGCTTAACTATCTCCGGGTTAGGGTCCAACTCGCCTATCTGGAAGGGAAGGTATATGATGACCTGCTCAGTAACCGATCTACGAAGGTGTCCTCGGAAACCCGGCAAGCAAGAGCTGCACACCTCTTTCGACTTCTTGATCAGTGGTTGCGGAAGATACCTGAAGAACTCCGACTCGAGAATATCACAAAAACGGTAGACAAGGCGCCACTGACACATATGATCCTCCTCTATCACACGTATTTAATGTGCTCCGCTACGTTGAATGGTCTTTACTCTCTCGCGTCGCCGTGGATTAAGTCAGTCAGTGGGTTTACCGTAGCAGCCCTTGAGCATTTCGACTTCCAGGCTCATGCTTGTATGAGACATCAACAACCGCTATTGCCACAATTTTGGGATACCTGTGTAAGCACTAGTCGTGGATGTTTGCAAATATTGAACAATAAAACTTACAGTGGATGCAACCTTTGGTGAGTGCACTGAGCCAACCCCCCCCCCCCATAAATTCAGTGGTTGATGAATCTAACCATCTGTAGGATAAGTGGCTGTGCATACTTCTCGGCATTCATCGTCTTACTGGCTAACATAATCTATTTCCCTTTACACGGGCTAGTAGATCATGATCGAGGACTTACCATAACCATTATGGGACGTATGGAGAATCTACTTGCGTACGCGGGATCAGAATCATTTCAGAAGCTGCATATGGTTCTCGTTGGCTTGGGACAGGCAGCGGACCGGGCAGCCGAGCAGGCCAAGATGCAAACCGAGACCCATGAATCCGTGCCATCTGTCAATACACAACCACATTGCTCTTGGTACCCTTCGTCATCATCCGAGGGGCTTCCTGATGATCCAGGCCACAACTTAGTTAGTGAATTCAATCGCATGCTTAGACACTAACATGAAAAGTCATTGCTAATCTCATTCAGGTTCCGGAGTGGACGTGGCCGCAAGTATCGACACTTGATGACTTCGGTATGGGGTTCGAATTTGATGATGGGACTTCATTGCCCGAATTCATGCGATCCTCTTAAATAATGATATCAAGAAGTAGTATCTATTAATACGTTCGACTTCGTTCATACAAAGATCTATAGAGGTTCATGTAGGTGAAAGATCTAGAATGATAATGATATCTTTTAACATGCATTAGGTATATAACTAGTGTACATTATGCATATGGATACATCCGTGATGTATGTAGCCAATTAGAATGCTGGCCAATTGTGAGATCAGTAAGTCAAAGAAGGGGGTATTCGTATGGGGGGGGTATTCGGCAGCCCCACTTTTGTGGTGAGACCCTAATCATATATGGTATAGCGCAATACATT